TCGTCCGTCCCCCCCCCCCCCCCCCCCGCAGTTCGGCCGGGCTGGAGTGTGTGTATGTGTGCGCGTTTGTGCGTGTGTGTGTTCCTAGCATGCGGCATGCCTGGACCCCTCCTCTGTGGCGCAACGCCTGCAAGCCAATGTCACACATCTCGGCTTGCCGAATGTGTGTGTGTGTGCGATACATCACTGGCGATCCACACCACCCTGCTCTCCGGAAGAAGCCGGTGCCAGTGGGGCCAGACAGTCAGTCCCCAGCGTGGGCCGGCAGAGCGATATCACCGATCACGACTTTCTCCCTAGATGTGTGTTCACGCGCAATGCCAGCGATGTTACGGAGCAAGCGCACCACCTGTATAACTCGGGGCCGCCGGGGGGGGCAACTCCTCCGGTGTGACTGCTCGGCCTAGGCCATCGATATCACAGAGCTCAGCTTGGGTTTACCGGTCTGCCGGCAAGACTTGCCCCTCTTGATATAAAAAAAAAATAAAAAAAATAAAAAGGAAAGGAAGAAGCGCAGAGAGCGGATCGACACGGCGGATGGGGCTTCCGGAGGCATCCGGTTGGATGGATGCCGACGCCGACATGCATACCGCCGCGGGAAACCCCCCTCTCTTCCTGGGCAATATCCATTCCTTCTGCTTTTTCTTTTCTTTTTTGTCAGGGCGGAAGACGCCCGCGACAGTGGCGGCAACGGGTGAGAAAACAGTTCTGTATCTTTGCTTCTTTCCAAACTCCCCCGCCATGTCGCCCTGCACCACATGATATGGACGAAATCGGGCGAGGGGGGGTGCATGTGCTCCGAAGACAGCCCCTGCGAGCGATAATTGTGATAGATGTCCCTTCTGTGAAGGTGATGATGAGGGGGCATCGTTTGGCTGTAAGTGGTGGACGAGATGGGGGGCCAACCCGTATAGTACATGGACGTTTCCCTCCTCCTCCTCAGCAGTAGTAGTATAGCCAAGCCCGGCCTGCAGGGCCTATGTCTTTTTCATGCACGACGAAAAGGCCCGGGCGGCCAATTACTGGCGGCTGAAAGTGCTCTTCGCAGGGTCATACGGTAACCGTATTGGTGTCATTGGTGCGCTCGACTGCGACGAAATGGCGGTAAAGGATGGCTGCTCGCAGAGGACCGCAATCTAGAACCGGAATCCAGGATCTAGGTAGGCAAGGGAGGCAAGTAGGGGAGGCTCCCGCGTGCCCCCGTCAGCTTTCAGCTTTTTAGACTTCTCGGCAGGTCTAAGGCAGCATGTCGGCCGCATGGAGGTGGCTGACCCTTTTTTTTTTGCCCCGCACGCACTTTTCAGCTTGCCTCCGTCGCCCGACGCCCGGCAGCCTTGCGCGTGTGTGCATGTGTTTCTTGGCCCCCCGGCATGCCGAACAGGGGGGGCTGGGTCTGGACCGACACTTTGGGTGGGGCAGTAGTCCGGACCGCCCCGGACGGCATAGCTTGACTGCCAGACTAAGCCATGGTAGACGACAGGTAGGAAAGGCATGTGTGTACACATCTCGGACTTGCCATTCACTAGCCCAGGCCCCCTCCACGGTCGGTGGATGGCTGGTTGGGTGGCTGGCTGGTCCGAGGATGGCGGTGGTGGTGGTGGTGGTGCAGCTAAGTGCGTAGGGCCATTAAGTGCGTAGGGTGTGTGGTGCAGATATCGGCATGATACTACCTGGCGGTGCAGCCGGTGCAGCTCGCCACAACGCCCGCCAAGCGTGAGAATGTGCTCGATTGGGCAATCCTAGTAAGCCGGCAGACCCTACCCAGAAGCTCCGATTGGACCCTAGACATCTGCGTGCTTATGTCCTATATCGCTTCCGACCTAGGCAGGCTGGTGCTATCTGTTTGTTTGCTGTAACCGAGAAGAAGCAACGATCAAATCTTTCTTGGCCGTTCTCCAAAGTGCAGATGTCCATATGTATCCCCTTCGTCCGCGTATAAAAAGGAGGCTGGATGCCGTCTCCTCCGCCTCCATCGACACAGCCATCCATCCCCATCCTCAAACACTCCCCTCCCCTCTCCCCTTCCACACAGAGGCCTTTGATCAGGCCTCGATTCACTTTATATACTCACTTCTTCCCCGTCCGCCCTTTGAAACCTCAGCAAGATGGAGACCTGCCCCGTGATCCTCACGCCCGGCATGTGCATCGGCGGCGCCGGGCTCGCGCCCGTCGTGGTGCCCAACAAGGCGCTCGACGCCAAGGACGAGGGCGAGTGGCCGTCCGACGTCAACAAGGTCCCCATCCCATTCTTCGACTCGGGCGTCTTCATCACGGAGCTCATCAACCAGAAGATGCTGCCCAAGAAGCTCAGCGACGTCCTGACCGACGACGAGAAGACGGCCAGCCGCAGCAACCCCGAGTCCATGCTGGGCAGGGCCCACGAGGAGAGGAACGCCATCAAGAACAATATCAGCCAGGGCTCGTACCGCGGCACCCAGTTGGCGCTGACCAAGGCGTACAACCTCATCGAGACGAAGTGAGTGTTCAACCCCATTTTTTTTATCTGTGATTCGGCTGAGCTGACCCGTGGCCGTCTGTCATAGATACACCTCGTTCATGGACACGGCCAACTTTGAGCCCACTGTGCCCTCGCCGTTGACCTTGGAACAGAAGCGTCAGTTCTTCAAGTTCACAATGCCGGCAGACGAGCCCAGCACGACCGGAAACCATGCGGTCGATGATGCGTGAGCAGTACCCAGTCTTCTACAACACACAAGAGCCACCCAACCGTTTCCCTCCCACTCGAGCACAGGCTGACATTCCCATCCACGCTGCCACCCTCCCTCAGGGACAACTACCCTCCCCACCTCAACCTCGGCGCACAGCAGGCGCTGGCCCCGGGCCAGCCGGGCGCCCCGGCCACCAACTTCGGGCTGAGCATGGCCCCCGGCGACATCTTCAACAAGATGCGCCTGGCCCAGCTCAGCACGCTCCTGCCCTCCATCATGCCCGGCGGCTTCGTCGAGAACGCGGAGCAGAAGCTCGGCCAGGGCCTGGCCTACCTCAAGTTCGGCGGCATGGGCACGCCCGACGGCGGCAAGACGATAGCCGAGGTCGAGGACTACAACAACCGGGAGCACAGCAAGCTCTGGTACCAGAAGGACATTTTCGACCTCGCCAACATTGGAAACCTCCCCACCAAGGACTGGTTTTCCGACTCCCGCTTCGCCCAGCAGTTCTTCACGGGCGGCGACCCGTCCACCATCACCAAGGCCGGCGAGTGGACGCAGATCTTCATCGACGCGGCCACGGACCCCGCCGACGCGGCCATGAAGGCCAAGATCCAGGCGCGCGCCGGCTCGCTGTACGTGCAGGACTACAGCTACTTCCGCCGCATCGCCGGCTACGGGCCCAAGGACGAGATGTCGGCCCAGCCCAAGCTGGGCGGCGAGACGCGCAACAAGCGCTGGAGCGTCTCGTCCGTGTGCCTGCTCAACCTGGCCGACAACGGGAGGCTGGAGCCGCTCGCCATCATCATCGACTGGCTCGGCAGCGCCGCCGACTCGGTCTTCATCTACAACAAGGAGCTGAGCCTCACCAAGCAGAAGGAGGACTGGCCCTGGCGTTATGGTAAGCAGACTGACTTGTCCGTGCGACTTTCAGGGGAGGGGCTAGGTGCATACTTCACTTGCTACATATACATACTTACCAGCTATCTCCTCCGATACAGCCAAAACCTGCGTCATGTCGAGCGACTGGATCCGCCACAACATCACCGTCCACCTGTGCCGCACCCATCTGGTCGAGGAGAGCGTCATCGTGGCCGCCAACCGCACCATCCCGCAGGACCACGACGTGTACCAGCTGCTGTACCCGCACTGGCAAAAGACGCTGTCCCTCAACGCCGCCGCCCGCACCAGCCTCGTCCCCCTGGTCGTCGCCCCGCTGCTGGGCATGGCGCCCAACCACGTGTACAAGTACCTCATGAGTGAGTACCGCAGCTACGACTTCCAGGGCTCCTACATACCCCGCGACCTCGCCGCCCGCGGCTTCCCGGTCGACAGGCTCAACGACAAAAAGTACCACAACTACGCCTGGGCCCGCTGCATCCACAGCATGTGGTTCAAGCTCCGCGCCTTCGTCGCCGACATGCTGGCCCTCAAGTACCCCGGGCCGGACGCCGACGCGCAGGTGCTGGCGGACAAGCCCGTGCAGGACTGGTCGAGCGAGATGCGCAGCCCCACGGCGGCCGACGGCTCGGGCGCCAGCATCTCGAGCTTCCCCGAGCTCAAGACGTTCGACGCCCTCGTCGACGCCGTCACCATGTGCATCCACATCGCGTCGCCGCAGCACACGTCGGTCAACTACCTGCAGAACTACTACCAGGCCTTTGTCGTCAACAAGCCGCCCGCCCTGTTCGCCGCCCCTCCCACGACCCGGGAGCAGCTGGCCCGGTACGGCGAGCCGGAGCTGGTGGCGGCGCTGCCCATGAACCAGACGCACGACTGGCTCATGGCGTCGCACATCCCGTACCTGCTGTCGGCCAAGCCGGGCGACAAGGAGTCGCTCATCATCTACGCGGCCTCAAAGTACCACGTCTACAAGCTCAAGGACGGCGCCAAAGACAAGGCCATCGCCGACGCCGCCGCGAGGTTCTACACGTCCCTGGCCGAGAGCGAGCAGGAGTTCAGGGGCTACGGGCAGGACACGGACGACAACGACACCATCGTCTACGACGTCCTGAGCCCGAGCTGGAACGCCGTCAGCATCCTGATCTAGTGGGGGTGCTGGGCCGTGGGCGGAGGGGAATTATGTCGTCGTCCACTGCAAGGTTCCACTCCTATGATTTGTATTTTATTTTCGACATTTTTAGCGATTATCATTATTATCACCTATTTTACTAACAGTGCCACTCATTCTCTCGATGGGGAATTTCATCAAGTCCTGCTTCCTGTTCAAATATGTAAACTTTTGTCTGGATTCCATCCACTGCCACGGCCAGAAGCGATATAAGCCTCAACATTAACCCAAGTATTATTAGGACCTTGATACTCATGTTAGTAGCTTCAGAGGACACCTGCAAAGTGGTAAACAACCATCGTTTTTAATAGGAGGAATACTTGGTAGTTGACCTGATCAGTACACGGCCTGCCGTGGGAGCACTGGATCCAGGATCCGGCACCACCCCGGGCCCGTAGAAACGGCTTCACCTCGACGATAGCGGCGGTGTGCTGGGAGAATGTCTTGAAGTAGTCGTCGTTCCTCGATTGACAGATGGTGATGGGATTCTGCTCGTCGGCCCAGTCCATGGGAACAGGCCCACCCCGATGCAGCGACCAGTTCTCTTTGGCCTTGGGGTGGTGAACGACGAGGGCCTTGAGGTACGAGATCGTTCTATTTATCCAAAAGCGAGCACCCCCCATAAAATCTAGTACCAAATTTAGGTAAGAGATCTCCCATCAGCGTTCGCCGAACTGCGGATGTGATAAGGCCGCCGTTCTTGCCGTGGGCCCGGGGTGGTGGCCAGTCTGCCAGGCCCGTCGACATGCTCGGCGTCTTCGGGCGTCTCGACGGCAGGTCCCCCGGGGGGGCAGGCCGTCATCGTCGTCGCTCACTCGCGCGGCCGGGAGACCTGCGGCGGAGCAGCCAGAGCGCGACCTCGCCCCTGCCCCTGCGCACCGCGCGGACCCAGAGCGGGTGGTCCTCCCCCGGCAGGAGGCGGTCCATGTCGGCGCCGTGCGAGAGGAGCGCCTCCAAGCACGCCGTGGAGCCGCGCGCGTGAGCGTACGCGAGCAAGGTGTGCGGTTGAACGCGTCGGCCTTGTCCGGGTCCGCCCCGGCGTCTAGTAGCATTGTGGCCACGTCGGGCCGGCCGAACTCGCAGGTGACCGCCAGGGGCGTGCCGCTATATGGCGTGTCGGCCGTGTTGATCTCGTCGACGTTGGCAGCCGCGATTCTGCTGCACAGTGCCTCTAGTGCATCCACCCTCACCGCCTTACACAAGGACTTGCTGGTGCCGTCTCGCACCGTGTTCTTGTAGATGCTTGACGCCTTGAGGGACTCGGCTGTCTCGCCTCCTCCATTACTGGCAGCGATATCCAGCGGCGTCAGCCCTTGCGAGTCTCGGATATCGCATCGAGCCCCGGCCGCGATCAGTATCCGCGCCCCCGTCGCGTCGGAGGATTTGCAGGCGTCATGAAGGGCCGTCTCTCCATGCTCGCCTTGACAGTCGATGTCGATATCGCGACTTGACAAGAGAACCTCGAGTGCAGCCCAGGCGTTGTTGGCCGAGGCTGAATGTAGGACGGTCCTTCCGAGACAGTCGCGCCGATGTATGCCGGCACCGCGGCTGATCAGAAGACAGACAACACCCGCATAGTCCCTGCTGGCAGCGCACATGAGGGCTTTGCCTTGTTGATAACCCAAGTGATAGATATCAGCACCCTTGTCTATGAGCCTCCCAACTCCCTCGACAAACCCAGCGTCGGCAGCGAGGATCAGTGGAGTCCGGGCGCGAAATAGATCGATAGTGCCTAGTGCAATGTCCTCTCTGGACACCAGGCTGTCAAAGGTCTCGACATCCTTCTCGAGAATGGCGTGGCGCAGCGCGGTGAAGCCATCATAGGGGTCCACTAGGTTGACGTCGATGTCGGGCCTGGCCAGCATCTTCTGCACAACGGACTTGTTGGACCCGCGGACCGCGAACGAAAGAGCCGGGATTGTGCCGCATGGCGTGGCGTTGATGCCCACGCCGGGCAGCTGCAGCAAGCGCTCGACGATTTCACCTTGCTGCCACTTCAGAGCTCGGGCCAGTGCCGTCCAGCCACGCTTACAGACCGCGCTCGCATCCGCGCCGGCTGATAGGAGATACTCTGCTGTGGCCGCGCTGTTCGCGCGAAACTCTGGCGGCGAGTCCAGAGCGCACATGAGGGGCGTCCTTCCAAGTCGGTCCTGGGAATCCATGGGCTCGCCTTTTGCTAGCAGCTGCGAGATGACCTCTGTAAAGCTTAGGTGTGCTGTGACATGCGAGGCGGTGCCATCGTCCTGTAGCTCCCAGGTCTGGTTGAGATAGAGCAAGCCCTGGGAGAGAAGCCTTCGCGCATCCGAGAGCAGAAATGCCGCTGCTCGCATGTCTGCGTCCCCGTGCGGGCTTCGCTGAACATGGACCGCCATGAATGCGGTTGCGTATTTGAGGAAAGGATACTCGAGGCATAACTCTCGGTATCTAAGGCTGCCCTCTGACCACGGGGCTCCCAGCAGCCTCCGCCCTCTGCCTTGGATGCAGCTCATTTGGAGGTAGTGTAGGCAAGCGTGCGCGATCATTGTGTCGCCGTCGGGGAAGAGCACATGCCTCCTCTGTGAGAGGAAGCCATCTGTCGTCGGATGGATCACGCGCACGAGGTTCTCGTCGTCAACAAAGAGCAGCCACCACTCCAAGAGGTGATTCGTCGAACGGACAAGATGCAATCGGGGTCGACCGAATCGGCCCCATCCTGTGCCGCCATGGCGTGCTCCAGCTCCACTGACAGCCAGAGGGCGCGCCGCCCAGGCTACCCAGTGCAGAAGCCTCCTGACTGCCTTCCACCTCTTCTCGCCGAGGGACTGCTGCAGACGATGCAGCGCTTCTTCGTATGTCTTATCTAGACTGCCTGATAGTCCATCTCTTGTCTTTTTCAGCTCGCCAAGGGTAAGACATTCGGATAGAAGGCCGACGCCCCTGGCCTGCAGCGCCTGCCTGAGGAAGCACCCCATGATGTTCAGCGGCGTCTGGGACTCGGCGCTATCGAAGCTGCAAAAGGCGATCGTGGCCGCCGCGTTCTGTCCCTTGTGTCGCTCGGCCATGTGGGCATACGCCGAAGCGGCCAGGACCGGCTTCTCGGCTCCGGGAGCCCCACGGCACCACAGGGTCCGGGTGACGCCCTCGTGCCAGGCCCCGAACTTGTCGGAGCCGAAAACCCAGCTGTACGGGTCCGCGCTCCCCAGAACCTCCTTCTGCTTCTGACGAGGGGTCAGCGGAGACAGTCAGGTCAGTGCGGCCTTGACCTGGTCCGGCCCCAGCATGCTTTTAACCTCCTGGACGTGGACCCTGATCTCGTGGCCCATCTGGGTGCTGGACACAGACATGATCAGGTGATTGTCGACTTGAGCCGGGCAAGACTCTCAACGCGCTGTTGTATCTCTTGCTTATCGAGCTGATGGCGGATCGGGGCTGTGACCCTGGCCATGTGACCCAAGGGAGGTGCCAGAGCCTTTTCCAGCTTCTCAAGCTCATCCCGGATCTGGCAAAAGATGCCACCGGGCGTGCCGAGGGGGCGGAGGGTTTCCATCCACTTCTGGTCCGGGCTATCAGGCGGCAGAAGCTCCGAGTTGACCTTCTCGAGCTGCTGCAAAGTGCGCCACAGGTCCTCAACCTCCTCGAGGAGCTTTTTTTCCGCGCACTATTTTCCTGCTCGAGACCTTTTAGCGCGGCGGCCAGCTTCCCAGCCATGGAAACAATGGATAGAACGGTTGCCACAAGGCCAACTGCTGATGCCGGATCCATGCTGTGCTTGTATCTGGCGGTCACTTTCGCTGCCTCAACAACAAAGGAAGCGTCTCCATCGAGATGAATGTGTGGAAGGAACTCGAAGATAATGAGCTGATAAAAGAGAAAGAAAAGGTGCGCATACATGCAAAGCGGGCGCACGAGTGCAACCTGGGCTGCTTCCCCAGCCCCGGAAAGTGCAGAAAACTAGCCCCGAAATATCACATTCAACGCCCCGTTAAGGTCACACGGCATAACTGTGCATTTTTTGTTCCTACCCTATTAGCAGGAGAGCCCGCGCCGCGGGCCAAGTTCATACAACGGCGAAGATTAGTGGCCAGACTGTAGCAGTAGGGTGGCCGGCGGAGCAGTTGCATCGCGGTCGTAATGGATGGGTACGGGGATTACTAGGGCCAATCGTCCAGGACGCCCGTTTTCCTTCCCGGCCGCCACGCTCCGGATCGTAGTTGAACAACACCTGGAGCCTCCCACATCATCCCCATAAAGCTCCTCTTCCACGAGGAGGTTTGACAGATTCTGGATACTGCCACTGACCTTCTGCCAGCTTTGATCGGCTGGCCCGCTCTCCATTGTCGAAACAGGCCTCATCAGGTGCCCTTTCATTTCTGGCGTGCGTCCGTGGGCAGTTGCATGACGACGATTCTGAACGGCCTATCGAATGGTTGAAAGATGGCTTGAATCTATCCTTGGATATTCGGGGACGGCAGACAAATGTCCTGCACTTCTCCCGACTTGGGGTCCATGGCTTGCGGCAGTGACCCGTCAACCAGATGCTCGCTGGGGCTACGGAGAACCAAGGTGGTGTTTCGACCTGAACGGCGCTTGACCCCAGGGGGTTTTCTGGAAATGAGGGAGGCGCTTGTCGCTCAAGAGCCGTCGTCTCCTGGCTTGGCTTGCTGTTTGCTTGAGGTCGGCACTTGGGTGGGTTATGCTCAGGTTATGGTGCTTCCAACAGGGGTCTACCCAGCTCGAGATTGAGAGAAGAGCGAGGAGGTATTTATACAAAAGTTTGAGGGTTGGGAAGGGAATCCAATTTGTCGTAAACACCACTGCAAAAAGACACCAATTGAAAAGAAAAGAAATTCACAGTGATCAATTATCATCATCACTGTCAAGATGTCACCAAGTCGCGTCTAGTCTTTCCCCACCTTCTCACTCGCTAGGCCGTCCGGCATACCATACCGCAAACTTCAAGCACTAGGGCATGGAGGGCTGTCATGGTTCCAGAGATAGATTCACCATCACAGCCAAAACACAGCACACCTGACAAGGGTCTCGTCCATCGGTAGTGGGTGACATCCTCTGCAACCGAGTTCTTGAATACGATCCTCGTGTCCTATCATGAGACGGCAGCCGACGCGCTCGCATCGCTGGCCGGCTTCGCAGTCTTCTTTTTCTTTTTTGGCTTGTCAACAGATGCCCCCTCTCCGACGACACCCTCGTCAATGGATGCTACCGCCTTCTTCTTTTTCTTTTTGGCTTTCACAACCTCCATGGCGCCTCCTGATGTTGCACCCTCGCCCTCTTGCTCCTCAACATCGGCAACCGATGTCTTTTTCTTCAGTGAGGGTGCCGCCTTCTTCTTTTTCTTCTTGACGACAGCAACACCCTCGGCCGGTATTCCCTGTGCGACTTGTATCCGCTCGTTGGCCCGCTGCATTTCTAGCCGCAGTCGTTCCACCTCCTTCATTGCCGCCGCCATCTCCGCGTCCTCTCGCTTCTGCTTCTCTGGGTCTGGAGCCGCATCAGCCGCCGGCGCGTCTAGACTAAGTCCGCCAATGTGGCTAGAGTCCACCTGGAGAAGCGAGTGTTTTGCCCCTCGTTTGCCCTTGGCCAGGTGATGGCGCACCACGCCCCCATCAGAGTTGTACGTCTCTGAGTCGTAGTTATGCGCCGGCGTCGAGACTCCGCTACTGCCTGCGAGCGTCTCATCAGCGGCGACCGTCACTCTTGGCCGTAACTGCTTGGATTTTGCTCTTGACGCTGCTGCTGCTGCCGAAGCCTCTCCACTGAGACCCTTGTCCAGCTTGGAGAGATCCAGCTGCATGATTGGGATCGAGTCGATGTCTAGGCCAGGGCCGTTCTCGTTCTGGAGGATGTTGTGGATTGGCGTTGATGTCCCATGCGACCTGCTCCCGGCAATGTAAAAAGGGTCATCTTTGTTCCGCTCAAGACGCTCAGCCCTCCGGCGCGCCAGGATATCGGCGTCCAGGTAGCTCTCCTCGCCTGCGTTCTGGTATGAGCTTGCAACCTCCTCGGATGCGTCTGCCAGCCTCTTGATGGCCGGCTCCGATGATGAGATGCTGGTCGGTGCAGGTCTTTGGTTGTAGTAGATATCGAATTTGCTATCCTCATCAACCGGGATGTTGAGAGTGTTTGTCTCGGCTAGTAGCCGCTCCAGGTTTGGATTAATGGGCTGGCCGAGATCGAGGCCATCCGGCAGGGGCACGTTTATCTGGACGCCAGCGGCTACAGAGTTGAGCTCCCATCCAGTGAAGAGAGACGGGATTGCTTGTGTGAGAAGCAGCGGCGCGTCCTGGTAGACCTCGTCTGTTGACGCCTCTTGGCCTGACACGGCTTCTGCTGTGAGCTTCAGAAGCTCGGTGAATTGCACGGATCGTTCTTGTACCTCAAGATTAGGGTGTAGAGGAAAGGGCTCTAGGACGTGCAGAAGCCGTGTCATGGTGAGTGAGATCTTGGCCTTGCGCTCGGCTGTCCACTGCGCACCATCGTCACCGGCAACAAGGGCGAAGATCTTGATGACGGCCTGCATCAATGAGACCAGAATCTCGGGATGCGATGTGCGCGCCAGGAGCTGCAGGATACAGCCGAGTGTAACTTCTGGCGACGCAAGGAACGATGAGTACTCGCCAAGAACCCAAGACACCGGGCCGAGAACTCTGGAAGTCACAGCGTGTGTCGACTGGGACTCGGAGCTGAGATGCGAGACTACCGAGTCCGCCGCTCGCACGACCGAGGGCCTCATGGCTCTGACCTTGACGGCGACGTTTCGCAGTTCATCGCCTATCCTCTCTGACACGTCGGACGATCCAGGTCTCGCCATCGATGCAAGGGCATCGACATCGTCGCCCCTGAGCCTGGGAACGGGAGCCATGCGGACTAGCTGTGTGAGGATGTCGATATACCACTCAAAGTCGATCAGGTTGCTATAGTTGTTCTGCGAGCACATGGCAAGGATCCGCCGGATCACGTCGACTCGGTAGTCCTCGGGCAGCGGCGGTGCCTGGTCAGGGGCGTTGATAGGCGTCCGTACCCGTGGGGTTGATCCATCATCGTCCGATTCGACATACTCAGCAGGGACTTGCTGGCCCCTAGGCTCGGACGAGACCTTGAGCTGTCTCATCAGGCGGCTGACGATAGAAACCAGGTTATCGCTGCTAACCATACCCTGGACCAGGTCCAGGGCCTTGATGCGGATAGTAATGTCGGGGCTGTCTATGCACTCGAGAATTACGTCTTCCTGTTCCGCGACTAGGAAGGGGTGCGTTGCGACGATCTTGTTGAAGGCCAAGAGGGCGACGTATTTCACTAAGGAAGCGTGGCGGGCGACTTAGCTCGTCTGGCCTTCACTTTTCGGGCAGGTGATGCCTGACTTACGGTTAGGATCTCCGTCAATCATGATCATGCCGCGTAGCCTAGAGACAATCAATGAAGCGATTTCCTCCCGACCAGATACATCGTCTGGGCTCCCGAGAATCCCGCCCTGGATGATACCGTTGATGCACTCGTACAGAAGTGACATTGCAGGGGTCGTTCGGATGATGTCGGTCAGGGGCGGGAGAAGTTTGCGGATGAGTCTCGGCTCCAGGGGTGTGAGGGTCGCGAACTAGCAGTGAAGTGCCAGCTATCAGCATTTGAAACCAGAGGAATAATTCCCATGTCCGAGGCGCGGCAACAGAGCAGTTTGTAGTACGCACCAGTTTGATAAGCTTTATTGCCATCCAGTTGTTGCCCCCATCCACGAGTAGCTCGAAAAGTCGGGGAGCTAGGGGCAAGAAATCATGGGGTCGTCTCCAGCCCAGTTCACAAACGACATTGACGATGGCAGCGGTTACACTCGCGTCCTCGTCCTTGTCCATAAGCCGTTCCTTGATCTTTGGCCATGCAGCCCTGAGGGTCTCGGGGTAGACGAGAGCGAGACGGTAGAGAGTTACGATGGTCTTTTTGCGGATCCCTGGGTTGGAGTGGCTCATGCGGGGCAATAGGTCCGTTAGAACTGATAATGCCAGGGATGAGGTGATGATGTGCGGTAGGGCCGAGATGGGCAGGGCAATGGTGGGCATGGCGGTGGCGGTCAGGTCCTTCTTGAGCAGGTTCGTTGCGAGCATCAGGACCTCAGTGTCGGGCCGGAAAGTCTGAACAGCGCCGAGGTAGCCGACGCGCTTCTGGTGGTACTTGGCCGACGACATGACTTCGAGGACATGAAACGAGGCCCACGACATATCGTGGCCCATCATCTCGAGGTATATGAGTTTGAGCAGCGCCGTGGCCTTGAGGTCCATGTCCTGGCTGCGCACCTCGGCGCGACATTCCTTGAGGCAATTCTGGATGTACTCGCGCTCATTGCCCTTGTGGTTGCGCATGCCTCGGATGAGGTCGTAAAGCGATTTTTCGAACCTAGAGGCAGACATGGTTAGCCGCGTTCCGCCAACAACCGCCCGCATCCGGGAGTAGGTATCTCGCATTACATGTTTGCGGTATCGCCAAAGCCGCAGCTATCGTAGGGGCCTCAGGGGCAGGCGGCTGGGGACCCGGAGGGGTCTTGATGGTGGTTCAGCGCAGATTCGTTCCCTCCACGGCGCAGGGCGCATGATGGGTGGCAGTCGATTTCTTGGTCCTCGACTAGCGAGCGAGGCTAAACGTGGGAGGAAGCTGCAGCATTATCTCCAGTCGGGAAGGCGGCGTCGCAAACGGAGAAGGCGACCCAGGAGCCCCGGGCAACGGCGGGTTTGCTTTTGCGGATGCGGACTGCTGGTGCCAGGCCCCGACTCCGTGCCTGATTGAACCCCACGTCACCGCCCGCACTGTGCGCGTCCTTGCGCTGAAGGCAATCTGGATACTGTATGGATGCTGCTCGGTGGTGGTCCGTGCGCTTCCCCCAGTAAACGACAATTCGAGCGCCGCAGGGGCTGATTGTGGCTGTCTGCCTAAAGAGAGAAGCTCCGTGTCCCTTCCGCACGCAAAGCAAACGTCATCTATTCCACCGGACCGATCCCGGCAGGGCATTGAGATCCACGAAATCCCCTCCGTACTTGCCTTGACCTCCTACATATCAGCAGCGGAAGCCATGGCGCCGTCACTTCTACATCCGCCCGGCGACCTGTCACCGGCCGAGGCGTACAGCCTGTACAAAAAAGCGCCTTCGGAGCTGCGCGACTCGCCAGAGTCCATCTCCGCCTCACCACTATTGTCGCTCCTCTCCGCGCCCGAGACACCCGAGCTATGGATCAAGTATGAGAACCTCCTGCAGCTATGTCTGCGAGCAGGAGATGATGTCGCGGCGCATCGGTTCTTAGAAAGGCTCGTCAAGCGCTTCGGCGACGACAACGAGCGCATGATGGCCTGGAAGGGTCTCATCAAGGAGGCGACCGCCAAGAATAATGGAGAGCTGGAGGCTGTTCTCAAGGAGTACGACTCCATACTTGCCGCCGAGCCCAACAATATCGTCAGTGTTGAAGCCCAACGTTTCGTCCATTTCTGCGCCTTCCCCTTATCGGTGACCAAACTCTGACCTGCAGACCCCCGCCATCCACACCCACGTTTAGCCTATTGCAAAGCGACGAATAGCCCTCCTGCGATCATTAGGCCGTGTCCCCGACGCAGTGTCTGGCCTTGTAGCCCTGCTAGACATGTCGCCGACTGATGCCGAAGCCTGGTCGGAGCTGTCCGACGTTTACCTGTCTCAAGGCTTGTACCCTCAGGCCATATATGCGCTGGAGGAGGTCTTGGTGCTCGTACCAAATGCGTGGAATGTCAGTGTCACACTATGCCATGTCTAGCCGGCCTGAGCCCTAGACCGACAGGATTTCGCAGGGTGGAAGACGAGACCTTGCACAAAGTGAGCTGGGCTGACCGTCTCATGCGACGCAGTTACACGCCCGGTTAGGCGAGGTATCATACATGGCTGCCACGGCCCAATCCGCAGCAAACGACACGACGCCCAAGCACCTGTCTGAGGCCACAAAGAGGTTCTGCCGCAGCATCGAACTCTGCGACGATTATCTGCGTGGATACTATGGGCTGAAGCTTGTAAGTCGTCACAAAACACACATGCGCCCCTGATACCGGCAAGGAAGCAGGGTATAAAAAGATACTGACCGCAGACATTGACCGTCTTCTGCAGGTAACTTCACGATTGTTGCAAGCGCCCATCGCGCACCGAGTCGGTGGCGATCAGGGCGATCTCAAGCTCCCAGATACGGCCACTCTGAAGCAGCTCGACGAGCTAGCCACCCAGAAGCTCGCAGAAATTGTCCGGCGGTACGCGGCAAGGGAGCCAAGCTGGCGCGGATACGACGAGGCGGAGATCAAGGCGGCCCGCGAGCTACTTGCGCTACACTCTCCCGAGGTTGCCAAGTAATTCCCGTCCATCAAGCACCCGCAACCCAAAAGCCAAGAGAAACAAAAAAAAAAAAACCAAATAAAAGACGGATCCTCGCTCCCGTCAAGGGCTTGCGAGGAGGATGCAAGGGGCATTCCCACCGAGCCGGCATGATACATGACCAAACAGTGGGGAGGGGTCGCAACCCCAGTGACAGCTGTTCCATGCCTGTCTAGATGGCATACTGCCGCCGGTTTATGTGAGTCACTTTACATCCGAGGGCGATCATGCTGTCGAAGCGCGCAATCGCCGGGCTCCCAAGTGTCGGCCCCAACGACCTTATTTTACCTACGACAGGATGAGAGGGCGGACGATGCAGGGTTGGGTCGGGTTGACTATCCCGGCGCTCCGTTTGATGTGGATACTGGGACAAAGCACTGGGACAAAGTACAGGTACATTGAGCGGGCAGAGGCAACCAGCCCGGCCAGGCCACCGGCTGTGGGTCATTGGGCATCGGGAGCTGCACGTGGCTCCACTTGGGCAAGATCGAGGGGATGGCTCGGGGGTCGGTCAGCAGTCAGCAGGCACAGGTGGGGAGAAGGCCAGGGCCGGCCGGGAGACGGCGCAGGTAGTATTGGCCAGGCGCCGCATCGGTGCTTCGCGGGCGGTGGAGCGACGGAAACAAAAAAAAAAAACATTCGAACAGAGGCTCTGTGTTCCCTACTACCCCGACCCGGCAGGCAGCGAAGGGCTGGCCAATCCGGAATCCCAGAGAATGTTCTGGTCGCCTTGTTGGGCAGAAAACAGATGATGCACTGCCCCTGATTGGGCTGCGAGACTCGCGTTTTTTTGGTCATGCAACCGCAGGCTGTGCCAGGACCCGCGGCGCTTTCATCCCGAGGTATTATTTCTTCCCGATAAGCAGCGGATGACGTACCTACTGTTCGCTCAGCTGGATGGTTCGCTCGCTGAACTGCAGGCCGTGGGTGCTCTGGGCGAGCAGACACCCAGCACTGGATGTAGGTGTTCTCATGATACCGAAGTACTTGGCAGCCCGGTAGATGAGAGGTCACATTACACACCGCAAGTGCCTTCCATGCTATGCTGTGTGTGCCTGCTGCAATATTTATTTGTGTGCCAGCTCCTTCGATCGACCACGTGTCCGGCAGCAATACAGACAGTGTGTATTAGTAGGGAGGCTTAAAGTCAACTGTGCTGCAAGCTCAAGGCTAACTCGCCCGGAGGCTGGCGGATTGAGCTCACTCATGGACCTCAATATGTCCATTGTGCCTGATTAGGCCGATTTACCGCTCAGGAACGGCGTCGATTGATTCCGACGTGACTGGACGTCGTCGATCCAACCCTTGATCCATTCCACCACTGCCAGGTGGTACCTACCTCTCGTTTCGTGGTAGCCTCAGCATCAGGTCCCGAAGCAAACCACAGCTCGGTGCTGAAGCCCACCTTGTGAGGGCGAGCCAATCCATCGCCAACCCGCCAAATTTCGACCAGCCACCCCGGCTGAGAGCACCAAACGCGCCATGCTACTAATGTGGCCTCGTACATAGGGGGCGGGCCCTCTTGACTGCAGTGGCCGGCGCAGCTGTCCAACTATAGTCTCCCTGCTGTGCAGTGCGCGATGCAACAGACGTGGACCTTGGACCGCGCCACAGCGGGCTGTGTGGGCAGCGGTTGAAGGCAAGTAGGAGAGAGGAGAGAAAAAACCATGGCCAATCCGCCTCGACCACCTGCCCACAGCCAACGTAACTCAACCAGGCGCTGCGAGCCCCAGGAGCCAACTGATCTAGTTCTTCCAATACTTCTCACATGCAGGCGGGCGGTTTGAGTGCAGTATTACGGTCTGCGCGTGTCCGCACCGCCAACAGCGATGTGTTGAGGCGTGGTGCATGCTGAGCTGCTGCTGGCTAGGTGCCTGCCTGCTTCACTCGGGCCCGCTGAATCGCTCAAAGGCACACTAAGATGCAAAGAGGACGCCTATCAGCTTGAATGGACCGAGAAAGATAAAGCAATGTCGACAAAACGGCGCAAGGCCAACCTACCGTACCCACGGAAAGTCTCTCCGATACGGTGCCCTAGCTGGGAATTGAAATGTGGCGTATTTCTTGACCGGTTTTGGAACAAATCGACCACAACATGAACCACAATCCCCCGTTTCGCCGCCATGGATGGGCTGGCCTCATCTGTCTGCAGGAGCCACACCGCGCGCCCAAGCAAACAGATTGCAAACAATACAGACACACACACCCGCACATGCCTTCCTTGGTACCCACATACACACTGCCAAGCCTAGGCCCGGTTGTCAAGCTGGCATTAAACACACATTCATTGATCGCGCGGGCTCGATATCAGGTCCCGATGATGGTTACCTCCGCTGGGACGCTGGGCTGCCCGAATGGGTAGGTAACTCATCCGCGCTGCGTGCCATTTGTCAGGTGGACACACACGGTCTAGGATGCCCGGCTCGCTCAGAATGTGGGCGGTCGTCGCTGGTGCGCCGTTTCTCCTCCATGATGGCGGCGAGGCAACTGGGAGCAGAACGAGAACCTGCGGCCGGGAGGAGGGGTCGCCAGCGTCGACGATAGGCCGGGCGATTTGGACGGGACCAATGCCCTCGCTCGCCATGCACCGCCCATGATGCCGACGTGCTTGCTTGCCCGCTCCCACACAGATCAGGTTCCCTGCCCTTCCGTGGCTGCCTGCAACCCTCCTTTCTGTTCCTCCACCTCTCCTACCCCTCCGCATGCACGGTGCTGGGGCCCATAAAACCCGCCATTATTATGTGCCAGGGCAATATTATTCTCGCGAAGGCGCCATCTCAAAGAGGCTAGCCACCCACCCGTGCTACACGTATTACGACCTAGGGCGGCATGCGGTTTACACCACAGTAACCACACACTGCTCAGAGTTTGCCACGGCACCTCCACCCTCCGCCCTCGCCCTCCATTCTCTGTTACCTCACCCAAGTCTTGTCCTCGGCCACTCTGAGGGAAGGAGCTGAACGGAAGAGCCCACTCGGGTTTGATTGTTTACGCCTGCATACCACTCCAATCTCCTTTCCTTGGTTGCCTCGTCCTGCTGTTGGCTCAGAGCTTCACAAAGAAGCATCGACAGCCAAATATTTTGACCGCTCCATTTTTCTGTTGTTTATTGTTTCCATCCCTGTGTCCGTATTTTGGCACCTGTCTACAAGCCACCGTCTTCGGGCTGAGAAAAAAAAAGCACTCTCGATTCCGTTGTTGGGCTCATTATTGTTTCAGTTCTGTCAGGACGTTCGTTCCAGGGTGCTTGTGAGCCGCCAGCTACTTGTACCGGTACACGTTCCTGTGCCACGGCTGCGAGGGCTTGTCCGAACCGCACACCGCAACTGTGCGCCGCCCACTTGACCTTACTTCCTTGTCCCTCTCGCTGTTTCCCCCTCCCACCCCCTTTCCACGCGCCCAACTAGCCGGTGCGAACCCACACCTGCCCGTCGCGCAATTTATTATTCTTGTTATTATTTTTCCTTTACCCTCTGCTAGGTTTCCCTGCGCCCCAGCAAAGCCGCCCGAGGAGGAAGATCTCTTGTTCTGGCCAAGAAAAATTAGTGGCCCTGGGCCGACCCAGACCCTCCCCATCCTGGCCCTCCGCCCTATTTTGGCTGGGCAAATATATATCAACATAGCCGGCAACGCTCCTCCGCTCGCTTCGCTCCCCGCTTTGCTTTTCTGTCCGCGAGGGGCAAACCGCCACTTCGCGACATCCGCAACAGCCACGGCCAACAACTGCTTCTGGTCACCATACCAGACTGTCTGTGACGCCTTGAAAGACATCACCCCGACCTTTTTGCGCAACCGCCCGGGTCACGCCCACGCTGTAAAGCGCGAACGAACGAATCAGTTGAGCACAAGAAGTCAAATTAGATCCGATCCATCGGTAAACAACAAGGAGCGACCGCAAGGCACACCCAGTGTGCTCACCTCGGCAATTCACGATTGGAGTCGGTCTGCCCACAAGACTCACTCTGCACCGAAATCGTCTCGCACCACGCTCGAATTAGCTGTCGAGATTCGCGCGGAGAAGACAGCCGGCGTTCTTCGCTTGCCCTGAGCAACCCTGGGCGACACCTCCCAACCCATCGGCAATCGACCCGCGACTTTTCAACGCTCTGAAGAGTACCCTCACTCCGACTTTCTGATCGCAGATCGTCGCGAGTGAAGGGTAGCCACTCCCATCGCAATCTACTCAAATGTCGTAAGTGTCTCACCGCCTCGGTCACATTTTTTTTTGCTTTGCAGCGGGCTAGAGAGATGGACTCGTTCAGCCCTAGGAGCCCCTCTTGATGGAATCAACTAACAGTGATTTAGTCATCGACAACGGACTACCGTCTCGATTCATTCCCAATCCCGTCAGCACCTCCACCCACACGGTCACGGTCACGGTCACGGGAGCTACGTAGGGAACTCTGAGGACGAGACAGAGAGCTATTCGACATCGAGCACCAGCGACGACCTGGTAGACGACGACGACGACGACGATAGGGACCTCGCACCCGACGACTCGGCCTCAAGCGCCGACTATCACTCTCACCCCGGCCCAACAAGGGAACACGTGCGCTATTCAACCCAGTCACGGTCCCGGTCCCAGTCGCAGTTCGGAAGGCAGCAGCAACCTTTGCAACCTTTGCAACCTTTGCAACCCGTACAAACCGTGCAGGCTGCCACGCCAATGAGTGACGAGGACGACTATGGCTTTGGCGGCGGCTATTCACGGGGCCCGCCTCAACACCAGAACTACTACGGTGGCCGAGGAGGCGGCGGAGGGTACCCCCAGAGCCACGCCGGCTACGCTCCCCAGGCGCACCAGGGGCACCAGGGGCACCAGGCGCATCAGGGGCAGGGATATGGCACCGCCGTGGCCCCTTACGGAGGCTACAACAATGGATATGGAGGGAATCCGTTCTCGCCGCATGGTGGGGCTCCCGCGAACAACTTCTACGAACAACAGCAGCCAGGCCACATGGTCCCCTACTCGCAGGGCTACGGCGGCTACGGTGTAGCCCCGCACAACAGCTTCCATCAGCCGCACATGCCGGGACATATGCAACAACCTTACATGTTCCACCCGCCGCCTCCCCCTACCGAAATCGCCACCAAGCCGCAAACCCCAGCGGCCCCGCCCCCTCCCCCTCCCCCAGCCGAACCCCCTAAGCCGGATCCGATGCTGGAAGCCCTGAAGAAACAGCTCGATGAGCTCAAGGCAGAGAAGGACAACCAAAAAGCTGCGGCCGAGCAAGCCGCCAAAGAGGCCAAAATACGACAGGAGGCCGAGGAGGCTTTCAGACGGCGCATGGAGGACATGAGGAAAGCGCAAGAAGAGGCTTCAAAAGCTATCGAAAAAGCCAAGGCTGAGGCGGAGCAGGCTGCCAAGGATCGGATTGAAGCGGAGCGCAAAGCCGAGGTCGAACGCCAAAGGTTACATGAGGAGACCATGAGGCGAGTGGAGCGCGAGGCCCGGGAGAAGGTGGAAAAGGAAAGGCGAGAGTTCGAGGAGCGACAAAGGTTGCATGCAGAGGCCATGGCGCGGGCGGAACGTGAGGCCAGGGCAAAGCTCGAGGCCGAAAGGGCGGCGCATGAGGAGCGGCAACGGGAGCACGCCGAGGCCATGGCGCGAGCTGAACGTGAGGCTAGGGCCAAGATGGAGGCAGAGAGGATAGCGCGTGAGGAGAAGGCCAGGCGGGAGGCCGAGGTGGCGGCGATTGCCGCAGCAAAGCTCAAGGCCGAGATCGAGGCGGCCGTGCGCGCCGAGGAGGAGGCCAAAGCAGCCAAGGCCAAAAAGGAGGCCGAAGAAGCCGCGGCCGCAGCAGCCAAACTCAAGGCTGAAATCGAGGCTGCTATCCGCGCCGAGGAGGCGGCCAAAGCAGAAAGGGCAAAGAAGGAGGCTCAGGAGGCCGAGTGGCGGAAGAAGCTCGAGGATGAGGCCAAGATCAGAGCCGAACTTGAGGCTCGCCAGAGGCTCGAGGCCGAGAAGGAGGCTGCTGCCAAGGCTGTCGTTGCCGCGGCGGAGGCGAAGGCGGTAGAGGATGCCCTCAAGAAGAAGTATCAGGAGGAGGGTGCGGCCAAGGCAGAGGCGGCAGCGGCCAAGGCTGCAAAGGAAGCCGAGGAGGCGGAAAAAGAGAAGTTGCCCATCAAGTTTAAGGATGCTGTTGGGCGCAAGTTCAGTTTCCCCTTCCATCTTTGCCAGACGTGGCAGGTAAGTCAACTCACCGGCGCTACGATGCCCCTTATCCCCATGGAGCCGCTCGGCCCACTAACCAGTGCTTTCTTGTACCAGGGCATGGAAGAGCTCATCAAGCAGGCCTTCCTCCACGTTGAAGTGCTCGGACCCTTGGTGCAGCAAGGCCACTTCGACCTCATCGGCCCCGATGGCGAGATCATCCTGCCAGCTGTGTGGGACAAGGTTATCCAGCCCGACTCGACCATCACTATGCATATGTGGCCCATGGACCGACGACCGAGCCAGCCGCCGGGGTCTCCGCCCGGCATGCCCCCACGCCCGCATGGACACCACGCTCACCCAGGCATGAGGCCGCCCAGCAGCGGCGGCGGCGTGCCTCCGCAGGGGGCTCGTAGGCCTGGCCCACCGCCCCCTCCAGGGTGGCCCGGCCACGTTCCCGGCCCTATGCCCATGGGCATGGGCGGGCCGCCGAGGCCGCCGATGCCACCAGGCATGCAAGGCATGCCTGGCATGCCTGGCATGATGAGGGGCCCTGGCCCCAACATTGTCAACGTCAGCCCCGGGCCGGGCCCGGGCGTGGTCGAGGTCATGCAGCCCCGCAAGACGAAGAAGAAGCAGGCCCCGCCGCCGAGCTTCCTTGGGGCCTTCCTTGGAGGAACCAAGCCCGTCAAGTCTACCAAGAAGTAAGCTCACTGCCAGCCCCTTTGCTGACTGCACTCGCATCATTCTTCCCTCTCCTCCATCTCCATCCCAACTGAACCCGCCGCTTCTCCATCCACTAACCTCTGTTTCTCCGATAGGAAAGCGAAATGATTCATACCGAGTCGGTCATGGTTGTCGCCTTGTTGCATCCCTACAGGATTCCATAAACGATCTCTTTTGCTCTCACAGAAAGAACATAGTCCCTCTCTGTCACCTTCCATAAGATCCTCCTCGTGGCTTATAACAAGTTGGCACTTTGTTTTCCCTTTCCTGTTTTGTACGCAGCGACCTGTTGCCTTTGGCTTTTGATACCTTTGTCGCCTTGCAATTCCCTTGTGCCACCTGGGTAGCGGGTATTTGGAAAAAGAAAAAAAAAGAAAAAAAAGACCATCCATCTCCCAAGTTTGTGCCACTGGCATCTCGACACATTGCCTCGTTGCATACCCCCTCCTCTTTCCTTCCTCAACATGCGGCTTCTTGGTGGTGTTTGACTAGACGAGTCCATGCCTCCGTCTCCTCATTCTTTCCACCACCAAATTTGGTGCCTTAAATTGGCTATTTGAAGTTGGACATGATTTCTTCAATGTTGTCTGATTATTCTCATAGCCCACCACACCAGCCTCCTCCTGTGTGACCCATACTCAACCCACAGGAAGGTCGCCACACAACGCTCACGATCGAATGACTGACACGGGGCTATTCCCGTCTGGGTGTGGCTGCGGGTGGTGCTTTTTGATTCTTCTCTAGCTTCTTTCACCGCTTTTACTCTGCGACGTGGGGATTATTTGTATTTTGAACAGCTCGTGGGCCGGCGCCGGGGCCTAAATTTCTTTCAAGACACATGAGCAGATATACCCTTCCACCTAGACAGAGCAACACTCACAAAAGGAGATAATAGCTACAAAACAAAATAAAGCCTTAAAAGCCATGTGTGTCTGTTGCAAATGTTGGGCATACTGTTTGTATCGGATAAGAAAACAACACCTCAGAGCTGCACTCGGACAAGCCAGACAGCGGATATGTCCCGGAACAGCCAGCGAGTGAGGACCCTGGCTAAAGGGCGGACTTGCCCAATTATACCATGACAAAAAAAAAGTCTCGGCAAGCCAATGTTGCACGTGTAAAAGCGGCGGCGACAGGGCCGCGGCATGCGTTGCTACCCCGCGTGCGGCCAGGTCGGTATGTACGCACCCGTCTTCGCGCCGTCCCTGGGTGCCTTTCGACTGGTAAGAAATGGAGGACCAATCACCCTGCTCTCGCTCTCTCGAACCCAGATTTTGCCAGCTCTCAGCCCGTGCTACCCGAGTCTAGTCTGTAGTGACGGGGAGCCTTTCACGGTGCGGGTTTTGCTTGCCCATCAACGGCGCCCGCTTTCCCAGCAGCTGAAATCCCGGACGGGAAAAAAAAGGACCGACAAAACGACGAAACGGACGGGGAAGAGGTTCCATGGCAGGGGGCAATTTGCCGCGAATGACAAACACAGTGGAAAGGCCGCTGATAGGAGGTCTTGGCTCGGGTCAATATGAACGCACAGGTTCTGCAATCGTGCGGCCTGCCCCAAGAGTTCCGTGGGCCACCTGAAACATTTGACATTGGAAGTCCCCACGCGGGGGGGGGTACTTTCTGAAGCTTTCCAAGCCCGATACGGAAGGCTTCAATGCGTTGCTTAGTTCTGGTGACCGAAAGAGATGGTCGAAATGAAGAGAGAGGGATTGACACCGACCCGTGGCGGACGCTGGGCCGAATGAGGATGAGGAAAAGGTTCCTCGAACGCGAGGCGCGGACGAGATCTTGGAGCGAGAAGGAGAGCGAGCGACGGTTTTAACTGAAGAAAGGAAAAAGAAAGGAAAGGAGAGGATGGACCAAATTTCGATAAAAGGATAGAAAACAAAAGGCTTCACACAGCCCTTGATGGAAAAGATTTTGTCCTGGACAGGTTTGTAATGGATGGTTCTCTGGATGATGTTTAATGTGTTTTGGGAGAAAAAGTTCTGGGAAAAGGACTGGGAATGTCAATACAGCTTTTTTTCTCCCCAATCGGGATTTTCAACAAATTTTAAGGCCTCCTTCCTGGCCTGCTCAAAATGCTTACCGAGCTCGGTCGGGAAAAGGAGTGACAAAGCGCGGGCTCCTCAGCGGAGCGAAAAGGAAGGTGTTTGGGGCAGATGTGGTAATTTAAAGTTCTGGATAAAAGGAAAGTTTTGGAGTGTCGTTGGCTGGATGTTGGTCGGATGGCAGCTGATTAAATTGGCGTGTCAGGTTTGGCGCCGGCGCCAAATAGCTTGGAGGTTAACTTGAGGCGACGTGATGTGGCAGATGTGTGGCTTGCCAGGGCGATTTGGAACTTCCAAAATTTTGGAAAATTTTGGAAGGTTTGAAATAGCGGAGGGAGGGGGGCTTCGGAAACGATTTGAGGCGCTATGTGCGACGATGGGACGGCTGTAAATTGACGAGTTTTGCCTTGTCCAATTCCGGATCAACGGTAAGACAGGATCTGCTCAAAAGGAAGGGTTTGCTGTTAAGCAGCCAGTTGAAAAGGAAGATGAAATTTATTGGCTTGTAGCAGGGCAGGTTTTCGCGGGATCTTGTGATGCGACCGATAGAGCGGCCGAATGAGGTTTTGACGCGACCGTAAAAAACACCAAAGATGACTGGCGATAGTGGTTTTCTCGGCTTCAATTGCTCGTTATACGCAGGCAAGGTGGGAAGCTGGTACTCCGTGTAATCCCTGCCTAGATCGCCATAAAACGAATGGGCGTGCAAGGTGGTCAAAAGTGCGGTGTGAAGGGCCGATCGGTGCGATAGGCTAAAGTAAGTGGGTTTAGGGCCCGTGCACCACCGATGAGTCATCCCATCCTGACAGTTCCTAGGACAGCTTCTTCGCCCTATATCCGTTTCGCCCTTCAGCTCGTCCAGCTTCCCATGCTACAAAGCCTCCACATTCCATCCAATGGATTAAGGCATGCCAGGCCAATCCAACGGCAGAATAACCACACCTTTGGAAATGCCACCATCGTTTAGAAAAGCCACGTGCCAATGCTTTCAAAAAATAAAAATAAAAGAGAGAGAGAAAAAGGGCAGCGCGGTGCAAAAGACCCAAGTGGGTGTTTGCTATTCCCAGATATCCACCCTCATTAACCTATCCTATAAAATGAGGCAGAAAATATTTACCAAATCCACTTCAGTTACCATCCCAGACACGACGAAAGGAAGCCTATCGGAACTTCGACTCCGTGCTAGACAGACTCGAGCAGCGCCGCGCCCGCGACCCTCTGTTGAGATTCCCATCAGTCCAGGAGCGGGATGAGCTTCGAGGTCACGGTCCTCCATGAGAAAACCACTTGAATCCAGAGGTCATCATCAGGGCGAGCTCCCTCTTTCTCGCTGCCAAACGTGCGTTTGCACGAACGCCGACACTGTGGGGCCAGGCTTGGCCAATTGCCGTGCGAGGAAGTTTAATTGTGGGCTATACCCCCACGTAGCACTCCTCGCCCAGCGTGATGGAAACGTCTCAAGCAGCTGCTGAAGGACAGCCCCTACATCAAGCGGACCAAGGACCGGATCCAGCTGAGCAGGATTATCTGCACGTAGCCCTGGTAGTCCACTCGGCGTCCTCGGCCACCGTGCCAGAAAAGAGTGCTAAATGCTTTCTTCGGCTCGCAGTCGCGGCTTGGCTCGTTGGGTCTAACACCGCAGAGCTGTTCCGCGCGAGGGTTGCAGCATCAAGAAGATTTCCTACTGCTCTAACGTCGGAGCACTATACGTGCAAATGTGCGGCGAGCTTGCCCATACTCTTTACACGCATGACCTCGTCGATTCTGGAAAGGACGTCGAGGACTGGGTCAAAAGCAAGCTTGCATATATACTAACCAAGGTTCAAATCACATTCCGTCTTGCAGCGTAAAGGGAATATAGAGATCTGTAGCTGGGTGTTTGACTTCGGACAGGGCGGTGAGAGCAGAGACAGCTGACGAAAGCAGCAACATAAAGCCTACACGAGCCCTGTCCGTGTCGCTGGAGAGGTTGTGTGCACAGCCAGCCACGGGTGCATGCGCAGTAAAGTGGCCGACTTATCGCTGGCCAACACCGCCAACACCATGCGGCGATTCCCGATGTTCAACAGATGTCCGGATGATCTCGGCGTTTGTCCTTAAAGCCTCCGTGGTCAAGGATATGCTCTTCGTCGTCAATGTTCAGCGTGGCCGTGCATACAAACCAAGTGACGTTTCGTGTCAGCAGACGGCGGACGTTGTGCAGGTGGGTGAAGTCGGGCCTGAACTCGCGCCAGTCATCAATGTTGTGCATCTCGCCGATCGCAAAATAGGATGGTATATCCGCGAAAATCAGCTGATCGCATGGCGGCTTTGAAGCCCGGGCTGAGGGCTTGCTCTGGGGATAGGAGGCATGGAGGATATGGGGGTATATACCGTCCCTGACCTCATCCCACCCATTTTTCTCCTTGTTGTTCGTCTGCCACTAACCGGGTGTGTCGCCGTGCAAGGCTGAGGGAGCGAGGTCACGGGATGCCTGACGGTCCTGGGGGTATAGATATCTGGTGCAGCTTTGAGAAAAGGAAGGAGTTAAATATGCGTATGTCAAGGATGCCGCTGGTCAGGTACCCTCCAACCGGAGATGTTGTCAATGCATTTGAGAGCCTCTATTCTTGTATACATTCTTACCAACTCGTTTCGTATCCACCGAGTGTCCCTCTAGTCTCATCATTTTTGCCACCGCCGTCTTGGACACGACAGTACAATCTGCAGTACTCTCGTGCCGGCCTGACACAGATAAGCTTGATGAATTCTTGCCCAAACTTTCCTACGCCCCTTGTGCCAAGATGGGAGGCGCCGGGAGCATCTCGAAGCAACAGCCCGCTTAAGATGCCGCGGTTACCAGCTATTAGTTCAAAGGAACCTAGCAAGACGCCCCCGACTGAGCGGTGTCTGCCCCGGCCGTTACTACTAGAGGTGCCGGCGAGCTCTACAGGCCTGAGTCTGATTCGGCCCCATCCAAAGCTGGGCCTCAAAAGAAAAACGCCAGGAGGGGACGGCTCTCGGGCGACAGAGACCACAGGAAAGTAAAATCACGGGTACTAACAGGTCTGGAGTAACGCGACGGGCAGGACAGGACAATGCCTTGCTTTCCCATTTGATGAAAACATTTCGTGGAGGCAAGCCGGAAGCCGATATGTTGAGAGAAGAAGCTCTTGGTTGTTCATGAAAGCAAAGGGTCACAACTTGCTCACCCTGTCAGATGGGAGGGAGCTAGTCCTTTTCTAGGCCATTTGTAGATTGGTCGTTCGAGATTGCGATAAAAAAAAGCCTGACTGGTGCTCCTTTGCCTCTGTTGTCATAGATCAAGGCGTTTGGCACGCGGTACGGTGTTGGACGATCTCATTGAGCGTCGAAGCGCAAAGAGGAGGATTTCGTAAGATCCTGCCGCGATGCCCACAAGAACTCACAACCACAACGCAGTACCATACTCAAACCACGGGCAACAAAATCGAGACATCCGTCAATGGAGCCCGTTCGGAGAGAGTAGACAGACACAGCTCCAAACCCACACAGGTGCTTGGTCAGACTAGTGGAGGATATACCGGCTTCTTGCAAGGAATCCTACTGCTAGATAGGTACATAGCGAAGAGTGTCGATTTTGTCAGAAAGCAGAAAATGGCCGTAAAGCTCGGATCACACAAGGGGAGATTGGAAGTGGAGACGCCCCCAGACTTTTATTTGAGGCCACCGGCAACCTACGCTGGCCAACATAGTAGAGTGCTAGGGTGCCTATGGCAGCTTATCTACGGCTACAAATATGAACAACATGAGAATCCCTTATTGGCTTCCAGCTCGCTGTTATTGTTGCTATCCATTGCTTTGGATTGGCAGCAATTGGGCGGTACCTCCTAAGTTGCCAGAAAGGGGTGTTGAGTTCAGGGTAGGTGCGAGCAGGGAGGGCTAATAATTGGAACTGCATATCCCTCCACTGGAGAAAGGCCAAGATAAACGAAAAGAAAATGGGGGCGAGTTTACACCAATGCAGACAAGTCCCAAACCTACTAGACCAACTAATACAGTTCAAAATACCTTCTCCCTTACCGCGGCGGCAGTAGCCGTCAGGGATGGGCAGTCTAAATTCTGTGACGTGTTTGTGACAGGACGAGGAAGCTGCAGGTCCTTGATCCATTGACCACGTCAACAGGACGTTGCTAGCCGACTTTGGTAGTCCAAGGCTCGGGTGTAACAGGCCGGACCCGATGTAGAGGGAGATATGGATATGGGATAACATAATGGAACCCGGCAGTTTCGTCTCACATAAAATGATCGTCCTTAGTATCCCACCCCTTCTTCTTCCATTTCTTGCATCCAAGCCCACCACGACGCCATGGGTGCCGAGAAATTACAGCCCGACGTTGAACAGACGTCCCTGCCGACCTCAGGCGACGCCGCGACCGACGACGAGCCGCCGTACAGCGTCTTCTCAGCGGGTGAGAAGTGGCTGCTGGTCTGCATCGTGGGGCTGGCCATGCTCTTCTCGCCGCTGACGGCCAACATCTACTTCCCGGCCATGGCGCAGCTGCGGGCGGACCTGGGCGCGACGGAGCAGGAGATCAACCTGACCGTCACGGCGTACCTGGCACTGCAGGCCGTGGCGCCCGTGCTGCTGGGCGACCTGGCCGACTCGCTCGGGCGGCGCCCGGCCTTCCTGGCCATGTTCTCCGTCTACACGGCGGCCAGCGCGGGGCTGGGGGCGCTGCGGCGGGGCGGCGGCGGGCTGGGGCCGCTGATGGCGCTGCGGGCGGCGCAGAGCGTCTGCAGCGCGGCCGTGGCCGTGTCGTACGGCGTCGTGGCCGACGTGGCCACGCCGGCCGAGCGCGGCGGCATGGTGGGCGCCGCCATGGTGGCCGTCAACCTGGGCCCCGCGCTCGCCCCCATGCTCGGCGGCGGCATCCTGGCCGCGTCGGGCGGCGACTGGCGCTGGATCTTCTGGTTCCTCGTCATGTGCGGCGGCGCCGTCCTCTCATTGGTCGCTTGCGCGCTGCCTGAGACGGCACGTGGCATCGTCGGCAATTCCGCGGTCGTTCCTCGATCCCTGTGGCGCCGCCCGCTGGCGACCGCCTGCTGCGGGATTCGAGTCCCGGCTGCCGCGAGGCTAGCCGCTCCTGGCGGTGGTGGTGGTGGTGCCGTTGGCGGTGCCGTTGGTGGTGCCGTTAGTGCCACTCCTGGCGCTGCCGTTGCCCCTGCTGGGCCCAACCCCGCCTCCACACCCCCTCCTCCTGCTTCTACTACTGCAACCCCACGGCGGAGGCTGCCCAACCCGCTTCGTTCCGTCCGGCTACTGTTCTACCGAGACTCCTCCCTGGTACTACTCGTCAGCGGCGTCTTCTACATGGTCTACTACTGCCTCCAGGCCTCCATAGCGACCCTGTTTAAGCGCATCTACGGCTTCGACGACGGCGTCATCGGTGCGTGCTACCTTGCAGTCGGCTCGGGCGTCGTCTTGGGCGGCTACCTCAACGGCCGGCTGCTCGACTGGAACTACAAGACCACGGCGCGGGAGGCCGGGATCGAGGTGGACCGGAAGCGAGGGGATGACATGAGCAGGTTCCCCATCGAGATGGCGCGCCTGCGGTCGATGCAGGCCCTCCAGTTCGCCCACCTCGTGGTCCTTGTCGGGTACGGCTGGGCGCTGGAAAAGGCGGTGGTACGTCAGCCCGACACCTCCCGGACTCGGTCTCTTATCTAACCCGAGCCCCATCCAGCACGTAAGCGTCCCGCTCATACTGCAGTTTATCCTCGGGTTCCTTCAAACCTGTATTGTTCAGGTACGTGGGTCACCCGGCTTACCCTTTTGGCCGAAGCCGCTATCTCAGGGGGTTTGTTTTTTTGTTGACTAGTACACGACAGACCGGAAACACTCTGCTGGTGGACATTTTCCAGGAGAGCCCCAGCGCGGCCGCTGCCTCGGGCAACATTGTGCGCTGCGGCCTATCGGCCGGCGGCATTGCTGCCATGGGGCCGCTCATGGCCGGGATAGGGCCTGGCTTTTTCTTCGCCGCGCTTGCCCTCTTCGGGACAATATGTGGTGTTGCAGGGACTCACGTGCTGTTGATCAAAGGCATGCAATGGAGGCTCGACAGGACTCCTCTCGGGTGCCTCTGAGCTCTCTCGCATGCAGCTCCTTCAGTATCGGCGCCATAGGCTTACATATTTACAAGGGTGAAATCCCGAGGGCTATTTCCAGTTCCGCGGCTGCTACTGGCAGGGCCCGTGGGGGGCGCCCAGCGGGACTTATGCAAGGGGATGGGAACGAGAGGATCACGAGGCCAACAGAAATTTATCCCGCACGAGAAAGAGAAGCGGTAGATCGACACGCCCTGAAACACCCACAGCCCACCCGACAGCCCGCCTATGCCCCGACTGCAGGAATAGGCATGGCTTCTATCACACGGGGCTGGACGGCATTAGCGCCCGGAGCGGCGGTGTGCTCGCCAGCTGCCTGCGAGTCGAGCTCACCCCCGGCCCGCCTGGCCAGGTACCCGTCATACCCTTCCCCATACTCGGCGACCAGGCGTCGCATCCCCTCAATGGCACTTTTTTTTTTCGTGGGTAACAGTCAGTACAGGTCCCTCCCAGCGCAAGGCAGAACATTTAACCGGGCTTAGGATCCGATTTCGGGTGTGCTTACAGTCCCCTGATGGCCTTGTTGGCGGACCACAGAACCGAGACGGCGAGGTCGCTCCTCATGGCATAGAGCATGTTTCGGCCGTCCTTGTCCTCGGTCGGTTCCGATGCGCCGAATTTGTCAAAGTAGTATTTGACGTGCGCTTGGCTGGTGCGGTAGCGGGTGGCCCGCCACATTGAGAAGTCATCTGACGCATAGCAAGTCAGCCCATGCCCTTGACGTACGTGGCGGCCCCATGTAGCTGCACCCCCCGGATGTCCAATCGACAGGGGTTTCGGCAGCGCGTGGGGGGAGCCAAGGCAAAGAAGGTTTGGCAAGAGGAAGAGGAGGAGGGATGCGGGAGGAGCGGCACCAGGGAAAATGGGGCGAGAAATGGGAATGCGGGAAGGCCGGAAGCAGGGCTGAGGGCTGTGTGGGAGAGGGAGAATAGGGAGAGGGGAGAATGGATATGAGTGGACGGGTGCAAAACAAATAAACGCCCAGTGGTGGCTTGTGCACTTACATTCGTGGTGCCCGTAGAAGCAGCCGGGGTCGTACAGCACCGGCTCCATCGTCTCGGCGTCTATCGACACGTTTCCGTGCCAGAGGTCGCCGTGCACCAACGAGGGCCGGATGCTGCGCCCCTCGGTCTCCATGGGCCGCAGGAGGCGGGGGATGACCTTTTCCAGGACCGCGGCGCTAAGCTGCTCGAGCTCCTCGTGCGGCCCATGCGTGGCCAGCTCGGTCTTCATGAGCTCCCGCATGTTGCGGGTGAAGTACTCCTCCCACGTGTCGCACCACCTGTTGTCGTTGGGCAGGCGCCCGCAGAAGGTGGTCGTGTGGAAGCCGAACCTGCCGTTGGGGCTCGTCTGGCCGTGCAGCTGGCCGACGAGGTCGACGAGCTCCGATATGGCGGGCAGGTCATCGTCCAGGTAGCGGAACTCGGCGATAAAGAAGGAGCGGGACGGGTCGCGTGCGCAGAGGCCCCAGGCGACGGGGTTGGGGATGTTTTCCGGGATGACGGCGCGCATCGCCTTGAGACCTTCATATTCACCTCTTGCGATATCACCAGCCCTTTCGGTGGTATATACCTAGTGGTATCCGGGTAGGTGGAGAGATGGGGGATAGGTCAGCCTCTTGCTTTGTTTGCTGGCTGCATGAAGAGGGAGGAGCCCAACCTTCAAAAAGTAGGACTGTTCCGAGCCATCGGACAGGACAGTATCGATCTTACTGTTGAATGCCCAGAAGCTCGCACCACTCGTGGCCGCCCATTCGATTGTGAGCCCTTGCGGTAGAGCTGCTCAAAGAGGCCAATGTCAGCGTCAAAATCCTGTAAAAGAAACTGGAAAACAGCCATCTCTGGATACGGACCCTTGAGCACATTCTCATCGATCTCGGTCCCCTCGTACTGGTCCTCCTCCGGGATCGTTGGCACCACAAACTCGGGGTCGATGATAACCATGGTTCCCACCCCGCCAGCTCAACTGGCCGAGAGCCTGGAAGTCTGGAGTCTGGAGTCTGGATGGCGAATGTGGTCGGGCACACAGGCAGATGTGGGTGTTGGGCGATTGGGTGATGCCCGATGGACGCTGTCTCGCTGGCTTTTGGGACCTTCTGCGTCCTGCAGGCAACGCAGCAGCGAGGGCAGGACCGCTTAATATACCGCAGACGCATGTAACCACTGCCTCCCAGAGAGGCAGACTATCCCGGATGAGTGGTTACATGACAGCCGAGCGACATGTCACGGTCCAATCGCGGCCGCATCATAGCCCGAGCCTAATGTGCGTTGATCCCAGCCCCTCTCATCGTCACCCTGCCGCGCCCTGTTTTTATTTTTTTCGATGCTCCCTGTCTTTTTTTTGCTGTGTCAGCGCTCTGGCCAAGTCGCAACAAGCTGCAACGGGCTGCAACTCGTCAGACCACAAAAAAAAACCCCTCGCGACGCATTCGCTGGCCTGCCAGCCCGATGAGTGGGGAGGGGATAACAGTGGTAGTGGTTGGGAGCGGGAGGCGATCTTTTTTCAATGTGCCAGTCCCCCCCTGCCGCCCTCGTTGCCACCGCCCTTCGACTGTTGATGCGCAAAAACACAACATGGCGCTCTCTTACAAGCACCTCGGGGATCTTTCCCGCGCACAGCAGACACGGATCGAATCTAGCAGGACGAGAGTTGCAGGCTAGACAGCCGCCTCACGAGCATCGGACCATCTTTTTCTTCACTACCATATTTCACCATTTACACCTATTTGCATCTTGCAGCAGGCCCTGCCCCTCAAATCGTGTCCCCTCGTTCTAGCCAAGCCCGCGTATAACGGAAAGCCAGTGCTACCTTCTCTGCCCGCAACACCGCCAAAGGAAGAGACGGACTGTGGTATAATATCAGGGAAAAGAGCAGCGCAAAAAGCAGGAGAGAAGTAATAAGAGCAGGGAAGCAATCACAAAGATTGGAAACAAAAAGTACAGGAAAGAGCAGAGGCAATCAGCCCCTGCCGTCTTTTATTGTCGTGGACCAGCCCGCCCAGGATGGAGTCTCGAGTAAGCGCCATCCCTTATTGCAGCACCACCTGACTCGCCAAACCACACCCGATTGACACTGGCGCCTTCCCGATATTCCCAACAGCCTCGGAACGAGCCTCGCCCAGGCCTCCTCAGCGAGAGGCATTCCTTCCCTCTCCAGACGCCGTCGCTTTCAGTCTCGGGCATCCGCAGAGGACTGACTCGCGGCTTCAGCTTCCAGCGAAGAAGCACCATCGCCAGCGCCAGCGTCACCATATCGTCTGGCTGCACCAACGCCAGCTCCGACGTCGCCTTCCAGGCCGACACTTGGGGCCCGCTCGGCCTTAATCTTCTGCACTCGCCGCCCGAGCCCCTGATCGACTTCATCTTCGTCCACGGCCTGCGCGGCGGCTCCATCAAGACATGGACCAAGGGCGGCGACCCGCGCCTGTTCTGGCCCCAGGCCTGGCTCCCCCGTGACCCAGACCTCCAGCACGTCCGCATCCACTCGTACGGCTACAACAGCGACTGGGGCGATAACAAGCATGACTTCCTGGACCTCGATGACTTTGGCCGCTCGCTGTTTGGCGAGATGTCGACGTCGCCGCACCTGAGGCGCGACAAGACGCCCATCATCCTCGTCGGTCACTCCATGGGCGGCCTGGTCATCAAGAAGGCCTACCTCTTCGCCCAGCGTGACAGCCAGGCAACGGACCTTGCTTCGAGGATCCAGTGCATGTTCTTCATGGCCACGCCGCACCGCGGCAGCGACTCGGCCAAGCTACTGAACAACATCCTGCGTGCGAGCGCCGTCCACAACAGCAAGGGGTACATCACCGACCTCATTCCCAACTCGTCGCAGATTTCCAGCATCAACGACGAGTTCAGGCACTCGACCGACTCCCTTCAAATCTGGTCCTTCTACGAGACCGTCAGGACCAAGCTCGGCACTAGTAGCGCCGCCATCGTTGGCAAGGAATCTGCTATCATGGGACACAAGCAAGAGATAGTGAACCCGTTGTATGCCGACCACAGGAATATCTGCAAGTTCGACAGTCCCGCAGATCCAAACTACGCTTTCATCCGGAACTCGTTGGTAAAGGCCACCGAAGACGTCCTTGGCGACATATTCACTGAAAAGGCGGACGAGACTAGGGTCGAGATCAGCTTGCTCGAGACGTACCTGCACATCACCCACGACCCCGAAGACGACATACTCAACATTGAGTCCAAAAAGATTCCAGGGTCTTGCGAATGGCTTCTGGAAACACCATCTTTCCGGGACTGGAGAGACGGGGATTCGGCAAAGCATCCACTGCTATGCTACTGGCTGACGGGCCAGCCGGGCGCAGGGAAGTCGCTCTTGACGTGCCACACCATCCGACACCTGCAGGACGACCTCGGCGTGGATACATGCTACTACGTCTTCCGACATGGGCGGCGGGGGCAGCAGACTGCCAGCAGCATGCTCCGTGCCCTTGCCTTTCAGATGGCCATGTTGCACCCCGCCGCCCGTAGGGCCTTGGTTTCCATGAGCGAGGCAGGTGTCACGTTCGACAAGGACGACGAACGAACCATCTGGAAGAAGATATTTGTCAATGGAGTCCTGTCGCTCCCAATCCCCTCGGCACAGTATTGGGTTATCGACGGGCTCGACGAGTGCATCAATGCAGACCGACTCCTGTCGTTGCTCTGCAGCCTGCAGCCTGAGCCCGACCGCATTTCCCTGCGAATCTTCTTTAGCTCCCGCCGACTACCGGACCTTGAAAGGCACTTCTCCCGCTTCGACACCGATGAGCGGCTTTACCGCCATCAAATCAGCTTCGAGGACACACGGGCCGACATTCAGCGCCTCGTAGAAGACAGCTCCGACAGCCTTCCTGTCGAGCCGGAGAGACGGGCTGAGCTTGTTGAGAAGTTGGTATCCCGATCTGACGGTGCCTTCCTCTGGGCTGACTTGGCGCTTGATGAGCTTGGCAAGGTCTTTGACGAGGACGAGATCAACGAGGCGCTGGACCAGGTTCCCCTTAAGATGGAATCACTGTACACTCGCATTCTTGAGGATATGGAAAACAACAGGCGCCATATCAAGCTAATGGCGGCACTCCTCGAGTGCGCGGTTTGTAGCACGCGTCCGCTCAAAGTTGACGAACTACAAGCCTGCCTCTCTTTACAGCTCGGCTCACGGGTCCTCAATATCGAGCGCATCATCGACGAGTTGTGCCCCCAGCTTCTCCGTGTCGATCCCCACGGGAACGTGCAGCTCGTTCACGCAACCGTCGGCGACTTCCTCCTGAGCGACGACTGCACATCCGCCTTTCAGCTGCAAAAGAGCGCCGCACACGCAGACCTAGCCACCGTCTGCCTTGGGTACCTAGTCGAAGATGAGATGCGCCCACCCCGCCACCCTGCGTTTGCATCCAAGGCCTCCGCCAAGGTAAAGGTTAGGTCGGCGTTTGCCGACTACGCCTGCACTTCGTGGTCTGAACATCTAGCGCTGTCGTCTTCGGCTTCGGACGAACTGTTCCTCCTCTTGGACAAGTTTTTCCGATCCAACGTGCTGTCGTGGGTAGAGCATGTCCTCCGCCGGAAGGGCAACCTCTACCACCTGGCAAGAGCATCGAGGAATCTGCAGAGGTACCTCGATCGGAGGGTGAAGCACACGTCTCCTATTGGGAAGCAATTCAGCAACATACAGGCTTGGCAGACGGACCTCGCGCGCATCGCACTCAAGTTTGGCACCAGTCTGCTCGAGGACCCTTCGGCAATTCACTTTGTCGTCCCTCCCTTGTGTCCTACCCTCTCCGGCATACATCGCGAGTTTGGCAACAGTGCCAAGGGGCTCCATTTGGCCGGAATCACCAACGAGACCTGGGACGACTGCATATGCTACATCGACTATCGCCTTGGGCGTGCTGTGTGTCTGACGGCTTGCGACGGCTGGTTCGCCATAGGTATGAAGTCGGGACACGTCAAGCTCTACCGACAAACTGCTTGCGACCAAGCTGCCCAGCTCGACCACGGCGAGCCTGTCAGGTGCTTGAAGTTTGACCATGCCTCACGGCGGCTTGTGTCCTTTGGCTTCAGCAAGATGAAGATGTGGAAGATTGACGACGCAACCTGTTTATGGACCGTTGCTCGCGATTCCAAGAGCCTTGTGACCACGGTCACTTTCACCGAGGACGACAGCTCGCTCCTTACGGTTGACAAGCACGGCAACATTGCGGCCTTTAGCGCCAAGTATGGCATCAGGATTGACGAGCCGAGCACCGCTCAAACCTTGACACACAGACGCGGCACCCGGCAGGTCATCTTGGACGCCGACATCTGTCCCAATGCCGAGCTGCTCGTGATCGCGCACCGGGGCAGACCTCCACAGATCTGGGGACTGCAGCCAGACGTTATGATTGGTGTTTGCAATCTCCGGCGGGATACCCCAGGACACCCCATCATGTCAGTTTCCGAGGTCCTCTTCAACCCGAACCCGGCCATCGAGCTATTGGCCGTATCATATCAGGACGGCGAACTTGCCATCTTTGATCGCTGGGCGGAAGAGGAGCACGAGCTCAAATCAGTGGCTGGAAACGCGTTGGCGCTCTCCTCGAGCCCTGACGGACACACCCTGGCGACTGGGGACGCCCATGGGGTCATAAAGCTTTGGGACTTTGAGACCTTGTCACTCATGTACTGCATTCGCTCCAACGAGACCGAGGTGCGGTCACTGGCCTTCAGCGGCGACGGCAGCCGCCTTTACGACATCCGAGACACCAAGACCAAGGTCTGGGAGCCCTCAGTGCTTCTACGCAAAGCCGCGACGGAGGAGTCGAGCATCAGTGATTCCGTGGCGGCACTAATCCCAGCTGTCGACGCGCCTGTCAGCCAAGAGACCCTCGATGTGACGCACGTTATCGCCCCGCCAGGTGCCGGCTGTATCCTCGCTGGTCGCAACGATGGAGCCGTTGCCGTCGGCGACCTGCACACCGGAATCATTGCTTCCTCGCCGCTCTATACACATCCCAAGGGCACATACGTCACCAAAATCGCTTGGAACAGTTCCCTCATCGCGAGCGCCGACTCGGATCGTCAGGTCGAAGTGCGCGCCATTAGAGACGGAAGCCAACCGGGGTCTCCAGCACCTTGGTCCGCGGACCAAACGCCCATCTATGAAACTAAGCTCGATGGGCCCCTTCTGACCTTGATGCTCCACCCAGACCAGCCGTTGCTGTTGATTTCCTTGGGTCTCGAAACAAGGCTGGTGGACCTGGTATCAAGAGAGGAACGCATACTTCGTTGCGAGCACGATGACGACCCGTTCCGCACCTGGGCCTGGGTTACCTTGCCGCATGGACCTGTTTGCGTCCTTGGTGCTCGCGCGCACGAAATCGACGCATTCACCTGCGAGCCAGGGCCTGAGATGACCCTGTTCTACAGATGGGGAGTTGCCGCCAAAGACGCTGAGCCGGCGGCAATAGAGAACATCGCGGTCGACAAATCAGGCAGCTGTATTGCCGTCACTCTAGAGGGTGATCTTCAACACCCGGAAGCGCCCAAGCTGCTCCTCTACCGAGCCTCGGCCATCGGCGCTGCCCTCGAGACAGGCGACGGTCCGAAAGCCGAGACGGCTGCGGGAGACATTTTGGGGCAACTTCCAAACCGAAGCGTCAAGGCCTTCTACGGCTTTTACGGCGACCGTGTTGTCTTTCTGGATCACGACCTCTGGGTGCGCTCCGTCGCCACCGCCGTCTCCATCCCGCTCGGCCCTAGACGGGTGAGGCGAAGGCGCAGCACATTCAGCAGCAGGAGCACCGAGGAGCCAGCATCCAACGGACACTTCTTCGTGCCACGCGAGTTCATCAGCACGAGCAACGGGGCGGACCCTGTCTTGACGGTCGACGGTGCCGTCATCTTCCCGCAGGAGGGGGAGCTCGGCGTCATCCGAAACGCGCTAGAGTGGACATTTGGCAACTCCACGGGCGACGACCAGCAGATAAGCTCGCACTCTCCCTCCTCCTCTTCTACGGCCGGGTCGGGGTCCGCCCGGATGAGGAGGCGCAGTGGGACCAACAACTCCAACTCCCTGGGGCGAGTATCCGGGAGGAGAGCCTTCAACACAGCGATTAGAACTCCCATAGCGTAGGGTGCCGCGTGCTTTCGTCGATGGCAGTTGGTGGTGCATACCTTGGTTGAACACTCCCTCCATCTCTGTCCAGGCTCAAATAAGAATGTATCCTTGAAACCTAACTCAATGTATATGTGTGCCTGTTGGTTCGGTCTTGGAACCGAAGTTACGATATTCTCACCAGCAACTATAATTCCTGGTTTTGCCCAATCACGTCGAAAAATTGACGTCCCATCACTCACAACCTCAGTCGTGTCAAGACTACCCCAGAATGGACAGTGTAATTGCTCGGCGTTTGAGGCTCTCGTGTGTTTGTCGGTGTTAATCCGATATAGGGGGGTATATCTGCGATGCTATGCTACCCCAACTTTCCTAATGGGTATGATACCTAAGCCTGGAACCCTTGGTCCGGGACGGGCTCGGAAGGGGTTTTTTTTATGGTCACTAATCGAGAACATGAAACTTGCACCACAGTTGCCGCCCCAGCCCCTCGCTCTCCCTCCTCGCCTCCCCCTCCCTACCGCTGAAAACTTTTCTTCCCCTTTTGGTCCATTTTCGGTTTTTGTTTTGTCGATTTTCGGCCCAAACAGAATGCACCAAGGAACATGGAAGCCCTCTAGCAATTGAGTTTTCCGTCTAGCCCCCCCCCAACGCGGAACGCATCATGTCAAAAAAAAAAAAGTCCCCCAGCCCACCGCAGCGGATCTCCCCGAACAATGTCGGGCGAAGCGCGCCCACAAAAAAAAAGACAAGACATGACAGACGCCCCTCAAAACCCGTCCCCGCCTCGGCGACACCGCCCGAATCGTTTCCACCCCACGCCTGTTCCCGTCTAGGTAGGGCAGGAGGACGGCGGTGGCGACTCCGTTCATGGGATGACAGGATGACAGGGGGGGAAAGGGGTGAAGGGTGGAATCAGGAGACAAAAAAAAAAAACGCGAGAAACACCCCTTGAACCATGCAAAAGTCGGCTACGCTCTCGCCGAGTCTAGAAAGTCGGCATCACAGCTGTATTCTAGCACGTACCAGCCTTTTTTTTTCTTTTTTTTCGATTTACCTCCGCGGCAAGGGGCTTGCGTCCGTCCCGGACGACAATTGTCGTCCTGGTGATGGTGCCCTTGAGGTGGTGAGTTCCAAACTGTCTGGACGGGTCCAGACAAAGCGTGAGACATAACATGGGGCCATTATACGTTCCAGAACAGCCAAGACAAGGCGCACGTGGCTTGGGCCTGGGCTTTCGTCAAGAGGATAGGTAACAAATGTGGTAGGTACTCTGACATGTCGAGGTAGGGTACCTGAATTGTTTTATGTAGCTATAATGTGGCAGAACCCCATTTCGAGGGACGCCCAGACCAGACTAGCAAATCTCCCGTCATTTCTCAGGGCGATGCTGTTATTTACGTGCTCGGGGTTCATTGTCGTTCTCTCTTTCTCGTGCCTTTGCGCTGGGATATAGGAACACAAAAGTGCACGCGAGGGGCAGAGTAATGCTGGTCCCTGCTGACCGATAGGGCCAGCCTGGTTCGCCGTCGTAATTTCCAATACACACAAGAACGTTCTCCATCCAGCTGGGCCCAAGACTCCGCCACCTAGCAGACCGAGCCACCCAACATCCAAAAACCGTGTATGTGAGTGAACAAAGAAGATGCAGAGAAAGGAAACAGAGCGAACTGTTGATATATCAAATGGAATTCAAAAGGAAAAGGGGTATAAAACGATGAATGTCATCGCTGGGTATCCAAAAGTCCTCCATCCGGGGCCTCGGTCTCGAAGGCGTCCGAAAACGGGGGAAGAGGCTGAGGCAAAAGAATGAAGCAGACTGTATATGTGAGGGTGTACATTGCAATTAAAATCAAACCGGGAAAGGTCCTAGGGTGGCAAAAAAAAATGCCGCGCTGTGCCTGCTGGAGGCGCGAGGGTCAAAACAAAAAGAACAAAGTGAATGTGTTCCAAATAGAGCCCGAGATGTTCAAAAATTGGCATCCCAGGGGGAAAACGACAGGTCTCTTGTCGTCGTTATGTTCGCAATGCGTCGTAGCTTCGGTAAAAACTGTATCGAGTTTCGGTGGCTGGCAAGCTCACATCATGCCCAGCCTCGTCATACGCTTCTCCATCCTGGGGCGGGATCCAGGGGGGCCGAGCCTGCTGTTGTTGCCGCCGCCGCCCGACATGCCATATGGCTGGCCAGGCATGCCCCTGTTGCCAGGGAACCCCTTGGGGCCGCCAGCGAGACCGCCCGGGGGTGGTCGTCTAGCGCCGGGGCCCAAGTTACTTGGCGTACCAACTCTGCTGGTCGGCTGGGGCGCCGGTTGGGTGCGCCTCCATGCGTCCTTCTCGCAGTAACGGCGGCCGCCGATCTCGAAATAGCCGTCGCTCAGGATCTGGCCGCAGTCCGCACAGCGGAAGCAGGGCGGGTGGTACTTGGTGTCCCGCTCGTCGGCCAGGTACTGGCCCTCGATGCCGATGTTGCACGTTCCACACAGGCTCCCGTTGATCTCGTGGTAGTGCTGCTCGCAGTAGGGCATGTCGTCGTGCACGTAGAATGTGGCCGACGTGAAGGGGTCGCGACACGTCGTGCACACAAAGCATGCCTTGTGGTACCGTCCCGTCAGGCGTCCGTCTGCACTGGAGATGCTCTTTCCAGTGATGGGTTCGCGGCACGCCTTGCAGTTGCCGCGGTTCTTGGGCACCGCTTCCCGTCCGCCAGACTGAACTCGTGGGGCCGCCCTTTCGGGAACCCGCTCGGGCGAAGAGTATCGGGGGGATGGAGGGCCGCGGTTGTCACGTCCTCGGCCCCCGGCGTTTCCTCGCTCCATCGAGTTATCCCAGGTGGGAGACGGCAGCGGCGATGGAGCCCGTTGCGAGTAGGGATCGTTTCGGCTGTTCTGGCGGCGAGTCGAAGACTGGTTGCGCAAAGAGCCAGTGCGCTCGTGGCCGCGATCACGTGGGGCGGGAGGGTCACGGTCCCTTCCCAGAGATGCCATGTCGTCCATGGAGGACTGGAGGTCCTGCATTAGGCTGTCCAAGTTTGAGGTGTCAGATGGCTTCCTTGCTGGGCCCGACCGCAACGAGCGGGTTGGGCTGGTTTGCGAGCTTGGCTGGCTCGGGCGGCTGGAGCCGCTAGATGAAAGCGAAGAGTTTGCACTGTGGTAAGGGTTTCCGATTCCAAACTCAACCGCCAGGTCAGGAGCGGCTTGGTTACCATCGCGCGTCGGCGGCCTGTTGTTGGAGCTCGTCCTCGGCGGCAGCGGGCGCGACGTGTCGGGGCCCATCGGTGGCTGTCGAGCATACATGTCGTTGGATGGCCTCCGCTGCCGGTCTGGGCGTGATCCAGGCTCGGAGGGTGTCCGCAGCAGGCGGTCTGCGGGCTCGCTTTCGCGAGGAAAGGTGCCCGATCGGGAGTTGAGAGGCTCCGGCTCGAACTCGTCCTGGGAACGCTGCGGAGGTCCAAACCCACCATAGCCATTCGTCCTCGGTGCCCTCGGTAGGTTGCCACCGCCACCAAAGCTTGCGTTGGTGTTGGCAGTGGTGGGTCTCTCGCCGTAGGGGTTGCCCATATCGCGCATGCCGTCGTCGTCGCTTGGCCTCCTTGGAGGCGGGTTCCGGCTGGCTGCTGATGGCCTCCTGCCTGCATCAAAAGGACCGGGCGCGATCGAGTTCATGCGGGCGAGCAGGTTCGGGGCCTGCTTCTTAGCAGAGTCTGCTGGGTACATCTGGTCGTCGAACTCATTCAGTCCGCCGTATCCGCCGGGTCGGCGCGGCTGGGGCTGCTGGGTGGCCGGGTCATCCTCATTCGCGATCTTTGGGGCGAAGTAGTCCTCGGAACGGCCAGCAAGCGATCGGGAGTTGGGCGTCAAGGGCGATGCGCTACGAGACGCGGTCCCGCTCGAGTTGCTCACAGGTGTAAGCTGTCCTGCGCGATAGTATGTACGGTCTGGGAAGTCTCTGTCAGTCGCCAGTTCACGTGGCACGGTAAAGCGAGGTGCTCCAAGTGACATACTCGCTGCGAGGGTGTCGACTTTTGGTGGTGCCGGCACACGTCCAATCTTCTCATGGACCTCCTTGTTCAAGGGCATAAAGGTGTCAAGCTTTTCCTTCTCGGGAAGAGGCGGCACTGCAGATAAGGCGGCGTGTAAGCAAGGCGTTTGCAAACGCAGGAACGCGGCGTGACGGCAACCTGCGTTGACACTTACTTGGCGGTTCTTCTCCTGGGCCGCTGCAGATGTGGTCTCCCATCATGGAGATCTCGATCTGGTTCCCACACGACGAGCATTTTATCGTCGGCAGGAAGCTCGACTGCCTGTCAAGAGCTGCCATGTCGGGCCAGCTTCTTATGTGTCCCTTCCTTTCTCTCCCGCCTCAGCTCCTCTGGTGATGTTTTCGTTTCCCGTCGAGTTGCGCCCGCGGCTCGTTATAAACTCGGACGGTGAGAATGACCCAAGTCCGCAGGCCTGCCCAGCAAGGGGTGGATGGGCGGGTGGTCGTTTTCTACTCGGGCGGCGGGCGCTTTCTGTGCGACCAACCGGGATTGGTCGTTTCTCTCAGACTGTGATGAAGCGGTGTGTACTATAAACGGCACCCGGGAGCGTCCCTGGTAGAGTTTCCGGCTTGACGACGCAGCTGATCTCGTGGCTACGTAGGGGTGATGTAGTCCAAAAAAGCAAAAAAAAAAAGGGTGTGTGGCAAGAGGTCGAGTCGGGAGGGGGTCAGGAACGGCGGCGGGCGAGCAGGAGATATGGGTCAAGGGTATCGTTTGGACAAAGAAAGAAGAAACACCAGGGTCGGAGGGAGGGATTATGCTGGTCTCGGGCCAGGTGACAGGAGCTGGGCGGTTGTCTGCCGATTGCTGTTGCGATGCGTGTCTCAGTGTCGAGGGGCCGGCCTTGGGTTTGGCTATGCAATGGAGAGCAGAGCATTGGAGCATTAGAGGCATGCGGCGAAAGGTGAGGACGAGGGCGGCTCAAAGCTCAGAAGGGGAAAAGCGCCTGGACTGGCACTGCCGTAGCGTCGGCCCCTGGACGCTGTCTTGGGGCCTGTACCCCTGCCCTGAATCATGGATGGCCCACAGGGGGCGGTGGGACGGTGTGGTACGCAATGCGGAGAGTGGTGTCCTGCCCAAGGGGCCCTGTCAAAGGGCCCTGTGGCCCTCCCGTGAATGGCCGGCTCCCCCAAATTGACCATGGCACGGCAGATGGGTGCAAATGCAACCAAACGAGCCTGAACCAGACAAAGGAAACGGAACGCCTTGGAACGGCTCGCCTTGGAAGGCCGCCTAGAGCTTCCATTTCTTTATTTCGATTGGGGTCAGGCGCGCGATGGCCAATGGCACATCGGAGGTGCCCGATCGCAGATCTCTCCTCCTTCAGTGAGGGGGAGCTGTGCTTGGGAGGAGCTTGGGAGGAGCTTGGGAGGAGCTATATGGGTGCAGCATGCATTCAATGTTCATTGCTGCAGATGTTGGACCTCGCCAATGCGCGCTAGGCTCGTGTAGCTTGTGCTAACGACTTCCGCACCGCAGCTGGGTGCGGTCCCCGCACAAACGCACGGCTCGAACAGGCGTTAATCTGCAAACATATTAAACACTGATGGGCTGTCGGTGTGGACGGGCTGGGGTCCCTGCCCTCCATGGCCGACATGGCTCCTTCCCTCGCCGTCGAGCTAAGCCGTTCTCGACTCTGACGAAGATCAAACCTGCTTGTCTTATCCACTGTTTGCCCGTTGATGTTTCCGTCCGCGATGGATCAAGATGGATTCATCTGTGCTTTCAATATGCTCCCCTGCTTGGCCGGCCACCGTCGGCCACTTATTCCTCGTGTTTCTGTCATATGCACGCACGTGCAGCGAACGGCGGAGCTGTCAGTGGTTCTAGCCTATAGTGCAGAGAGTTACACATGTTGGGCAACGAACTGGCGGGTCAGGAAAGAAGACATGCAGTCGAGATGTCGATTGGCTCACCTGACAAAACAAGAAAATCACAGTTTATCCCCGAAGCGGCTCGTTCCATTGCACAAACTTTGTTTGCCCAGTTGTTCGGACTTTATCGTCCAGCCCTTTCTTGCTTTTGATGTTGCTCCTCTTGCTTATTTCGTTTGGTTTGTGGCCGAACCTGCCTTCTAGAAAGTCAGCAAGAGTTCTTGGCGAGTTGGAGATTTGGGACGCAACCGTCGTCCTCCGGACCGGCGCCTGGTGCCTACTGGAAGAAGCCCGAATGGCATGGCATGGCATGCTGCTGCCCCTTATCCCAAACAGACATAATACGTGCAGCATGCAATGCCATTCGCCAGGCAAATCACCGCAATCTTTGGTTCTGCCAAATTGATCGAGATCACTGGCGTCGTTTCGGATCCCCGCTGCCCACAACCGACGCCACGCTTGCAGTAGCAATGGCGCCAGGCGCGAGGAGGCGCACAGCCGGTGCTCTTTCCGCTTTCAATAGCCTACCGAACATCATAATCTGGCGTTCGAACCGTCGGGTTCGTCCCTTGCATCCGACAGCTTCCGTTTTAGCCTGCTTTCTGGTTTCCCAGCCAAAATGATGGCTTGTCAACCAAAACAACCGGCAAATGCAGGTTGGTGTTGGTGGTGCAGTGCATGTGTTTGTGTGTGTTGGTTGATGCTTCAACTCATCCCCTGGTGCAGCTCAATGCCGCGTCCCTCTCATCTTGGGTGCCGCAAAAGTCGCATTCAGCCCGCAGAGTGAGGAGGTGATATCCCATCGGATCTCGGCTGCGGTACGGTGCCGTCTGTTGGCGACACCTCGGGCCAGCAAAACAGAACAGCCGGCTCCATCCTACTGGCCTTGGGGGTGCAATCCGCGGGATGATCTGCTGCATGGTAATGCATTGCCAGCCAGCCATCAGGCTCTATCAATCCGGCACAAGGCACCACCACCACCAAAGGGCATGTGCCCCGGCGGGGTCCGACCGTCGAGATTGGCCGGCAATCCGAAAGCAGCCAATGATCCGTCTTGGAGCCGCAAGAGGGCGGCCAAGACGGGGACAGGGTCGGGCTCGCTCCCAGGGGGCATCCCTTCCTGCTGTTCCTGGAAAGACGCACATCATTGTCGCGGCGGCCAAGGACAAAGGCCCCTGTTGCTGTGGAGGACGGGCGCGCTAACGAGATTGGCCGTCAGCCCCCGGCTGGCAGCCGGGCGAGAGCAAGCGTTTTGGCAAGGTCCGCGATGCCGGGGGATTTCGGTTGCGCCTTTGCGCTCTGGAAAAGCCGAGCAGGCATAGGTATTGGGGAGTTCCAGTCCGTCTCTGGTCTGGAATTGACAAGCTTCAAGCTTGATCCGAGGTCCACAAGGGAACAACCCCACTTACCGTGTATGCCAGTCAAGAAATCGCCAGAACCAAGAGATTTTCCCAATTTTGCATCAGCCGCCCAGTCCCGACCAAACAGAGGGAGTCTTTTCATCGTCTGTAAGCGCCAGCTATAGCACACACGCAGCAATCTGCGACGGGACCTCTTTCTCGCAGGCAAGAGCCTGATGGAGAGATGAGGCCACAAGTGGCCAAAACGACAGGATGGCAGGTCGTTGTCGTGTTACATGTCTTAATTTTAAAAATACGCCGAAACGGACGTGGCATTGGATGCAAGCACTTGGTCGGCAGGCAAGGAAATGCCACCCCCTCCCCTCTCGTCCGCTGCCTTCCCCTCTCCACCACCCCTGACGCCCACCCCCTTGGCCTCGACCATCGCTCGTCAACAGCCGCCTGCATGCTTACCACATCCTCTAGCGTCAGCCTAGGCCCTCCCCCACCCACACACTCACTCATACACACACAAACGTATCCGTCCCGATTAGGCCAAAGAACGAGTCCCAGCGTAGGTTCCTGGCAGTCGATCGACATCTCGTGACTGCAGCTGCTGCGCCAGCGAGCACGCCAGCCTGCCCGTTTCGTGTCTGATCGTCTCCTCCGTTATCGCGTCTTTTCCGAGAATAGTGCCGCCGCCGGCGCTTTCGCAAGCAAGCCGGATCCTTGGCTGCTCTGGCTGACATGCTTCGGCACCGTCGGCCACTTTTCCCGACATTTTTCTTCTCCTTTCTTTAGCTCGCAGAGTCGAGTTCGGCATGCCAACCAAGGTACAACCTTTCAGCTCGAGTCGGGCGAGGCAAGGAAGGGGCAGTGTCAGATAGATCTATTGAGATCTGGGAGATCCTCTAGTTCGAACGGGGTTTGGTCGATTCCCCATGGGTCAAACTCTCAATTCCAAAACAGCCGGTCTTGGCCTCCCATGACTGGGCATGATGCCATCGCCATGTAACGGCCACCCAACGGGTAGCCGGTGGCATGGAATCCCCCCTGGCTAGGGCCGGAGACTGCTACTATATGCGGACGGCATGTTGCAGTGCACACCGTACGATACAGAGAGTTGCGAATGTCCGGACGGGGTCTTTTGTCTGACCATCCTCCCGGCCGGTAGTTGCTAATTTCCTGGCCCGAGAGAGTGTGTGACGGTGCATCACGGGTATCCATGTGTCGTCAGAGAAACTGGCCGAGAGACGCGCCGGGTGCGTGTTGCTACTTTTGTTTTGCGCAAAAGACACTATCCGTTCCTTTTCCATACTTTTATTTTATTTTATTTTTTTACACCCGTCGCCCCCATCGTCTGGGAATATTGCTTTGGCTGTCACGTTCTTGTGAGGTATTTTTATCGACTCGCTTGCGGCACGCGGGCGCGCTGAGCCGCAGGCTGGTCGATAGTTCGGCGCCGTGCCTCGCGGCAGCGCATGCGGGGGGCTCTCTCTCGCTCTCTCACTCACCAGCATGTTGGTTTTTAGACAGTCTTGCACATCGTCATCCCACTCACCCCCGCTTCTCCAGACTCTCTCGTCCGTCCAAGACATTTCTTGTCCCTTGTGCACGGTGCACATGGGGACTGTGCGCCGCGCGGCGATGGAGATCAGTCCCGTCGCCTATCGTGCACAAAGTTTCAAGGTCTTGGACAAGCTGGGCGAATTGAGAAAAGGGGTTCGGAGGAGAAGGGTCAATCTCTCGAGCCAGGCCGCCCTGGTCGGGATGCCGGATTTCGGTCCATGACAAGTCCAGACCCTTTTTATTTTCCCTCAACCCTCGTATCCATACACGAGATCAATTACCATCCCCCATGGCGCATGAACAGGGCCCTCTCGGAGAATTCAATGTCCTGGCAGATGTGGTGTGTGTGTGTGTGTGTGTGTGTGTGGGTGTGTGTGAGTGGTGTATTTTAATGTTTTTGCAAATCCATGACGATTCAAATCAACCTGTTTGCCTTTTGGGGGCATTTCAGGGCGGCAATGCGGTGGAGCAGCGACATCAAGCGTGGGGCAGCATCATGGCAGCGTCGAAGCCATTGAAGTCATTGAAGCTCTCCAGACTGCCAAGCGGCTGCCGTACCTATTTCGATACATCCATCCCATCAATCGCTCACATCGCTCCATCGCCAGGGCTGTGCAGCTGGGCTGTCATGTCTGTTGCTGCTGCGTGGCATGCCAGGCGAGCGGGAGCTGAAACCCGCTAGCTCACGGGCCAGAGACAGACCCGCGACCGAGTCTTTGACAGCCGCCTCCTTTTTTTCTCGTCTTCTCGGCTCCCCGCGGTTCCATGGTTGGCTTTGTAATTCCACTGAGCATTATTATATCTTTGGGTGGGCATTCCCGCAAGCCAAACACGCTGCATCGGCCCATGGCATGAGAGCCGGTTTCGTCTCGGCCGGGCCTCGTCCATGCCCCCACGGCCACCTGCGGTACCAAGCCACTCTACCAGAAACTAAAAAGGCGCGCTCAGCATACACAAGGTACGGTGCACCCGCAGAAGCCGCACTTGGAGGGGAGGGGAGGGGAGGGGAGGGTAAGGCAATAAGACGGCTGCTCGGGATCTTTGAGGAGACACAACCCGATCCGTGGCCGTCGTCGTTGGTCCCTTGATTATCGCGATTGTGTTCCCCCAGGGCGGGCAGGGCATTGGTTCCATCCTCGCGGGTGCCTGCGGGCTGGATACTTACCTACATCTTGCACACACATGCCCGTAGCTGTCTGAGGCTGTCCATGTGCGTGCTGGGACACGATGGCCTATGCTCTTTGATCGAGGCATGTAGTACCCGTACAGTTGCGGTCAAGCCCGCGTCCGTGGTATGTGAGACACGTGTGCGGGCCTCCAACTGCGAATTGGCTGCCACACCATCTGCGCGGCTAGTGTTTCCCTCTTCGAGATAACTGCATGCGTGTCTTACTTACAGGTGATGGTGGGCGGGTGTCTGCGGAGGAAATGCGAGGGCCGAATGCGAAAATAAAAACAGGAACGAACCATTCCTCCTCCCACAGTGAAAGGCCGGCAGCCCCCAGCCCATCCCACAGGCCGTCGTCGGCCACCACGAGGCTGCATGGGAGCCCCGTTTCTATGGGTGTCAGCTCAGCCATGCACCGGAGGAGCGAACTCTGGCTGCATACGGGCTGGCACGTGCGGTGTCATGCGGGTGAGAGGGGGGGCCACACACACGACGGAGGGCGTCGGCCCCATTCCAGGGAGCCGATTCAGCCCCTTTACCTCCGACTTTGTCCGCCGCGGGGCCGGAGTGCTGGGTTTGAGCACAGGATTTTTGGGTGGAACATGACATGGCAAAAACCCCGCGCCCGAGCTGCAGTGCTCCCCCCTCCTTCCCCTTTTGATGCCGTGCGTCCTGAGGATAAGGCACCAGACCTCAACGCTGGACCGTGCCATGTTGCCATGTTGCCATGTTGCCAAGTGCCAGTTGGTGTGTGTCCTAATATCCTCAGCAGCGCGGATGGCATGCAGGGCAATGGCGGGGCATGGGGCATCTATCCAGCTGCCTAATCGCTTCCCTCTCCCAGCTGCTTTTATTGGCATCGCCGAGTTGACGTTTTTGGCAGCCGCTTGGGTTCGCTTGTTACATCTCACCCTCCATTACAGCAACGCTTCGCTTCTCTGAATCCGGCCCCGTGCTGCTTGCTTGCTGCCCGCCTGACGCGGGGTCGGCTTTTGAGCTGATGTGTTTTTGTGCTTCTTACGTCCCTCGCTTCCTCCTGCTAGGCAGGGCGCCGCAATCGGCTCATTATTGTGCACCTTGCTGGGTAAGCTGCAGGATACGTCTCCCCTCGGCTGCAGTCAGTCGTGCAACCTGATTCGATCGCCCGTGGCTGCGTTACCCCAAGCCCGTCGCCAACCTTCCAACCACACGCTGGCTGCTGGCTGGCTGCAGAGGACCTCGCTATCCCATCCCAGCACCGCCGTCACCTCGCCACAGCCCACACCCTTCATGTTTATCTGGCGCACCGCACTGGGCCAGCCAGACGGGCGCCGGGGTTCGGCTCTGCAGGGTCGAGGTGTTCGGCCCTGCATGCCCTGCCCTTCACCGCTAGAACCCATGAACGAACCGGCCCACATCCCACCCAGCGCCGGGCCCAAGATACCGTACCGCCGCTGTGGTTATACGTAGTTTACGTGCTTACCGGTTCCGAGGCAGGGGTTTCTGGGAACTGTGGCCGTTCTTTTGTTCCTTTCTCCCGCTCCGGGTTTCTGTGCTAAGCCCGTAAGGGCGCATGGTGGCCACTTGGCCGCGTCGTGTCGTGTTCCCGTACTTTCACAAGCCAGACGAAGAGGAGATCGGAAAAAAATCAGATAGCTGTGAATCACGTTTTAAATCGCTGCTCGCACGCCAAAAATCTATCCCTCTCTTCCCTTCTTCTTGCTATCGACTGATCAACAAAGCACAACAGCAGCAAACAGCCTCGTCTTCGCCTCACTGCAATCCCGCCCCATCTCAACAATTTTCTTTCCACCTCCCGATCCCTCGTGATTCTGTTGAGGGCCCTGTAGGACTGCCTCCACACAGGGGAGCTGGACCTCGTCCATCGGCTTGACGGCCTCAGTATAACCTCTTGTACAGTTGTCTGATCGCTGCTCTCTTGGGGCACGATCACCAGCCCCGTCAAGACGTTTTCCAATCTCCTCAACTCGTGAGTTCATCCTCCCTGCATGAGGTGGGCGTGCTGGATCGTCGCTAGCACAGATGTGTCACCGAGACCCCGCCCGCGCCTTCATACTAGCCGTTCGACGTTGAGCCCTCGTCAGTCGATACGGCTACGTGTGATGGATGAACTGCTCACTCCTGAGCCTCGCCCAATATTTTCAAAGTACATCTCGTCTAACATGCCTGTCTACACAGCGTCCACCACCCCTACGCCGGAGCCCGTTGCTCAGCCTCCCCGGGGAGTGCGGCGGACTCACCCTACACCCTCTGAGATCCTTCGTCCAACTCAGCACCTATCATTGAACCACCTCGACGGGCCTCTCAGCCTCTCCTGCCCACCTCACTGCCTTTTGGCACATCACTACCTGACGTGACACCCTAGCATCCCTCATCTATAAAAGGGTCCCTGTCTTCCTGCCTTTTGTAGCCTCGAAAGCTGCCCTATCACGCATCGCTCTCATAGATTCAGCCAGGCAAGCTCCTAGGTCGCCATCTTCCCAGCATCCGCATACATATCATTATCGACATCATTATCGATATCATTAATACCAGAAACCTCCAACCTCCAACCTCCAACCTTCAATCTGGAAGATGGCACCTCACGCTGAAACCGAGCCTCACTCCCCCAACGGGACGGGCAACGGCCTCTGGTCCGCCCAGGGCCCGCCCCCCGCGGCGCCCAGGGAGCTCTTCACCGTCGACTCGCCCAACGTCGTCTACACCGACGACGAGATCCGGTCCCGGTACACGTACCGCACCACCGAGGTCGCCAAGGGCGCCGACGGCAAGTACACGGCCACGCCCCGGCAGACCGAGTACGCCTTCACGGTGGACCGGAAGGTTCCCAAGGTCGGCGTCATGCTCGTCGGCTGGGGCGGCAACAACGGCTCGACCATCACGGCGGCCGTGCTGGCCAACCGCCGCGGCCTGACGTGGGAGACGCGCGAGGGCACCCAGAAGCCAAACTACTACGGCTCCGTCATCATGGGCTCGACGGTCAAGCTGGGCACCGACGCCGAGACGCGCCGCGACGTCAACATACCCTTCCACGACGTCCTGCCCATGGTGCACCCCAACGACCTCGTCGTCGGCGGCTGGGACATCTCGGGCCTCGACCTGGCCGCGTGCATGGACCGCGCCGGCGTGCTCGAGCCCACGCTCAAGCAGCAGGTCCGCAAGGAGATGAGCCGCATGCGCCCGCTCCCCAGCGTCTACTACCCGGACTTCATCGCCGCCAACCAGGGCGACCGCGCCGACAACCTGATCCCGGGCGACCGCGCCTGCGACGCCCACGTCGACCGCATCCGCGCCGACGTGCGCGAGTTCAAGGCCCGCAACGGCCTCGACAAGGTCATCGTGCTCTGGACCGCCAACACGGAGCGCTACGCGGCCGAGGTCGCCGGCGTCAACGACACGGCCGACAACCTGCTCGCGGCCATCTCGCGCGGCGAGGCCGAGGTGTCGCCCTCGACCGTCTTCGCCGTCGCCTGCGTGCTCGAGGGCGTGCCCTTCATCAACGGCTCGCCGCAAAACACCTTTGTGCCCGGCGCCGTCCAGCTGGCCGAGCGCCACGGCGTCTTCGTCGGCGGCGACGACTTCAAGTCGGGCCAGACCAAGATGAAGTCGGCACTGGTCGACTTCCTCATCAGCGCCGGCATCAAGCTCACGTCCATCGCGAGCTACAACCACCTGGGCAACAACGACGGCAAGAACTTGAGCTCGTACAGGCAGTTCCGCTCAAAGGAGATCTCAAAGTCGACCGTCGTCGACGACATGGTCGAGGCCAACTCGGTCTTGTACGCGCCCGGCGAGCACCCGGACCACACCGTCGTCATCAAGTACATGCCCGCCGTCGGCGACAGCAAGCGCGCCCTCGACGAGTACTACGGCGAGATCTTCATGGGCGGCCACCAGACCATCTCGCTCTTCAACGTGTGCGAGGACTCGCTGCTGGCCTCGCCGCTCATCATCGACCTGGTGCTCGTGACCGAGATGATGGGCCGCATCAAGTGGAAGGCCGTTGGCGAGGGCGAGGGCGAGGGCGAGGGCGAGGCTGCCGAGGGCGACTACAAGAGCTTCCACAGCGTCCTCAGCGTCCTCAGCTACATGCTCAAGGCCCCCCTGACCCCGCCCGGCACCCCCGTCGTCAACGCCCTGGCCAAGCAGCGCGCCGCCCTGACCAACATCTTCCGCGCCTGCGTCGGCCTCGACCCGGAGTCCGACATGACGCTGGAGCACAAGCTGTTCTGATTGGGCTCGTAGAGTCGCTCTTTCTTTGAGACGCTAGAGGAGGTGGTGAATTCGTTCCTTCTTTTTGGAGGTGGCCGTGACGCAAAAGCAAAATCTTTCGTTAATCATCTTGCTATTCAGTATCATTCTCTTTTTGAGGAGGCCCGTTCTTTTTGGACGCTTCTCGCTGCTTCTTCTCATTGAGCGACCTCGCCCGCTCCTTTTTCTACTTGAATCTAGGAGCATAGGACCCTGTCGCCGCTCGTTTAAGACAGTTGATAATTGAGCATAGGACCCTGTCGCCGCTCGTTCAAGACAGTTGATAATTAAGCTAGACAAACTCTCGGCACCCTGCCGCAGCAAATATGACTAAAAAGAAGAGGATATTCTCTTCCTCGCCATTGGCTTCCCAATTTTAGTGGCCATCAGGGCACATTTCCTCCTGCAAACCTGCCTAGGTAGGTATTGACCACCATTCAGAGACGCCGACATTGAGACTTCCAACCAATACCAATGTCTGCGGGGCGCCTGGTCAGCGAATCTCGCGCGACACCAAAAGAGGGGCCGCGACTTCAGCCACAGGGCAGCCTGGCCACTTTGCCTGGGATTTCAGCCCAACACCAAGAACAGCCTGCCATCTACCTCACCATCACAATCAGTTGCTTAGTCCAACACGCCTACCTAGTCGCTATATCCTCCCGATCATCTCAACCTCGACTACGAAGCCCAAGTTCACGCATCGGTATGATATCACTGGTGTCGCCGTGCCCTGAGTCACGCAATGGAGCGATTCAGGCGGAAGAACAGTCCCAAAGCAGAGGCTTCCTCGAGCTCTGAAAGAAGTCGCAGTCGCTTCAAATTCTGGCGGAAGGATAAGCGCAGCGAGGAGGCCTCCATCAGCCCCGAAAGGAGTCACAGTCACTGGAATTTTGGGCGACAGGACCGGCCCGGCGGGGATGCCTCCTCGAGCTCTGAGAGGAGTTCCAGCCGCGGGAGGCTCTCGCACAGACAAGAGCGGGTCGGCTCAAGCAGCGTTCAACCTGCCAGCCTTGGCCACGAGCTGGGCAGTGAGGTCACCATTACCGGACGCCCCCGTTCGTCCCAAGTTGTCGACGAAGCCAGATCGCCGAGTATTCCAGCAGGTGCTCACGAGCCAGCAGCAACAGAGGCCAAGCCAATAGTACCTTCCGGGCCGTGTGTGACGAACGCTAATGCGGCGAGCTCAACATCTTTGTGGGATCATGCCTATGAAGCCCTCCGGAAAGAGAAGCCGGAAGTCGTGCAGGACTACGAGGAATTGCTGCTCAAGGTAGCGCCCTACCTAGCGAATACACATCCCACGACCGACCTGAACGACGTCCTCTTTAAGGCGTCCAACGATCTGGCCAACGCAGCCCCCAATTCCGGCGCCAAGACAGTAGAACCCGGACCGCAAAGCGGCGTGGATCGACAAAAGATGATGGCGGACGTCATCGACTCGGGCCAGAAACACATGGAAGAGAAGCAAATCGCCTTCAAGATCGGGCAGCAGAAGTTCGTGCTTCAAGATCAAGTGGAGCATGTCGTCGCTGGAATCCAGCTGGGAAAGGATTGGATTGATGGCGCGGTGCAGGCCAGTCCGCTGGCAGGCGCTGCTTGGGCCGGCGTTTGCTTGCTTCTTCCCCTCCTGACCAACCCGGGCGAAGTGCAAGCAGCCAACAAACAGGGCCTCGCATACGTCAGCCAAAAAATCAGTTACTATACTTGTTAGTGGACTCACCTACTCCCTCCTCTTCTATCATATTCTGTACCACAAGGCTTACCAGATCACTTGTACTACACATAGCCATGGAGCCGCTCATACTGCATGCCGAGGACCCCACAGACGCGAGGTGGGATCATCTCCGAAGCCGCCTCCTCGGGCTCTATCAGGCTATCATCGATTTCCAAGCCCAGAGTGTCTTGCGCTTCTTCAGGCGCAGGTTCGCCAACTTCTTGAGAGAGGTGGTGAAATACGATCCATGGGAGGACATGCTCGAAAAGATCAAAGTTTTGGGGCGTGATGTCGAAAGCGAGTCGATGCAGATCAACATCGCCGTGAGCAGAGAAGCACTGGGCAAGCTCGTTCAGTGGGCGAGAGAGTCGGAGGAGGACGAGTGCTTGCAGAGCTTTCGGCGTGGGGACTACGCTTGGTACAAGGACCGCATTGAATTGCGCGTGCCGGATACGTGTCTTTGGTTCCTGAACCACGAAAGCTACCAGTCCTGGTTGGCGGACGATTCTGGCCCACTGCTGGTTTCGGCCGATCCAGGGTGTGGCAAGTCCGTCCTCGCCAGATACCTCATCGACTCCAGGCTCGGCTTTACGTTGCCCAAGGATGCCGCCATATGCTACTTCTTCTTCAAAGATCAGGACCAGAACACAATCGAGCTGGCACTTTGTGCGCTGATCCATCAGCTGCTTTGCTTGCGCCCGAAATTGATGCACCATGCCCTGCCGAGGTACAAGCAGGACGGGGCTGGGCTTGCCAACAACGTCACTGCGCTCTGGGATATTCTGAAAAGCGCCACTGCAGATCCCGAAGCCGGAACTGTTGTCATTGTCCTCGACGCCCTGGACGAGTGCCTTCAGGATGAGCGCAACATGCAGACCTTGTCGCGATACATCCACGACCACTTCGAGAAACGCCGAGGAAACCTGAAGATCCTCATGACCAGTCGGCCCTATGAGGGTACGGTCCAGCACATTCAGGACCTCGAGAAGGCATTTCCCAACATCCGCATCAAAGGAGAGGATGAGTCCGAAACCATTCGCGAAGAGATCAATTCGGTCATCGAGCACCGGGTTCACCAGATGGACAAGTTTAGTGACGACCTCAAGGCACACCTCAGAACTCGCCTCACGAGTATCACTCACCGCACATACCTCTGGCTGTACCTCGTATTCGAACACCTGAAGGGCCCCGATGTCAAACAGACTGCTCGAGGACTCGATAGATCGCTCCTCGAAGATCTGCCCAAGACGGTGGATGAGGCGTACGAGGGGATCCTGAGCCGATCCAAGGCGCCACAGGTGACCCGAAAGGCCATCCTCATCCTCCTCGGCGCATACCGCCCGCTCAATCTTCGCGAAGTGCAGATCGCACTCGAGCTGGCCCCCGACACTGTCTGTCCGGGAAGCCTCGATCTGGAACCCGACCAAGCGTTCAAGAGGCGTCTCCGAGAGTGCTGTGGGCTGTTCGTCACGGTGCACGACGACAAAGTCTACTTCCTTCACCAGACGGCGAGGGAGTTTCTCCTCCCTCTCGCTGCGTCCTCGCCTGGTCCCGCTGCTCCCCCAATATGGGCGCACACGTTCAGCATCCGCCAAGCACACACAGTTCTTGCCGAGTCCTGCACCGTCTATCTTGACCGCCTCAATCACCAGGCGGATGCGGACCCGACAGCCGACTTGCTAGATTACTCGGCCGAAAACTGGGGTGCCCATTTCCGCGAAGCTGGTATCGTCGATGATGCTGCGGTTATACCTTTCGCCTTGCGCATCTGTGATCCGAAATCTGAAAGCTATTCAAAGTGGTCCGATATATATTGGATTTCTTTGCACTGGCTCCCCCCCAAATCGACTACAAATCTTACATTGCCGTCCCATTTTGGCCATGATTCCGCCGTCAAACTGCTGCTAAGCACAGGAAAAGTCGATATCGATTCCGGGGATAACAGGGGCCAAACGCCGTTGTCATGGGCTGCCGAAAGCGGGCACGAAGCGGTTGTCAAATTGCTTTTCGATACTGGCGAAGTCGATATCAATTCCAGCGATAACGCGGGCCAAACGCCGTTGTTATTGGCTGCTCGTTGCGGGCACGAGGCGGTTGTTAAATTCCTTCTCAATACGGGCAAAATCGATATCAATTCCAGGGATAACGGGGGCCAAACACCGTTGTCATGTGCTGTCGAAAACGGGCACGAAGCGGTTGTTAAATTGCTTCTCGATACGGGCAATGTCGATATCCATTCCAGGAATAACAAAGGTCAAACGCCGTTGTCATTGGCTGCTTATTACGGGCGCGAAGCGGTTGTTAAATTGCTTCTCGATACGGGCAAAGTCGATGTCGATTCCAGGGATAACAAAGGCCAAACGCCGCTGTTATTGGCTGCTAAAAACAAGCTCGAAGCGGTCGTTAAATTGCTTCTCGATACGGGCAAAGTCGATGTTGATTCCAGGAATAACAGAGGCCAAACGCCGTTGTTATTGGCTGCTTATTACGGGTACGAAGCAGTTGTTAAATTGCTTCTCGATACGGGCAAAGCCGACATCGATTCCAGGGATAAAAGAGGCCGAACGCCGTTGTCATGGGCTATCGAATGCGGGCACGAAGCTGTTGTTAAATTGCTTCAAGGACAGAGGAGCTTCGCTTCCTGATTTTATTTCCGACGTTGTTTCTTCTTCTTCTTGTAGCGCTGGTTAGCAATTGCTTCATTCATTGCATTTCTGGCTAGTTTCTGTACGGCGTTTTCAGCTTTATTATCTGTCATGGGAGCACTCAAGTAGTCCCCAATTTGACAGCCGGCTGCTACATGATCTTTTTCTTAACCTGCCGTAGAAGGATTCGATTTGCCGCCCCCCCGCCCCGAACCCAGCCGCTCCAGCGAATGTGGGACAAGCCGTCTTACTTGTGACAGGCCTCGCTGGCCAGGTAAAGGCAGTAGCTAGCGGGAAGAGGGCGGCTGACCATTAGTCAGTAGCCTCTCCCTACCCAATCCATTCCTCGCTGAGGCTAACGGGTTATTAGAAAAGAGTGGACGGGATACTGAATATCCCAGTGGATATGATTGTACGTGGAAGCCACGACGGTAAAGGTAAGTTTCTTGAAGGCGATGAGGACTGTCGGCCGAACCTGCTTTTGTTTCTGAACCAGGTCCGCCAAGGCAAACAGAACGCGTCAACGGGGTAGCTGCGGCGGCCTTCGTGTGCTTTTGTGCCTGTTGGCTAACGCATAAGAAGTTGTGCCCGACCACTTGCCTGGGGCTGCCGCAACACTTGACAACGAACCGCCCGTGGGCGCTTGACGCTGCCTTTTGGTCGGGACCGTGAGATGTGGAGGCTTGCATTATATGGGTTTGAGTGGTGAGATATTCGAGACACTCTGTACTATCTGTCTTATCTCTCCACCGGTTGTGTTCTTGCATTGTCAGCGACAGCATGCTGGGACTTGGGTGTATGGATGGGGGCCCTTTGGGGCTGCAAGAACGATTCATAGTGTGAGAGGAACACCAAAAAGTAACGGCCGGCACAAGAACAACATGGATAAATATACCACTAGAGTATTCACCGCTAGCACAGAGAGCGTCAGACGCTTAAAATGAGTAGCAGGGAGTAGCAAGCAAGGCACTGGCTACAGATCTACGTCAGCAGAAGTGGTCAAATGGTTGATCCGCCCAAAGAGAAAGCCGACGGCCAGCGCGAAAAACTCGGATTTTGAGAAGGTGTGGAAGCAAGAGCGCGATCCATGGCTCGCTCTTCAAGATTTAGAAAGAAAACCGGATAAAAAAGACAAACGCGCTCAGTTCCAGCTTACGACTTGTAGCAGAAGATTACAGACTCAGAGCCGCGAGTTGAGATCGGCAACCTCGGCCTTGGCCTTTTCCCGCAGGGCTTTGCGAAGAATCTTGCCAGACTATTTTCATCATTTGTCAGTCAGCTTTCGGCAAGCACAGGATGGGCCGCGTTGGCACAGCACAAGTTTACTCACAGGGTTCTTGGGGATGGCGTCGGTCAACACGACGCCGCCCTTGAGCTGCTTGAACCGCGCGACCCTGGCGGCGAACCACTCGGCGATCTCGGCCGGGTCGGGCCGCTTGGGGGCGGCGGGGGACGGCACGATGTAGGCGCGGGGCAGCTCCTCGCCGGCGATGGTGACGCCGACGACGGCGGCGTCGGCGACGTCGGACCTCTCGAGCAGCAGGGCCTCGAGCTCGGCGGGCGCGACCTGGTTGCCCTTGACCTTGATGAGCTCCTTGAGGCGGTCGACGATGTGGAAGGCCCCGCCGGGAGCGTACTCCTCGATGTAGGCGATGTCGCCCGTGCGGAGCCAGCGGGAGCCGTCCTCGGGGTCGATCACGACCGTCTCGGCCGTGGCCTTTGGGTTGTTCCAGTAGCCCCTCATCATGTTGGGGGACGAGATCCAAAGCTCGCCTGGCTTGCCGGCCTCGGTGACGAGCTTGCCGGACCCGTCGGTGGCAACGAGGCGGGCCCTGGCGTTGGGCAGCAGCTCGCCGACGGCGGCCGTGGAGCGGGCGCCCGTCGGGTTCCAGCCCATGGCGGTGCAGGTGAGCTCCGTCATGCCCCAGCCCTGGCGCACGAGGACGTTGCCGGCCGGGGAGACGGCGCGGGAGCACTCCTCTGCCGTCTTCTGGTCCAGCGGCGCGGCGCCGCAGCCGATGGTCTCGACGGAGCTGAGGTCGAACTGGCGCACGAGCGGGTGCTTGGCTAGCGCGACCACGACGGGGGGCACGAGGGTGAGTGTGTTGATGCGGTACTTTTGCACGTGGCTCAACATCTTGGGGAAGTCGAAGCTGGGCATGATGTAGACGGGCGTGCCGAGGCGCGGGTGGCTGGCGATAAAGTAGGTCTGGGCGAAGGCGTGGTACAGCGGCAGGAAGCACAGGGCGCGGTCGCGGGCCTCGCGCTCGGCGGCCGTGGGGTCCAGGCTGTTCACGTAGAGGACGCCCTCGCAGTTGGCCACGTAGGCGCCGTGGCTGATCTCGACGCCCTTGGGCACGCCCGTGGTGCCCGAGCTGTAGTTAAGGCAGCACGTGACGGACGCCGGGTCCGCCGGCTCGGCCCAGTCCCAGCCCTCGGCGCGGGCGAGGGTGTCGCGGAGCAGCTCGGCCCAGTGCCTCGCGCCGGCGCAGTCGACCGTGGTGGCCGGGGGGCTCGGGTCGGCAACCTTGGGGTCCAGGGCCGGGTCGAACAGGTAGATGTGGTCGCGGGGCAGCTTAGCCTCGGCGGCGGCCTCGAGGGCCACGGGCATGCCCTCCGGGGAGGTGAGCAGGAAGGAGGCGCCGCTGTCGCGGAGCTGGTACGAGAGCTCGCGCATGACGTAGCCCGGGTTGGCGCCCGTGAAGATGCCGCCGGCCATGAGGACGCCGACGAAGATGGCGGGGAGCCAGACGCTGTTCCCCGAAAAGACGAGGACGCGATCCCCCGGCTTGAGCCCGGCGCGCTGCAGGCCAAGGGCGACGCGCTTGGCGAGAAGCCTGTACTCGGCCTTGGTCAGGAACCTCTCATCCGGGCGGTCGGCGTCCATGAGTACCCTCTGGGACGGGAGGGGCTCGCGCGAGGAGCCAAAGATCCATTGCTGCAGGGAGCAGCGTGGGATGGGAATGTCCCAACGTGACTTGATAGTCATAGTGGTGGTGGTGGTGGTGGTGGTTGTGTGTGTGTGTGTGTGTGTGTGTGTGTGTGCGTGCGTGTGTGTGTGTGTGTCTGCGAGTGTTTTATACAGTGGCCGAGGGCCCCTGTGATAACCGGCTGCTGCGTGGTGCAGTATGCTATCGGGGATATCGTCTGTTCGAGAACGAGCGCTTGATCTTGAAGATGTAAGAGGAGACAAAGGGCAGAGACCCCGTCTGAGGGAGGTGAATGCTATCCAGTGTTATCAAAGCCGGCCTCTGCGGATCGAACAGCCTGCTGCCGGTGTATATCAACAAGTCGGCAACTTGGACCCAGGGTCAGCGCCTACTGTCGCTTTCGGCTACACGCCGTGACTGGCTCAAGCAACGGCCTCGTCTCAAGCGCCGTGTCTGATGGTAATACCCGGGGGGCACGACGTTGGCAGCACCCAGCAGGAGGGTTCGCGAAGCGAAGGGGCGGGAGTTCAAATGAACGGTTGACAGCCCTCGTACTCGAGATCAATCGGCTGATGTGTCCAGCTATTGGCCAGCAACTGGATCAAGACTGTTTTGGGAGCGACAGTTCAGAGGACGTAGGTATGACTATTTAGGAAGAGAAGCAAACTTGGCGGTTCTATGGCAGGTACCTACCCACTCGGGTACTTTGAACATGTATCCTGCCTCGGCAACTTTTGCTAAGCGACTGCGACGCCGTCCCTGTCCTCCCACCACCAGTACCGGTGGCTGAAGAGACAAGGCTTGGACATGGACATGGGCTAGAAGGAGGTCGGCACTTTTTTGGCAATTTCTGGCGCCCACCTGTAGCGACAGGCCGTGTCAAGAATTGTTGGGGGACGGCGCCAAGCAAGCTCCCGTGTATGCTCCACTCGTGAACACCCGACCCCACGCACTGTTCAAGGGGAGGGGTGCTTGAGCCGAGGCTCAAAGCTCGAACCCCTCTCGAGCTGTTGCCGTCGATTCGGTTAGAGAGCGATGCGATAGGGCCCAAGCTTTTTCGGGTATCTGGGCATTGGCCACAGTGACCGTTGGCTTTCTTGGCACCCTCGGTCCAGCATCCATGAACCCATCAGCCATTAACGTTAGAGCGGGTCAACGTCCCGCGCTTCCCGGCTACCGGGTGACGAGGGCCAGGCGTACCAGGGGCAGCAAACTCTACTAACACAGTACATGTTTTGTAGGGACGATGCGACGCGGGGCCAGCTCCGTGATTGCCCTCTGCTCCAGCCTTGTCTTCCCCGCCTCCCTGTCCGCCGACTTCAATGTTGGTCTCCTGACAGGGGATCGTCGGGAAATCGGGTCGGGGTACAAAACGCCGACGCCGCCTCCTGCGGGAGCGCGGAGAATCCATCCAGTTTGCCGATAATGAGCAGAGGGGCTACGGCTAGCGGCGTTTGGCGGAGCCGAGCGCGGCGAATAGAAAGCCACGGAAATGTCTCGGGCAGCCTATCTTTGTCTTTGTGCGCCTCAAGATCGTGCAACAGGACACGGCTGAGGCCCCCGTCGACAGTAGTACCTACGGAGTCACGTGTGGGTGGACGGGAACCTTCCTTTAATATTCTCCGCGGCACACGACCACAAGCTCCCGCCCTTGCCCTCCTGACTGTGTCGCCACAGACAAACTCGCGTGCCCGAACGGCGGCGACTACCGACGCGAGCCAATATCCCGACCGCCACCTTGTCTCTTCGCTGGAACCGGACGGCAGAAGCGGAGGGCAAGCGAGGGCTGGTGACACAGCCGCCGTCCAATCGAGCACCTTTTTTCTCGCCTGATCTTGGTGCCACACGTCGACGTCCCTAGCGACACGTCAGGTAGACGTGCGTCAGCGGCGAGAGACCCTGGCCGATGTTTGTTCCCTTCCGTCATGTCCGTTGTCGGGGCCTTGGGCAAGCACCCTCTCGTCCGGTCTCTTCCTCCGCCTCTTTCTTCTCTTCTCCAAGGACCAAAAGTCTTGATGTCCAAGGCAGGGAGCCAGAGTCAGCACCTGCATATATGCCCCTATCTTTAGCTACGCGGTCGGACACCACCTGATACTGCAGCTTCGGAGGAAGAGACGACGACAACTCTGAGTGTTCTTTGGAGGTGGCGAGCCAGCGACTGCTGCTCGACAGACATCCTTGACTTGCCCCTGACTTGATATTCCCCAAACACGTCTGTCCTCCTCCAGCCATCTGATCCCGCTGAGACGACAAGTGCCTCTTCATGACATGGGCTCGCCCGTTTGTGTCGTGCCGTCTCGCTCAGGGAGCCGACGCCGTGCTCCCTCGCTCCATCTTCCATATCCTTCTCCGTTCCTGACTTGAGTCTTTGAAAAAGCTCGTCGCTTGACAGGTTTGGTGACGCAATCTTGATTTTGCATACGACCGGGCGGCCCCAAATCAGGAGTGCTCGAAGCGCGGTCAGAATGGAGCCGTTGGCGTGTTGGTTGCCGGCCGTGCTTGCAACCACACAGACTGACTGCAAGCTCTATTCTTGCTTCTCGGCTGCCGGGAGTATGCATAAATTGCCTGGCATGCGATTTCTTTGTTGAGGTAGAGCCGTGACGGTATGCAGTTCTATGAGTGTGCTGCTGCTTGCTCGGCCCCTGCACGTGCCGCCAGCGAAGGAACCTCAAAAGTATCGACAGCCCTGGCACTTGCCGCGCTCCCTCAGCTTACATGCATGCTTCTGCTTCATCCTATGTGCTCACGACTTTTCTTCGCCCTCCCTAGGATTCGGGGACAGGCTTTGGGCTCAACCTAAAGTCGGAGCCTTCTCGAGTCGAGGGCTCTGGGTACGGACATGGGAGGGCCCGGCGCGAGCCTGCCGCACGCAGTCGCCTCCTGCCTCTCACGGCGGAGGCACAGACACTCGCTCTCGCTTGCACTGATATCGGCACATGTCTCTCAACATGGATGTACCAGGCACAGGACAGATGGCCGTCGACGACTTGTTTCCCAATACAACCCGGTTGTTTGGTTCCGCAAACATACCCACCAATCGCGTTGGCTGCTTCCTTTGTCCCAGCCCATGCTCCAAACAAGGGCGCACCACGGGTCCCTTGGATGTTTCCGCTGTCACTCGACCGACTGGCAGGCATCCTTGACTAAGCCTTTGTACCGTTGGTAGTCTATCAGCTGTTGTGCGATCTCATGAGCCGTTTGGCCATGGATGGATGTCCGCCAACGGCGAACTTTGCAGACGGACAGATCCCCGGGGCGCTGGGCTTCTCTGCGTCGACTGGCCGCTCTCATCAATGGCATCCCTGGCGCCTCGGCCGATTTCTTGCCACTTGGTCGGATCACGAGGATCTGTTCCTCGGAAGCTTGCATTGCTACATGCAGGTGCGGGTTTGGACGCATCTACGACTGGTGTCTCGGTGCAGGCACATGCAGGCAGAGCCGGTCCCATGTCGTGACGTCTCTACAGGGAAGCGCAACTCCGGAAAGGGCCGCATCAGGCTCTATAAAGGCGGCGGGAGATTCCCATGGGACAGCGTCTATCTCCCTCTTGCTCATCAGAATCACAGCATCATCTTTACAATTTCCTCTTTTGTTACCATCTTTTTCTTTAATTCTCGTACAAACAATTATCCCACAGACTTGGGTTCCTCAGCAGACACGACTGTGCTTTTATCCCTTCCTCCTCCTCCACCCACACATACAGAAAAATGAGGTACTCCAGCGCAGCCCTCGCCGCGGCCTTCGCCGCCACCAACGTGCTCGGCCACGGCGTGGTGACCGAGGTGCAGGGCGCCAACGGCGTCAACCTCCCGGGCCTGTCGCTCATCGACGGCACGCCACCAACCTCGCCCGCTGCGCCGCCGCCTAGATCGAGGCCCGCTAGCTCTTCGGCCTTGGTGGAGGCGGGGGCGCTGGCGCCGGCAAGGCCTCGGCGGGAGTCGCCACGCCCAAGGGCACCAATGAGACGGCCGTCCTGGCTACAACGGGCATGGGCGCCGCGCAGGGCCTGCCCACCTCGTCCGACGACGGCTCCATCAAGGTGGTGTTCCACCAGGTCAACCAGGACGGCGCCGGCCCGCTGACGGCCGACATCGACGCCACGTCGGGCGGCACCGAGGCCTCGGCCTTCCAAAAGGCCGAGATCAGCCAGAACGTCCCGGGGCTCGGCATCGCCGGCCTCTCGGGGGCCCAGACCATGGACTTCCCCGTCGAGGTCAAGATGCCGGCCGGCATGACGTGCCAGGGCCAGGTGGCCGGCGCCTCAAACGTCTGCATCGCCCGCCTCCGCAACGCCGCCGTCACGGGCCCCTTTGGCGGCTCCGTCGCCTTCACCCAGTCGCCCGCCGCCAAGAAGCGCGCCATCGAGTACAACCTGTGTAAGCGCATGCTGTCGCGCCGCTTCGCCGCCGCCGCCGCCCAGGAAGACGAGGATGACGAGTAGAGCCTATGTCATTGCACCTTCCCTATTCCATGAAGAGCCCAAGGGCAGGCCCCTGGAGGGACGAGGGGGCCGCATCCCAGCGTTTCTTTGCTCACTGCGTAAAATTGTAATGTTTGGTGTCTCATTTCCTTCTTTCCTTTCTCCTGTCCATACTATTTTAAACGCATACCCTAAACAACCCACACCCACACTCCCTCACAAGCATGTTGTTTCTTTTCTTGTCAACTCAACTGCCCCGGGGGCGGCAGCGCCTTCTAGCAGGACCGGACCCAAAGGGACAGCCATTGTACATAGCTTGGGAGTAGTTGAAATGAATGATAATGTAACTTTCGTTAAAAACCGATCTTTGCAGCTCTCTGGAGACCTCATAGAGGAGCAAATCGTGTCCGCATGGGGCCTTGGGCTGTTTCCAAGAGCTCCATGTCCTCTCCACTCCCTTCGCCCCCATGATGGCCGACGCTGTTGCAAGCTTCGTGCATGGTCGGCCCGAGCTGCAGCTCCTTGCCGCAGCAGCCCGACTCGCTGGATGCAGCCCTTGTTTCAGGGATTCCGAAGTGACGGAGCCGTCCGCTGTAGCGTTCTGCTGCGCACGTTCCGAGATGGAAGAACACACCGAGTAAGTCCGATATGTCATCCCAACCCTGATTTGGTTCGAAACGCCAGCCGACCAGCCAACATCCTGTCGTTTCAAGAGCTGCTGCGTCTTGGAGAAGCGGCTGGTGGTTTGGTGAATGGTCCCTTCTTTTTTAGGAAGCCACTAATATGCCGTCTTGAAAAGACCAGCACGGTTATGGGTGATTTTGTGTGCGTCGTGTGACGATAGTGGCGCAAAATCCCCACTAAATAATCAAGAGAAAAAAACCGCTCACAACCGCAATCACAAAAGCTCAAAATCGTCCAGCTTGTCCTTGTACTTCATAATGTTCCTCTTGACCTTGCTGCCGGGCGCCCACGTGACAAAGTCCTCCATGGACCGCGTCACCAGCATGGCCGGGTCCGTGACCACGTCGACGCCGACGCGCACGTGGCCCTGCTCGATGAACCTCGTCGCGGCCGACACGCTCTCGGCCATGTGCAGGCGCGTCATGACGACGGGCAGGCGGCGGCGCGCAAAGGCGCTGACGGTCGCGCCGTGCTCGACCGCCGACAGCTTGGACTGCGTCGACAGCACCCCGACGTCGTACAGCTTCTCGAGCAGGAGGGACTCGTGCTTGCGCCGCACGGCGCTGTCGGGCGGCAGCAGGCTCAGGCGGTGCGCCAGCTTGCGGAGCGAGCCGCACACGGCGTTGTAGGCGTGGTAGTCGGCCGGCTTCTGGATCATGTAGCGCCGGCACACGGCCGCGGCGCGATGGTCGTTGTCGCCCTTGTAGGTGATGAAGTCGACCTTTTTGAGCAGTCTGGAGGGGGGTTAGTTTTGTGCTGTCGTATGTTCATGACGGGGGTTCTTATATTGGATATTACTCACTTTTGCTCGTGATGTTTGAGTTGGCGCACCATCGTGGCAGCACAGGGGTTGATGCTTTCGGATCAAAGGGTTGTGGTGGTTGTTGGTCGAGCGAGGTGCTGGTCCCCGCATGAAGCTTCGCAGTCGTGCTCAATGCGATCACCGACAAAAAAAAGTTCCATGCCGCTGGAAAAGCTACCGAAGTGGGCCCAAGTCCGTCAAGCAGGGGGGCGGCCGCAATTCGGGATTACCTAAGCTCGGCAAAAAGCGTGGGATGTGTGGAGAGCTTCAAAGTCGTATTTTGGCCCGCGCGAAGACGGCAGGGCAGGTATTGGCTGAGGGGGACAGACATTGAGGGCCGGGACGCCCTTTTTTATGCCATCATCTACGGCGCTTTAAACCACCTCTTCCACGATGCCACCACCGAAGTTCTCCCTCCCGTCATCGCTGGCGAGCCACTGCCGGTCCCTGCTCTCGCGTCCGGCCGCCGCCAGCACCACCACCGCCGCCAGGTTCATATCGACGACGGCGCCAAAGCCCGTCCCCCCTAACAGTACGTCGCGGATACCCCCCTCCCAGCGGCGCACATCGCATCATGCAACCCATGCGCTCCCCCAGCACGCATCTCCACGCCGGTGTCCTAACCCCACCTCCTCTCAGCCCCCTTCTCCCCGGCCCAGTTCCTCGAGGGCCTCGACCGCCCCTCCCCTCCCCCTCGTCGCCAGGTCGCGGCGGCGGCGGCAGCGGCGGTGGCGGCGGCCTAAGGTCCAACGACGAATTCTGGTCCATGGGCGGCAACCGCGGCGGCTGGCGCGGCGGCGGCAACAAGCCCGAGCCCAGGCGCGAGCCGGCCGCCGCCGACCTGATCCGCATGCTCGCCGCGACGTCGTCGATGGGCAGCAGCCAGCAGCAGCAGGCGCAGCGCACGGCCCAGGCGAGGGCCGACGCCGCCGAGGCGCTGCGCGCCAGGGACCAGAACAACGCCTACGTGCGCCACATGCCCCGCCGCTGGGCCGCCGGCGAGGTCTACTCGCCGCACGACCTGTCGCCCGAGGAGGTCGGGCGCTACTTCAAGCGCGAGCTCAAGCCCCGCTTCGATGTCTTTGACGTGCTCGGCTTCAACCCGCTGGACAACTACGCAGTATGTTTTTTTTTTGTCTTTGTTCATGCCATCTTTGGTTGCTGCTATCCCCCACCCCCGTCATGCCTGTGGCAAGTTACTGAGACTACCGCCCACAGAACTTCTCCGTCATCTCCGAATACATAACGCCCATGGGCCGCATAAAGCACCGCGACGAGACAGGCCTTCGCCCCGTCAACCACAGGAAGATGGCCAAGGCCATAAGGAGGGCCATCGGTCTTGGCCTACACCCCAGTGTGCACAGGCACCCCGAAATCATCCATCGCCTGAGGAGGAATGTGCCGGCACGTAATAGCAGGTTTGATTGATCTCATACGAGACAAATGTACAGATATTTTATTTCGTAGATCCCACAAACACAGCAAAGCATGACCGTGCACACGTCCCAAGCCAAGGGCTATCAGCTTCGCATGGCTCTTTATGTGTGCAAATATCTCCAACGGCTCTGAGAACTCACGGTTAGGTTCCAGCCCCTAAACTAGCCTAGGGTTTGAGCTCGTCTCGTGGCTTCCGGAAATCGCTACGCTCCACAACAGAGTCTTTCGTTCGCGGAACTTCGGCATCCAGCTTTCCCCACAGCTCGGGGAACTCCTGTTTTGCCCACTCCTCAAAATTATTCTGAAGATCCTGGCTAGGGAGGGCATTGTAAGAGATGCGCAGCCTGTGTGGAAGAGGTAAGGAACGAATTAGTGTCAGCGTTCGCTTTCTTCCAAAATATGGCAATGCCGGGTGAGTAAAGGGGTGGTAAAAGAGAGAGGGTACTCACATCGAATGGTCTGGATAGTAGCCCACGGTGCTCCTCATATCCTTGAAGAGCTTCTTGACAGCATCGACGTCACCATTACCCGCAATGGCGCCGCAGTAGGCTCCAAAGACATAAGGGGGCACCTCGACCTCCATCCTCATCATCTTGGCCCAGACCTCGCCGGCGCGCTCGTCGCCGAACGGCAGCTTCTCGCACGCCCAGAAGAAGATGGCGAGACTGTCGTACGTGGGGCCGTCGGGCGAGCCCGAGATCTCGCGCCAGAACTCGAGGCTGGTCTCGGGGTCGCCGCAGCCCGTGTACGCCATCATGAGGCCGTTATACAGCTTCGTGTCCGGCTGCACCGTCGCGTCCATCTTGAGCATGTTGTGTACCATGCCCAGGCTCTCGCGGTCTGGGTGCCGGCCGAGCTGCTCGAGTGCGCGCGTGTACACGGCCGCGTCGGGTCGTATCGCGGGGTTTTCCTGCGCCCGCATGTGCCCAAACACGAGCACCGCCATGTCGGGACGCTTGCGCTTTCCGAAGAAGGCGTCCATGAGCTCCACGCGGCTCGCCCGGTTTGTATCCGGGAAGTACTCGCGGAGAAGCGTGTAGCTGTCCCATACACGAGCCGTGCTGTTGGCCTCATCAAGTGAGTACTTAACCAGAGCATCACGCACTACCGCTCGCTCCTCCAGGCTGTACTGCAGAGCGTGGAGCGAGAGAGTATCCATCAGCTCGTACAGCTGGTCCGTCCTCAGGAAATGGACACAAAGATCTGCCGTGGTCTCAGGTTCCAGCGTAACCTCAAACTCCTCGACCTGGCCCAGTACCGAAAGCAGCTTCTGACCCTGGGACAGGTCCACGCAGAGCGCCCGGATGTATTTATTCAGGATCAACGTGCTGTGTGCGTCAAAGAAGCTCGCCCCTCCCTGTCGTCTAGGCTCCTCGTCGGCGTCTTCCTGGCCATGATCGTGCTCACGTGGGAAAGCCACAAGAGCTTCCATGGCGCTGTGGGCTCCCACAAAATCGTTGGCCTCCAACCGGTACTCCAGCTGCAGTGCGCGCGAGCGGATATCCTGTGGGATGCCTCGTCTTACTGACCAAAGCCAGAACCTCTCGGCAAGCGCTGGGTTCTGCATCTCAATCGCAGTCTCGAGCAATTTGTTCAAGGTGTCTGTATCTGGATAATTGGCCGTAGTAGGTAAAAGGTTCACCGTTTGATCGATGCCATCGATGTCCTTGCCCAAGATGCTGACAGCCCACTGTAGAATGACATCCCAAGTGTGCCTCGGAGGCGGGATTTGGGGGTTGCCGCAGAGCTTGGTGAAGATGTCGTTCACACGCACTGTCGCCTCGGGGTGCCGCCTGGCAAATCTCAAAAGCTCCAAAAGCGTGGGCGCGAAGGGCTCGCATTTTGCCTTGTAGTACCACTCGAACACAGCGCTCGCATCCCCGCGCTTGGCGTAGAACGAGGTCATGATCTTCTGGCGTCGGCCTTCGTGGAAACCTTGTAAGTTCAACTCGGTGGCTTTTTGAACCAAGGTGGTTTCGTCATCCTGTTCCGCGAGACCTTCTAGTATCTCCATCCACAGCTTCTGGGTCTCTCTCTGTATTGCCATCCCGTCTGCGGTGGATGCCGAGAGCAGCTCCGAGGCCTCAGTGGCGGCGCCTTGCCTAGCGAGGGCCGAGATGTATCTCCGGTAGACGGTCCCGCCGATATTGTTTGCTGCTTGGCTGTCGAGCAGGCACTGGCACTTGTAAGCCAGCCTCGCGAGCTCCAAGTGGCTCTTGGAATCTCCCTTGGCAGGCTTTCTCCTTGCCACTTCTTGTATACGGTGGAAGTCCCTGACCTCTAGTGATAAGCCGAGCTTGAACTTGTATCCATCCCGCCCCTCATTATCTAGCTTCTCTGTCAGATAGACAAGGGTGCGGAGCGCGCAGAAAGCCTGGGTCGAGTTGATAGGGTCGCTGCGGAATTTGGCCACCTGGAAAAAGGAGCGCAGGGCTGCGACAAGCTTCTGCGCGGCGGGCGGGCGGATATTGTCGGTCTCGCTTGCGCTGTACATAAGAAGCTGGTCGTATCCGGGCAGGACGCGATGGTCCTTGACATCCCTGGCAGGCTTCTTGAATCCCCCAAAGAATGTCCTGCTGGGCGGCCTGCTTATACGCAGTGGTGTCGGACATGTGCGCAGTCGTTGGGCTCGCTCGCGGACCGCAAGGGCAGATATGGATATGTGCCTGACATGGAGCCCCGCGAGACACGGGCTCGCTCGGCAGACATGGCGAGCCAGGTGGGAGCGCATCGTGGGGAGCACTTGACGCTCTCAAGGGTGGCTGGACTGGCTTGTCGGAGCCATTGGGCGACGAGGGCGCACACAATGTGTAGTTGGGTTCGAAGACAGTCTCTACCTCGGCATCGTCGGGTATCTAGCCCTACAATGTGCCAGCTGCCGTCTCGGGGGTGAATTTTCTGACCAGATAAAAAAAGTAGTATCGTCAACCTCGACTTCGCGATAGCTTGGCCCAAGCTTCCTAATGGCCCGCGAAGCCCCACATCAAAACCGTCGCCGCTGCCATGCTTTGGCGGGGCGGGTTTTGCTCGACGCCGGCAGGTAGGCGGGGAACACGTGCGTCTTATCCGTGCCGGCTTATCGTCGCCATTGCCCCGCCGCCGCGCGGTCCGCCGCGCATAAAAGTGCCGCGCCTCACCGCCCAAATTTTCTGGAATGGAGGCATTACAGGCAGTGCCCGAATCACACCCCTGATCCCGCACCCTGGAACCGTCTGGGAATTACTGAAGCTTCGCCATATACCCTCGCAGACCACCTAATTCACGTCTTTGCACGATGGCGCAGGGAACCGTCAAGATTTCGACCAAGGCGGCTACCGCCAAGCCTCTGAAAAAGGGGGCTAGGGTCACCAAGCCCAAGAAGGCGAAGCCGACCAAGGCCGACAAGCTCGTCAAAAAGTACACCTCGGGCCTGGTCAACCAGACTGAGAAGCTGCTCGGCGAGCGCGCCGGCCATCTCGAGCTCATCGGCAAGGGCAGGAAGGGCAAGACCGCCGACGCCGGTGGAAAGAAGCAGACGGGCGGATCCAAGAAGTTTGGTTGATGCTGCCCAAACTCGCGCTCCTTGGCCGGCCACTCTGCCCTGGGCTGGTGCCGGTACCCCGACTGGTCTGTACGTACGCACAGCACGCTCACGCTACGGTTCGGAGCCACACTGGCCAGTATCGCCAATATATACTAATTTGCCTTTTGCTAAAGTAGGCACTTGACTCTGGGCCGCGCCGGCTACGACCTCCACTCTCCTTCTCGGCGATTGGCCTGGTCCCAGGGCTAACGGCCGCCCAACTATCCTCTCCGATATCTATCTACGGCGAGCCCTGTGGAGTTTGGCGGAGGCTCTGACTATTCTCGGGGTGATAGGAGGATTGTCACAGGCACATGAGTTTCATGGCGGGGGAGCCCGCCCCTGAGCTGGACAATCGATGTGCGCGCGAGGTCGCCGCTTTCTCCTGCTGGCTAGACAAGATACCACCCTCGGGGCACTGAGACGCGCATATGAATCTCGGCGCCTCAAGGATTCTCGAGGCTGGATTTTAGGAAATTTTCTACCGTCGAGCATAAAATACGCAGTCCTCCGTTTTCAGGTCTCTCCCCAAACCAACCGTCCACTATTTCTCAATCAGCCGGCAGCTCCTCGTGAGCAAAACATTCAGGGGCTCGCGTTTGTGCTGGTGCCCTAAGTTTCGAGCGGCAGGCCAGAGAAAGGAGAACCCTTCAGAGTGCTCCCGGTTGTTACCAAATGCCCCCCTCTCTCTCTCTAGAGGGCGCATTTGTAATCTGCGAGGATACAGAGCACACCCACATCGGCCTTTCCACTAGACTGTTGCGAAGGATCTGGTGTTGTGACGCGACTTCATCCGCCGTAATGTGATATGTTCTGCATGAAGCCCTACGCAATATGTAGGTGGACGCAGGCGACCATGCTCGACGGAAGAGAGGCAGAGGGAAGGGGGAGCAGCCCACGTGCCGTAGCCGTGCTTATCGGTTTATTGGTTCCACAGCTCGGAGCTCTTGCCTATAAAATCCCGCCCGCCCCCTCCTTTGCCCCTTGGAATGCTCCCACATTCCTCGCCCATACTTATTCCCCCTCCCATGCTCCAGCTTGGAGGCAGAACAATCAAACACCCCGTGTCCCTGGGGTGCGGAGCAAAACGCAATACAACACATACAAACGCACTCCTTTTCTAGGAGAGGAGCAAGCCCCGAAATGGAGGAGCCCTCACTCTTCACCATCGCCCAGACCCTGGCCTTCCCCTGGGTCTTCATGTTCTCGTCGCTCAGCTGCCTCCCCGGCACCGTCGCGCGGCTGGCGCGCGAGGGCACGCTGGCGGCCCACCTCCTCGGCCGCGCCGACCACGGCGCCACGCTGGCGTCGGCCTGGTTCTCCGACTTTTGGACGCGTTGCGCCGCGCCGGGCGTGCGCGCCAACGCCGGCCCCGGCGTCCTCTCGCTGCTGGCCGGCCGCGTGCGCGCGGGCGCCGTGGTCGACGACGACGACGATGATGACGACGCTGGCCAGGACGCTCCGCCGCCGCCGCCACCACCGCACCCGCCCATCTCCGGCACCGTGCTCGAGATCGGCCCGGGCAGCGGCATGTGGGCGTCGGCGCTGGCGCGGAGCGTCGTCGGCGGCACCCCCACCAGCGACGACGACAACAGCCTCCGCCGCCGCAGGACCACCACCACCACCGAGGCAGCAGCGCCGGGGGGCCCCGTCAAGCGGATCCTGGGCGTCGAGCCCAACGCGAGCGTGCACGCGGCGCTGCGGGCGGCGGCGAGCGAGGCCGGGCTGGACGGCGTGTACGAGGTGGTGCCGTGCGGTATCGAGCACCTCGCGGCCTCGGGCGCCGTGGCCGAGGGCGAGGTCGACTGCATCGTCTCGGTCCTCTGCCTCTGCAGCATCCCGGACCCGGAGCGGAACATCCGGGAGCTGTACCGCTACCTCAAGAAGGGAGGGAGGTGGTACGTCTACGAGCACGTGTGCCAGGCGCCCGGCACCGCCATGTACTGGTATCAAGGTATGTTGCTTTTTTTGGGCTGTCCCCGTGCTTGTTCTCCCCGGTGACGGACGTCTCACCTTCATCGTCTCCCCTCCTTTCCCTTCGTCCCGTGTTACGGATGTAGAGGGAGAGCTTCATGTGCTGACGCTCTTGTGTGTGCAACAACTTTCTGCTAGGCTTCGTGAACCTCTTTTGGCCACATTTTATCGGTGGCTGCCGTCTTCGTAATGAGACGGCCAAGTATCTGCGTTCGGCTGGCCCGTGGTCCGACTTTGATCTTGCACAGCCACCGAGAGAGCCCTGGTTTAATACCCTTCAACACGTGCTTGGAATCTTGACAAAATAGAGCCTTATGATCGAGCACTGCCTGGGACTTGGTAGTAGTACTGGGTGATAGCTGAAAATCAATGTCATTGCTGGTCAATGCAGAAAATATTCAAGAAACTGTAATGGAAAAACTTCGACATCACTTCGCCTTGGACCACGGGCTCCATGTTATTGAGTCTGAACCTCTTTTTATTGTGCCGTAGCACCTATCTAATGGACTTGGGCTATCTACCTTTTTGCTCAAACGAAATCCGTGGCCTCATACCACCGCTCAACGTTCGCCGAAAGTAGACCAACGGGGCGGCAGCGCCTGTCTCTGGAGAAGCAAAGCTTCCCAACAGTTGCTATCCTACCCCAAGATCCCAGCTACTAGTGAGTCACTCCTGAGCAAAGGTCATCCCATCCTTCAATCAACTCCAGATATCCCGAGCCCACTATCCTACAAGAAAGAGAAGGGCGATTGTCCAGCGATGAACGTATCTGCCTAACACAGTCCCTCCTAGAAAGCAGCCCAAGCGCTGGAGAGCGAGTGCTGAAGAGAGAGCTGTGGCTGGCTTTGCAGCTACCAGGCAGAGACGCCGCCGCCAGAGGTCTTCCAGGAGTCGGCATCGGCGCCCGGGGCTGCAGTGTTTCCAGCGCCCGTCTGCCAGTCATTGCTCTGTCCAGCGTTGCCAGTGTTCCAGTCGTTGTCACCACCAGCAGCACCATTGTCGAAACCATCAGCAGCACCATTGTCGAAGCCTCCCATGCCGGCATCATCGTCAACGTGCGGCTTGGTACACTTGGACTTGAAGTGGCCCATCTCCTGGCAGTTGCTGCACTTGACGCGAGAGACTGCACAAGTATGCGAGTTAGTGACCTGGACGGCAAACATAGCAATAGGACAGACGAAGCCTTACTATCCCGCGGCTTCGGGCACTCCTTGCTCACGTGGCCGAACTCGTCGCAGTTACGGCACTGGACATTGGCCATGTTCTTGGGCTCGGTGCAGTCCCGAGACATGTGGCCCTCCTGGCCACAGTTGCGGCATCCGTTGCCGCCGCCCTTCGGGCAGTCCTTGGCAAAGTGACCACCTGTCGCACAAACGTCAGCTTGCTACATTTCCCCCATATTCCAAGTGGCGATCAAGAGGTATGACCTCGTATCAGGGACGCGGGGTGGTACTTACACTCACCGCACTTGCGGCACTCCATGTCCGGCGGGCAGACACGCTCCTCCTCGCACTCCTTGGACGTGTGACCCGACTTGCTGTAATAGAGGGTCAGTAACAGGTAGGCACTCTTGGCGTTTTCTCGTGTTGCGAGATTTCATTGGAAGTTGACTTACCCGCAGTTCTTGCAGGCAAACTTGTCGACACGAGCTTGAGGGCCTGTAGAAGTTGCTTAGTATCCGATCTCCTGCTGGCTTTTTCACGTCGAGGGAAAACATACAGTCGCGGGAACGGTGTCCCGGCTCGTTGCAGTTGATGCACTCAATGACCAGCTGCTGTCGCTCAACTTTGTCCTGGGGACAGTCACGAGTCTCGTGTCCAAGCTCCTCACAGTTACGGCAACGAGGGAGATGGGAGTGGACCAGATCGCCAGCGTCCTCGAGCCGCTCAAGGTTGTCAGCAGTGTCCTTCGGCCAGAAGTCGCGCTCGCGGGGACGAGGGCACTTGTCGCTGAAGCGCAGCGAGATCGTGTGCTTCTTGTCCAAGTTTCCCTGAAGATCCATGTTGACCATGCCAACGGGAAGCTCCTTGGCCAAAGCGATGAAGTAGAGGCCAATGTTCTCCTTACGGAGGATCTGCTCCATGGCGACATAGTTGGTATCCGGATTGGCCTTGAGGTAGGCCTTGAGTCCCTCTTTGACAGAGAACATGTCGGAGTCGTCGACGGCCTCCCGGATCAGATCAAGAGCAGCAGACGCCTCCATGTCCGGGGCATCAGAGCGGTCAATGAATCGAGCAGCCTCGCACTCGGCAGCAGTGTGGCCTACACAGTAACGCTGTTAGACCGTCTGTGTTTCACGATCGAGGATAGACTTGAATGTTCACTCACCCGGCTCCTTGCAGTTGGGGCACGTCTTGCTGGGGCAGTCCTTGGACATATGGCCGTCCTCACCACACGAGCGGCACTGCATGGGAGGGCGGTCAGGGCAATCACGGCCGATGTGGCCCTCCTTGTTGCAGACGCGGCAAGTGCCATCGAAGACCCTCGGCTTGGTGCAGTCCGCCTTGTTGTGACTATATGGTGTGTTAGCATGGTGTTTACACTTGAATGAGAGGTCATGTTCACTGCCGCGGGATGATGACAGCTGCATTTCAGACGTACCCAGCCTCGCCGCAGTTGAAGCATTTGTCATCGTTGCCACCATTGCCGCCGTCGTCGGCAGCACCAAAGCCATTGCCACCGCCGGCATCGCCGGCACCGCCAGCATCGCCGCCGTCGTTCCACTGATTGTCGGCAGCAGCTCCACCAGCATTAGTGCTGTCATTCCACTCATTGCTAGCTCCGGCATTGCCCGAGCTGTTCCACTGGTCGCCACCAGTAGTCTGGGACTCCCAGGCCCCGCCACCGGAGCCGTTGTCCCAGGCAGCCATGTTGTTTAGCGGCGATAGATAGTCCGCGTAACCTAAACAAGTGTTAGCAGCAAGGACAGTTGATGTAGATACTGCCGGTCGTAGACAGAGAGCTTGGAGCGATGACCAAATTGGAGGAAGTGGGCAGCGGGAGTGGTGACAAAAGCATGGATAGGAGAGAGATCAAATGACGTAAAGAAATGGTGGGCAGGGCGGGTAGGATGGGCAGGCTGAGCCAGAGACTTCATGGAAGTGCCGAGGAGGTAGAACAGAGCACGATGGAGGTGGCTAGGGCCAAGAGATAGGTGGTACCAGCTTGGAAGACAAGGGTCTCTTCGTGATGGGAGGAGATGCTGTCGGCAGAGGGTTCGTAGGCGGAAGGATTGCAGAAGACGCCAACGAGGGAAGGCGCGGGGAGCTTACCAGCTTGGAGGAGAACACCGAGAGAGATGTTAGTAAACGACCTGGATGAGAAGACGAAGAGACCGTGACCCAGATGGAGATGTCGCTGCTACAACAAGATGGAAGTTCCAAGCTCTGTCGAGAAGAAACCAGGTACCAGGTAGTGATTGGTGGGCGGTCAGGAAGGAAAGAAGGAAGAAAAAACGAAAGTGGTGGGGAGGGGAGGACACCGGGGTTCCTGCGAGTTTAGGGTTTGTCCAAAGAGTTCCCAGGTCAACCCGAATTAGACTCTTTGTGATTCGCTACTCTTCAGCCCTATGCTGATCCTCTCGCCACCAAGAGACACGTGCCTGTTTTTTTCTAATATAAAAAGGCCAAATGGCGGATGCTTCGTTGTGGGCAAGTAGGTCGTTTGGTCAGCTGGCCGCCGTCCAGTCTTCCTAGGCGGTGGGGGCAAGGGCTAATATCGCGTAAGCCTCGCGGGCGCAAGCATGCTTGGTCCTGCCGTGGGGGGATGCCCTGGCAGGGATCATACGTCACTGAGCAGGTACGACGGACTACGGCTGCTGGAAGGCGTTCCCGACAGGCAGGCGGGCAATGCAGCTGCTTAGTCACTCTTGAGGAAGGAGCGGCCTACACGCCACTGCCATGGCAGCCAGCTAACAGGTGGTATTGGTACACAAGGCAGCTCCCTGGCCCATGGGCCACCTCCCAGCCTAGGAGGCACCTTAGGTACCAAGTTGTCTGTGGAGCCGGCAGCCCGAGAACGAGCCCGCGATGCCCCTCCATCGACCCTTAGATGAGCAGGCCTGGGGCATTTGCACAGGTATGACCAAGATGTCAGCCCTCTTCTACTTTCTTCTAGCTTAGCGTTGGAGCTCCTTGGCGTCCAGACTGATTCCTTCGATCCTCGAGCGTTTGTCGGCCTGGAGGCTTTGTGGGAGTGGAGGACACGGATATCCCGCAAGTTTTTGTGCTGCTGCCGCCAGGGCATGCGCGTGATCTTGGTGTTTGCTGTGTCTCTATTTGACGGCTCCTCTGCTGCCGCCTCCCGCACTTGCATATCACGAGGGGCCAGCCCAGCACCCTAGCCGGGGCAACAAAGAGATGTCCAGCAGCAAGCGCAAGTATATACGTGATGTGTCCCCTCTCCTCCTCGCTACTGTGTCTGCTCTATATAGGTACACTCACTTCTAGTCCAACTTCAGCGACCCGGAAACATCGAAGGCTTCGAGGAACAGATAACAACATATTGTGTAGGATACGGGCCATACCCTAAACGATCAGGGGCGTATGTTGGAGGTAGGGCCGGCCCAGAAGGTCGCCCAAAGATGAGGGGGAAATTGTTGTTGTTGTTGTTGTTGTTATGGCCATTATCTGGAGGAGGGCGCTCGTGCCTGGAGGTAGGTAGGCCGGTGCACGGTCCTACCTCACACAGCCTAGCATGCGTGCAGGGTTGCCGTACATACGCCCGAGGTCGAGATTATAGTATCAAACGCAGTAAGCACTATATGTATATACCGAAACAGAGACACAGCCCTGTACTTCTCGAGCACTGGAAGAGATCTTGCAGTAGAGGCGCAAGGGAATTTGTGGTACATCATGGGAAAGTCATATAAGTAAATAGATCGATATGCTCTTCCAAGAGCTTTGGCTGTCAGCACAGCCTAGAGGCACAGGTAGCAAGCAGTACAAGCCTTGTTTCTGTCTTGTCGACGGACCCTCAAGGCCGGCCATTTCATTGGATTCTGACGTCGTAGCTCCTACGAAAGCAGCCTGGAAAATCAAAGGTTGCTCCTCTCAGGACCAATGAACCCTTCACCTCGGATTTCAGAAGCCGGCGATGAGTGTTCGATCTTGTTATATCATGTTCCATCCATTTGGAGATAGTTCCCAGGGGCTAGCTGCAGCATATGGCAAGACTGGCCAGACTCAATAGTAACTATGGAATTCTAGCACATTCCAACACTGGACGTCTTGTACGCTATTCCCTTCAGCAGCACGCTTTTTGTATGCGGTGTAACAGCCCTAAAGCCTGCCTCGACATTCTCGGCGACGCATGGTATTCGCTGGAGCCAGAAACCGCCTGACACGCACTCGCGGCTTCTGGAAGCCCCATTCCATACACCGGCATGGCTGGCTGCATTATATGCTTCCGAGGTTGGGCTATGCTGGCGGTGGATCGACGGGGACGGAGAGCAAACTCAAAGGTGTGTCGACCCTTTCTGGTCTGGTTATTAGATATTAGGAGTACCAAGGGGATCTTGCTATGTGGCGCGGTGTCGAGCTCAAAGTCGAGCTCGCAGGCTGTCGTAGCTTCAAGCTCGTTCGAGTGCTCGACTAGCCCTAACACCTCAAATGGAGACAAGCTTACCTTTGCCGAGCGGCAATCCATGTCCCTGGCCATAAAAGGCAGGCGGGGTTCGTGTGGGATGGCACCCTCTTCTGATGGAAGTCGGGGCGTGGCTCAAGTCGGCATGTACAGGTTTACTGCGGAGGCAAGGAAACTGTACATGGCTCGACAGTAGGTGTTTGGGCGCTAATTAATCTAACGCACATCACCATTGCAGCTAAAGGAGCGGGAGCGGGAGGGCAGCTACACGGTGATGTCACCCCGCGGCGCGATTGGATGCCCCCTGTCGGCACAAGAGGTACGGGCGGCGGGGTAAGCTCTGGTTCCGATACCGCCGGAGCTTACCAAGCAATATGAACGAGCGCCAAGAAAGGAAGCCTCTCTGCCCGCGGCCGTGAAGGGGACGATAACAACCTCGTGAGGGGCAATAAATCACCTACGTGGATATCTCGTCTTGCTCGCGCAGCTGTGCCTAAAGAGGGGTGGGAAGCAGTAGCCGTGGCGTCGTGTAGAAGCTGCACGAGTAAAACAGCCTGCACGCCGGGCACGAAGAGCATAGTATGATGTAGATACTACGTACGTCCATATCGCGTGGATGGCGGGAGCGGGAGCGTTGCAGCCCGAAAAAAGCTGCAGCTGGGATGGGGCATCAGACGCTGGGTACAAGGCGGCCCTTAAATCCCGCGGGACCCCCAACTTTCACCAGGTATCCTCCCAGTCCTCTGACGCCTGAGAAATTTCCACATCTCACTCCCGACTGCTCAACACCAGCAGACCCCCCTCCCGAACCTCGCTCCAAGTTGTACCTACCAGCACCACAGTCGCCGCCATGGAGAAGCCCGAAGATCTTCCTAAGATGGAGTACCGTTTCCTGGGCCGGTCCGGTCTCAAGGTCTCGGCCATCTCGCTCGGCGGCTGGCTCACGTACGGCGGCCATGTCGACCGAGGTGCGCATCATATGCCCCGCCCCCTCCATCTCCCCGCGCGCCCAAAGCCCAGCAGCCAAAGAGCCCCTCTAGACAGAAACTGACAGGCTCGCAACCCTCGGCGATGGTCGAGGGACAGAGGGCACATTTGCGTGCATGAAGGCCGCCTACGACTGCGGCGTCAACTTCTTCGACTGCGCCGAAGCCTATGCGGCCGGCGAATCCGAGATTGTCATGGGCGAGGCCATCAAGAAGTACGGCTGGAAGCGCAACGACCTCGTCATCTCCACCAAGGTGAGGCCTATCCCCGATTCTCGATGGCCTGCCCGGCCTTGAGGGACTCTGGAGGACCACGTTGCTGATCTGGGACACCGCCCCCGTATCTAGATCTACTGGGGCTCGCACAACGGCGACAACCGGGCAAACAACGTGGGCCTGTCGCGCAAGCACATTGTCGAGGGCACCGAGGCGTCCCTGGAGCGTCTGCAGCTCAAGTACGTCGACCTACTATACGCGCACCGGCCGGACCGGCAGACGCCCATGGAGGAGACGGTGCGGGCGTTCAACCACATGATCGACCAGGGCAAGGCGCTGTACTGGGGCACGTCGGAGTGGAACGCCGACGAGATCGCACAGGCATGGCGCGTGGCCGACCGGCTCGGGCTAGTCGGCCCGCTCATGGAGCAGCCGTGCTACAACATGCTGGAGCGCGTCAAGGTCGAGCAGGAGTTTGCGCACCTGTACCGCGAGCTCGGGCTCGGCCTGACCGTCTTCTCGCCGCTCAAGCAGGGCATCCTGTCGGGCAAGTACAAGGACGGCATCCCCGACGACTCGCGCTTCGCCCAGCAGCAGGTCGAGTTCATCGCCGGCTACTGGAAACGCACCGGCAGGGAGGCGTGGGAGGACCAGATCGAGCGCGCAAACAGGCTCGCGCCCGTCGCCGAGAGGCTGGGCGTCAAGCAGAGCGCCCTGGCCCTCGCCTGGGTGCTCAAGAACCCCAACATCAGCTCCGCCATCACGGGCGCGAGCTCCCCGGCGCAGGTCTACGAGAACATCAAGGCCCTCGACGTCCTCGAGAAGCTCACCCCCGCCGTCATGGAGGAGATCGACTTTATCCTCGAGAACAAGCCCCCCGCGCCCATCGCGAGGTACTAGGCACAAGCATTTCCGAGGGGCTGGGATAGAGGTCTTCAAAAAGGGTGATACACTTGGCAGCAAGGCAAATATGTAACTCAAAAAGCATTGGCCGGGCTGGGAGGCTCAGAAGTACAAGGCGTGTGCGGATAAAAGGTGAAATCGAGTATAACCTATCGGCTAGCTTGTCATCGCTGTCCAATGAGCCATTGGCATCTCTGAAGGCCGCACTGCAGAGACAAACCCATGAAATTCAATGCCACAATGTCAATTGACGACGAGAACCCGCTCTCGACAACACAAAATCTCCCAGGGTACCCCAGAAACATTGAGAAACATGGATGGGTCGGCCGGGGCAGCCCAGACCTGTGGCGTGACCCCTCCCAATGGATTTTCGTGAAATCTCCATGTTGAAATCCCACCTGGGCCCCTGAGACCCCTGAAAAGGGGCGACCAACCAGATAGCTCGGCTGGCGGCAGGGGAGGGTCTTCCCCGCTAAAACAGTCGGCTCACCGCCCGATAAACAGCTGGGGATCGACTGATAGAATTGGAACGGGACAATTAATCGCCTGCTCCAAAGGCTGGGGGACGAGTCGCCTTCCCGCCGCCAACATTTTACGCCCTACCTTTTGCTTTGGGTGGTTTTTCCCGCCTTTGCCTGTCTCCTCTTCTCTTTTTTCTCGGATGAGGGCGTACTTTAGCAACACAATTGCTACTTGAACCGCCAGGCTGCCTCGTCAGTTTGGGCCGGTGATTCGGGTCTATTGCGCCTCCCCTTTTTTTTTTCTCTCCTCTCGTTATAAAGCCCCTGGTATTCCTGTCGCGCCCACAAAAATCCAGGTCACCACATCCGCCTCCTAAAACATGGCCCCCTCCTCCGTGACCGTGACGTCGGCCCCGGCCGCGTCCAAGCGGAAGAAGGCCAGCAACGGCGGCGCCAAAGCGGCGGGCGCCGAAGCGGACCCGGTCGAGTCGCAGGCCGAGTACAAGGACTTCTTCTGGACCTACACCGAGGAGCCGCACCGGACGCGGCGCCTGGCCATCATCAAGGCGCACCCCGAGGTCACCAAGCTGTGCGGGCCCGAGCCCCTCACCAAGTACGTGGTCGCGGGCGTGGTGGCGCTGCAGGTGTCGCTGGCGCTCTACCTGCGCGACGCCGACTTCTGGTCGCTCAAGTTCTGGGCCGTCGCATACGTCTTCGGCGCCACCGCCAACCAGAATCTGTTCCTGGCCATCCACGAGATCTCCCACAACCTGGCCTTCCGCTCGCCCATGGCGAACCGCCTGCTCGCCATCTTTGCGAACCTGCCCATCGGCGTCCCCTACAGCGCCTCTTTTAGGGTATGCAATATTCCATGTTCACTCCCGGGGGGCGCTTCTCGGCGCGGGGCTTGTCGGTCTGACGGGAGGGAGAGAGGTGATCAGAGCTAACGAACCCGCCTCTCGCAGCCATACCACCTGACCCACCACAAGTCCCTCGGCGTCGACGGCCTCGACACGGACCTGCCGACCGCCCTCGAGGCCGTCTTCTTCGACTCCATCCTCGGCAAGGCCTTCTTCTGCACCTTCCAGATCTTCTTCTACGCCCTGCGGCCCATGTTCATCTTCCGCGTGCCCTTCACGGGCATCACGCTGCTCAACCTGGCCGTCCAGCTGTCCTTCGACTACTGCCTTGTGCACTTCACGGGCTCGTGGCGGCCGCTCCTCTACCTTCTCCTGTCCTCGCACCTGGCCGGGTCCCTGCACCCGCTGGCCGGCCACTTCATCGCCGAGCACTACGTGTACGAGACGGTCGCGCCCGAGGCGCGCGACCCGGACCGCGCCATCCCCGTGCCCGAGACCTTCAGCTACTATGGGCCCCTCAACTTCCTGACGTACAACGTCGGCCTGCACAACGAGCACCACGACTTCCCCGCTGTGCCCTGGACCCGCCTGCATAAGCTCAACCGCATCGCGTCCGAGTTCTACGACGACCTCCCCCGCCACCGGAGCTGGACCTACGCCATCTGGCGCTTCATCTGGGACGACTCCATCGGCATGCGCTGCCGCGTCAAGCGCAAGGATGGCGGCCGCCTCGTCGGCGCCGCCGGCCAGAAGGGCAAGGTCGCCGCCGTGGCGGACTGGAAAGAGGATGAGCTGCAGTCGTGAGGCGCCCAAGTCTTTCCTCGCTCCTGTACTCTCCAGCGAAAGGATGTAATAGGGGATGGGGTGTGTCCAGAGGATGACATGGCGGCCGTGCTAGGTCCATTGCTCCTCCGGACGAACAAATCAACGGGATTAAGCGTAATAATATTGGGCATAGACAGGGGGGCAAAGTAGAATATGAATATAAAAGCAAATGTTTACCTATCTAGAGTGAGAAATGGTCAGGAGACACACCCAACGACCCTGTCATTACAGTGAACCGTCACCAATGTACCAGTTCTTCACTCCGGCTAAAGTTGAGAACCGGCGAATGAGCACCACGGATGAACACCAGATCTCACGATCCCTGAGTCCTGAAAAGGAGGACGAGCAAAGACAGAGGAAAATCTCTACGCGTGACGAATTACAAATGAAACGAGCTGCCTCTTCGAAAATACAGCATAAAATACAGGTATCTCCTCATCGCCCTTAGCATCACTGCTTAGGGGTTGATGATGAGAACAGTGGGGAAAAGTGAAGCGCAAGAAAAAGCTGCTGATAACACTCACTTTGGAACATGCCACTCCTTGGCATCCTCTGCTTCCTCCTCGTTATCCTCCTCCCCGCCTTGAATCCCCAAGTACATGGCTGCTGTAGACATGGTCGGGGCACGGGGCGCGCAGATCCTTTGGTCCAGTCCCGGTTCTCCACAGCCAATCTCCAGGGCCTTGGCTTTACCAACCGGGCGCTGGCGCGTGCGGAAACAGGAGCGGTCCCGTCCAGGAAAGCCTCTTCCTTTACCGACATGAGAAAAATGAAAATGAAAATCAAGGAGGGTTAGGGTATCGCCCAGGATGTATAAGGCTTGGGAATCAAGGAAACGGAATGTCGAGGCCCGGCGACTGGAAGTCACCACTAGTTCTGCGCTCGGTGGACGATGGCAAAGCCACCAGTTCGGACAAGCTCCTTCTAGGCCTAGAAGAAGAAGTAGGCCAACAGGAAACTCAGCAGGCATAGGGCGGCCACTACATGAACAGGTACGCCCTGGATGGTCTCTTGGCGGGCCGCCGGGTGGACCTGTGTGACTGGAGCCGGCGCCGACGGGGCGCTCTTGACGGCCGATGGAAGCTTGCGCTGCTTAAGTCCGCTGTCCTCAACCTTGGCAGCAACCGCGCTCTTAGCCTCGGCCACCTTCTCCTTCACCTGTTCGACTGGCTTGGAGTTGGACACCTGGGCCGTGGCCGCGCTCAGGGCGGAAGTAGCGTCGGTGACGGCAGTAGAGAGAGGAGACTCGTGGTAAAGCGTCTTCCTCTTGTCGGCGGACGGGCTCGGCTCGGGTTGCAGAGACTGCCTCGACGCCGGTGGGTGAGCGGCAGGGGATGAGTAGGACGGGGGAGCAACATCAGGCGTGGCGTCGCCCTGCGCATAAAAGTCAGCAGAGCACAACCAAAAGTGAGAATTACGGCCGGAACTCACTCCGCTTCCAGGAGACTTGCTCCTCGCCGGGGTGGTAGCCACCGCACCCGAACCATTATCGGCGGGCAGGAAGGAGACCCGTATTTTCCTCTCCTGGATCGAGCTCTTCGGGGCGGCGTCCCACTACAGCAACAGTTAGCCAGAGAAACAAACAGAAACGGGGTGGCGTCTGGACAGTGGCCGGGGAGCGCGAGGCTTGGAGACCTACAATCTCCGAAACGCTTGTGAATGCCTTGTCCGGGCTGATCTGCACGGCCTGAACCAAGAACTTGTCACGGCACTTCGCATCTGCCGGAGGATCCACCTTCATAGCCTGGAGGAGGACTGTTTGCCGTGTAAAGACGGGAGTTAGCCCCCGTTCAATCGCAAGTCGCCACGGAGCGGTGGCACCGGGCCTCCGATAGGGGCAACCCACCCTGGACTTGGACCTCCTGGTCCGGCTCGATCCGGCCTGAGTTGGGGCGGACGCAATATCTAGACGGGAGACAAGGCGTCAGTCACCGATCGGATCCCAGATACCTCGCGCAGGTGCTCGAATCGTCGGGCTTTGTGTGGGGGCGTGCGTACTGCTTCGGCGCCGTGGTTTTGACCTATCGAAACGGTTGGTCAGCCCACAGAAAGGTAAAGTCATGGTTGAGATGCGGCGGATTCAGGTGGCATTACACACCTTGAAGGCGACAGGGAGACTGTTGGGGTTCCGGATCCGGAGGACCTGGGCGACCTCGGAGGTGAAAGGCCCTTTAAACCAGCAGACAAGTTAGAAAGGGCGGATCGCGTTTGCGACGTAGAAGCGCACTACCAGCCGGAAGACATACGCTGGAAGCCGAGCTCCGAGGGATCAAGCTCGACAGACATGACGGCTGTGTTCTAGCGGAATCGAGACAATGGGTGGTGGCAGTGGTGTCGCGTTCGACAATCGGGCGTGGTCGCAGTGTGGCGAGCTTAGTAGCGTTGACGTGGTCGATTCGAAATCAGGACGGAACGGGTGGGCGACAGGCAAGAGGCGGCGCGGCCAGCGGAGTGAGGGAGGGACAAAGGGGACCAGGATAGATACAAGGAATAGCGGAAGCTGCAGAAGGAAGAAAAAGTTATACTCGGCTTGGGCAGTGGAGGATCAAAGGACTGCGTTTCCCATTGAGCAAGCAAACGTTGTTGCGTGGTTGATGTGCTCGTGGCCAACAGAGAGAGGGTCGCCAGGGATGACATAACACCTGGCAGACGAGCAGGGAATGATCCATTTTTCCAATCGAGCCTGGAGTCCGCCCGAGGTACCGGGCGCGCTGGGCTGCGGAACTGTGGTTGGCCTGTGCGCTGCGTGGAGCCTGGTGCCACTACACAGTGCAGGCCCTCCAGCGCGGCCTCCAGCTGTGTGCTAAAAACGGCGTGCTGGGCCCGACCAATTACGAAGCTCGTCCCCGTCTGTGGTGCCATCTCCAGCAAGGCGGCGGTCACGGGCTGGACACGACACAGCTCGCACCCGCGCAACAGCCCAAAGACCCGACCTGCCGAGCGCCGAGCTTTGAGTGGATGCGAAACACCCGTTTATGCCGGAACCTGAGCGAGACTACCTACTAGCAGCCGGAGAGAGAACGATACCCAACGCGGCCAAGTCAAGGCGCAGTCCGTAGGATACCTTAGCGGGCGAGCTTCCGCCAAGCGCTTCCGCGCACGTTCAGCTCGCAGATCCCCGAGTCGTAGCAACAGCTGGAGAACAGCATGTGGTCGCCAGGGCAGCCAGGCTGAGACGCACGCGATGCATTCAATCATATACGTACCTACGGCCCAAGCACCCAATAGGCAGATGATGGAGATACCTACACCCAATGCCTGATGCTCGGGCTGCTGCCCGGCTCCATCTCCACGAGACGTTCGGAGATAGAGGCCTTACATACAGCACAATCATTATTAAGGTGCGACGGGCACTCCCACCGTGCAGCGATCTCCGTACCATCCACTTAGGTTACGGAGCCCCGCAGGCAGCCTAGCCACGCAGCACTGAACGGAGAACACCGCAGGCGGGGTACTTAGCACAGCACGGCCAGCAAACGAATGACGTCCCACGAGCCAGCCCAAAATCCATAGGTCGCAAGGCAACCGGGATCCAGGCACCACACCCACCCCTACCAAGCCTCCAACGATATCGCCAAATACGCATCCTCGACTTCTGCCGCTGTTGGCACCGCTTAAGCCCGTCATTTCATTCGTTCGGCACACGGAGCCAAGCTGAGGCGCCTCAGCAAGGCCAAAAATAAGCACTTTTGCCGTTGCCCTTCCAAACACCACCACCAGCCCCGCACCCATCGCCCAACATGGCTCCATCGGACCTCAACCTGTTGATCGAGATGGGCTTCGAGCAGTCACGTGCCGAGCTCGCCGTGAAAAAGACAGGAGGACGTATGTCGATCTATACCCAAGAGGCACATAGCCAGAGTCCCTCTTGATATAAATTCACAATGGCTTACGTATTTCGGTGCAATCTTGGCCCTCTTTGAAACGATAGTCCAGGGCGCCCTTGAGTGGCTGGAGGTAAACCAGGACAAGCCACTAGAGGAGCTACAGGCCGGCACGTCTGCTGCGGCCGCCGACGAGGAGGATGAGGACGAGGCTGGCGGGCCCAAGATCGCCGGGGTCGACGAGGGTGAGACTGCTCAGTCGCTCGTTTGCAACGAGTGTGGCAAGAAGTTCCGCAACAGCGATATGGCCACATTCCATGCCACCAAGTCGTAAGGCATTCTCATCAACCTGCCTTCAAAGCCAATCCGTAGTCCTGCTTTGCCACTAACTACTGTTGTTGCTAGTGGCCACACCGACTTCTCCGAGTCTGCCGAGGCCATGGCGGCCCTGACCGAGGAGCAAAAGAAGGAGCGCCTCGCAGAGTTGAGGGAGCAGCTCAAGACCAAGAAGGCCGTCCGGGGCGAGAAGGACAAGGAGGATGCCAAGCGCAATGAGGTGAGCGCGAGAACATCTACCTAGGTAGCCACCTAGCCAGCCCTACCATATTGTGTCTAATTCAGCCAACACCTTTGCAGCAAATTCGGCAAAAGGCCACCAGGGAGACCCAGGACCTGAAGGAGGAGCTCGCGAGGAAGGAGCAGATCAAGGATGCGGCCAAGAAGAGGCAGGAGAAGCTGGACGACATCGAGGCCAAGCGCCGCATCAAGGCCAAGATCGAGGCCGATAAGGCCGAGCGGAAGCGTAAGGCCGACGAGGCCAAGGCCGCCAAGGGCGGCGCGTCCTCGGCAACCGCCGCCGCCGCCGCCCCGGCCGCGCCCGCGCCCGCGGCAGCCCCCCGGACCGTCAACCACACCGAAGCCAGGTTGCGGCTCCAGCTCCCCTCGGGCGGCAGCGTGCAAAAGACGTTCCCGGCCGAGGCGACGCTGTTCGAAGTAGCGCAGGCGCTGCAGGCCGACGACGGCGTCCCGCTTGTCGAGAGCTTCACGCTCACCTTCCCGCGCAAGGTCTTTGAGGGAGATATGGACTTCAGCAAGACCCTGCGCGAGGCGGGCCTGGTCCCTAGCGCCGTGTTGATCGCGAAGTAGGGAACTGGGCAGCGGCCGGGAGAAAGCCTGCGCAGCTGCGCATGAGGAAGACGATGCTGCAAAGTGCGTGGTGCTGTGACGACATCGACTTGAGCATCTTGGTGAGTCAAGTGGATAGAGTAGGCGCCAGTAGCAGCGGCAAGCTCTTGAATAAAGCCAGAGCACAGGATACCGGGGTGGCTTGGGCGATAGTTCCAGGGCGAATAAATGAAAAAGAATTCGAGTCCATGAGAAGGCATCACGGGACCGCATAGTCACACAGTACGGCATCTGCCTTGACAATTGTGAGCAGGAAAAAAGCCCTGCTAAGTCACATCCCATTTTGGTCTCAGACGCCCAGAACCGATCCGTAGATGTGAAGTTCCCAAGAGAGCGCGCACGCCTTTCACATTATACCATGAAAAAGGGCCGCTCCGTCCGCGGAGCAGCCAGCTAAGACCGACCCACCCCGTAACCGACGAAACCAGCCGGCCGACGACGCCCCGGCGGTCGCCGCCGCCGTCATCATCGTCATCGCAGTAGCCCGCAGAGTGCGTGAAAAAAGAGATCCCTTCCAGTGTCGCCGTTGCCCATGCAGGTTTTGAGTCAAGTACAAAAAGGGAAAGAGAAGCCGATCGCAAAAGTCGTTTAGTCGAAGAGACCGAAGCCCATGTCCTCGTCGGACTCCTCCTTCTCTGCAGAGCGGGGTGCGCAAAGCGCCAGATGTCAGTCACGGTTGCGCGGGGGAAGGGAGTATCATAGCCCGCTGCTGCTGCCACAAACGCGCAGCCGCAGCAGGTGGTTCGGGGAGACTCACCTTCCTCCTTCTCCTCCTCCTTGGCCTCCTCGGCGGCGGCGCCACCGGCAGCGGCGGCACCACCGGCGGCAGGGGCGGCACCGCCACCCGAGCCGACGTTGGAAAGCAGGTCCTTCACGTCCTTGCCCTCGAGCGCCTGTTTCCAAGCAGAAAGTCCTCCCGTCAGCAGCTATCCGGCAACCACTCCCGCAGGGTCTGGCGCATCTCTAGCCAAGCGCTTCCCCATCCATCGGTTCCGTCTCGAGGGGAAATCGTACCTTGGCGAACAGCTGGGCCCAGATGGGCTCGACATCGGTAACGTTGGCGGCCTTGATAATGGTCGAGATCTTGTCGGCCTATAGTCGCGGCAGGAGAGAAAATCAAATCGTTAGCGCACATCCCAGCCGAGCGGCGCCCGTCCTTCTCTTTTCCCCCGCCCCCATATCCCGATTCCGAATATCGTCGTGCGCTCTCAATATGGTGGGCTGCTTTCTTCGCTCCGCCGCTTACCGTGATCTCAATGCCGTCGTCGGCGAGGATAAGCGCCGCGTACGACGTGGCCAGCTCAGCGTTAGACATTGTGAGGGATGTGCGTGGGTTTGATCGCAAAGGAAATTTGCTGGAGGATGCTGAGAAGATCTGGGAAGATTGCCAAAGAAGGAGGCTGTCGCTAAATTATTGGGAATATTTGTGTGTAAGGTGGGAAACCCCAATCGCCCTCGGCGTGACTCCACTCGAGGGGGTATCCACCGCGGCGGCCAGTCATCAGCGGCGTCACCGGCCCACACTTGGGCGTTCGGAATGGATGAATCTGATTTTCCGGCTCACAGGGTGCGACTCATAGTAGCACGGGCAGCTCGTGCATGAAGGCGTGCGATTCCAACCACAGCATTTCTAGACTTTCCGAACCCATCTCAGGGTCGCGAATCCTGATGAGCTATCTAGAACGGTAAATGACCCCCGCGAGGAGGCGAAGCCGTGACTCTTTCTCCAGCCCCCAAGGCAAGAGCTGGTCCCGTCGATTGAAGATCTCCCTCCTCTCCTGACAAACTCCACGTGCCAGCGTGGAACGATTGAAGTCGAACGAGGGGATGGCCGTCTGTCGACTTAAGCCGGCTCGACGGGAACGGAAGCGCAAGGCATATTTGCCCTCGCAATCTTGACTCCTGTCCCTTTGTATTCTGGCTTCCTGCATTTTTATTTATTTCCCTATCTCCTTCTTCGCCTCAGCGTTGATGCTATCTCCTTTCCTTCAACCCTGGGCATACACCCTATCCCGCCAACACCGCCAAGTACCTAGCTTGTACCATGATTAACGTGCATGCATGCTCCCCTCAGCCTTTCATGACGTTGTTTTCGCGCATTCCTTCGCACATTTCTACGCCTTCTGTCCTATTCTTAGATCCCTACTCATCCATACTTACCTAGCACTCCTAGGTAGGTTGCAGACAAGTTGTCAGTGCAGGCCCCCTACCTTGTTGTTCGGACGGGGCCCTTCCTCCGCCCTGGCTTGTTGGTCAGTTGAGGAGTCAATACCTCGCTGGTGGCACAACAACAGGTAAAAGATTGGCAGGTAGTGGTTGAGGTCACAGTGGACACTGCAGGAGGTGCGTGGAAGCAGCAGGAGCAGTGCAGCCACACCGAGAGCAGCTGAGCAGCGTACACGAGACCATAAGCTTGGAAAGATGCAGCAACTGGTGCGTCACAGGTCTCAGCCGGGAAGTTACCTGCGCCGCTGCAAATAATGGCAGCCCCACCGCAGACTACCCCGCTTTCCCGCAGAGTTGCACGACGTTCCGACTGCAGTGGTCTGAAGCTTTAGCTGCTCCCTTCTCGAATCAAGACCAGACACTAGTCCAGGCGATTCTTTGTTCTCCACCATACCACGCTACGATATCATCACAAGGCAAGCTGCGCCCCTGTTTGCCTTAGTATCCGCGGCCACGGCGACGTTCCGCCGCAACAGCTGTGCCACTGTGCTGTGCTTTTAGTTAGCTTCGTCTTAGCTGCACCACAGTCAGGCGTGCTGTCCCACGCTCCCCACTTGGCCTGGCCTCATTGCGGCTTCGCTCCGGGCAGTACAGAGATCACTCTAGTTCGGACCGGTCGGCCTGAACGGGCTCCTCCTCGGAGTTGCACGCTCGCACGCCATTGGTAGCTCTCATGGCGCCTGACTCATCATAGTCACATCCCTCGCCGCTCCGAACTGAGGCTCTTGTCTGATAAGCAGCCATCGACGGCACTATCAACCACCTCTGGCACCAGGTTCCTGGAGCAAACACCTGCCCCCATCACCACACGGGCTTGTCCTTATACTACCACGTATTCTTTGCTACACACATACAGAGTGCATACTCACCATCTCGCACTCGCTTACATCAGGCCTGGTGAAGCGTAGCTGGCTCTCATCAGACAGCTGCCATCATGGATACGCCTGCTCTTCCGGTCCCCAAGGACGCCTGGGAGAAGGAAATCCTAGAGAGGCTGGTGGCGATCCGAGATCAGCTGCTTCTCCTCAAACAGGACCGAGCACACTACATCCGCGGTCCGGATGTCCTGAAGCTCTATGACCAAGTCATCGAACAGATACGACTATTGAATGAGGTTCGCACAGGAGACAACAAGGGGGAGACACAGTGTATGTCTTTAACCGCCCCATCGTGCTATCTATTTCTTCCCACGCCTTTGCTCCCGCCCCCAATGGGCTGGCGTCGTACACCTCCACCTGGATATTTTTGCTGACCACCGACGAGGCCATTGCTGCTTCGACGGGCTCCAGTGGACAAGGTGCTTGAGAGCTGCTTGCAACTCATCTCGCTCCTGTTCATGACTATCGGGAAGCTGAGCGAAGCCCCTGCTGCTTATGCGCTCACATCGACTATCAAACGGCTGCTGGACCACCTGGCCGAGGCAGAGCTCTTTTCGGCCAAAGATCTACAGAGCATGGCCGAAACACTGCAGAAGATAGACATCACTATCAAGGGTGCGACTTCGCGCCACTCCCCGTATCTCGTCGAGCTACTCTCGCACCGGGTTGAGCTCTGCCGAGCCTCGCTCGAGAACCTGCAGAAGCGACTAGAAGGCCTTGACGGACCACTGCCCACAATCCACGAGAAGCTCGTCTCGATATTGCGCTCGCTGTCACTAGCCAACACAAGGTCTAAGGTACGTCTCTCGCCCTTGTCATACACCTAGCGCAGCCTGCTTACGCACCTGAGTCATTTTCAGTTCTCCCTGTCGGAAGTTTCAAAGCTCCAGTCGGAGCTGAAGGAAGTCGATGCGAAGCGCGTGGATGGGAAGTTTCTCGCCGAAGATGGCTCCCCTCTGGGGGGCAGTGATGATGTTGCGGACCTCTTGAATCGCTGTCTTGCCTGGAGCGAGATTGTCCTTGAACAGTAGGTTTGCTTCTTGTCGCGTAGCATCCCGTTTTTGGGAGCGACCCCGCTGACACGGTGACTACAGGAAAGGGGCCATTCCCGATGGGTTCAAAGACATTTACGATGTGCTGGTGGGGATACGCAACAAGCTGGATAGTCTCTCGTTGACACAGGCGTGGTCTCTCCGGGAGACTGACCTCTACGACTACCAGCGCACTCTGGACAAGATCGATGAGAAGCGCGTTGACGGCAACTTCATCGACGAGGAGGGTAGACCTGCCAACCTCTACGTCCAACGCGTAAGTGACGTACCTACTCTAACATTGGCCAAACTGAATGCTGATTCAATTTTTGCATGCCTCAAGACGCTGCTCTACCTCATCAGGCGCAGCTACGGGCTGATATACTCGTTGATGATCATGTCGGAGCCGGTCTCGGAGGCACTCATACCGGTCTACAACCAGCTGCAGACCCTGAAGAGGATCCTGGTCGAAGTCAAAAACTCTGGGGGCGTTAATTCCGTCCGAGAGCTGTACCCTTACAGCATGAAGGTTCGTCCCACAAGATTGGTTGAATATGACTAGCACAAAGTTGTTGATGCAGCACCCGGGATGCGTGTTTGCTAATATGCATGTGTATTCAGCTGAACATGATTGACAACATGCGGGTCGATGGAAAGTTTATGCACGGTAGCGACGTCCCTGAGGGTCAAGGGGCACTCAGTGAGCTTCTGGCCGAGTGCTACGACCTCAACTACAACCTCAGGGTGGCGGCTGAGCTCAAGGCGGAGGCGGAGGAAGCAAAGCAACAAAACGGAGTCGACTCGGATGACATGCCTCTCCAGAACCTCTCACTCAACAACGGGCCCAGCGATGACGCTAAAGCCGATAAGGACCCCGGAGAGGAGGAGAGGGCTGTGGAGTGAAATCCTGGTCCACACTCTCTCACACACGGCCAAGTCGGCCATACAGACGCGGCGTCTCTTGTATTATTTATATCGAGCTTGGTCTGGCACCCCGAAGCAGATCACATTGTTGGAGTCCAAGGCCGAGGCGACTCGGAGCTGCGCCTCCTGGCTTCATTGTATTATTCTAGCGAGTATTCCCCTGCCCAATCACCCACGGGAGGAAAATACAGCCCGGCAGAAGATTAGGAGGGAGGCATTACGAAGGTATGGAGCTTCACACACTTCATACGAGCGAGATGATGGGTCAAATTCGGCATCAGAGACCGGCCAGGCCGTGTGTATCAAAGCTGAACATCAAGACCGAAAACGGATCCCCAGATATTGTTTTGAAGGAACCTCGAGATCGGCCTAGTTCATGGCACTGCGCAGGGCACACTTGAATGGCCACATCTGAACCTGTGGACCACCAGGCAAGGGACGAATCGTCAGTCACCACATGACAGGGAGGAAGCGGGCGTTTTGGTATGATTAAGCAGTTCTCTCACCTTTTCCAGGTCCCAGACGCCCTCTCTAGTGTAAACGTCACCCTTGAGAATTTCCATTATCTCCTCCTTGGAAGTGGCCTCTACGACGAGCGTGCTCCCGTTGATCTTGAGGCTGGAAGGCTCGTCGTCGGCGGGGATTTCTTCCAGGAGAGCGCCTAGAATTGCGGACGGAAGTCCTGTTAGCCCGCAACCGTCTTGTTTCGTAGGGGAAAAGGAACTGAGTGAAGAGAGCAAGACATGCCCCCCATTTTCAGATTGCCAGTGGCGTCAAAACGCTTCAGGTCCGCAAAATGTGTGCTATGAGAGCTGTTAGTCAGGGCACGACGCCTCATGTACACTCGAAGCTGCCAAGCGAAGCTGTGAAGATGCTCAGAAGGCAAGAGGTGTCTTACGCGCGAACCTCCATCCTCTTGGCCAGGGTCCCGGGGACGTCCGGGACGACGACAAGCCATTCGAACTTGCGAGGGGCCGACATGGTGGAGTAGCGGGCGGCGGGGAGCTTGTAAAGACGTGCGGTGCGGCCGAGGAGGGAGGAGGAGGAGACTAGTCGCAGTGACATTTAGGGACTCCCTACTAAGGAGGCAGAGGGGGATGGAGGTGGGCAGCGGGCTTTTAGGTGCCGTGTCAGGGGGAGGGACGGGTGCGTGCGTGTACCTGCTTGACCTGCTGGCTGAGGCTCGTTCCACCATCTGCCGCTGCCGCTGCTGGCCACTTGACCTGAGCGGTTCAATCATATCCACCGAGGCGGCGGGGGGAGAAGGGCGGGGGTGGGCCCTGAGCGGGAATTGACGCTTTTGCTGTGCGGAAAGCGTGCATGTATTGGATCAATATGTTGTCCACCCTCGTCGCCTCGGCACCCATATGCCATATGGGATTGCCCACAGTTTCGGCTTGGAGCTGGGCGCGCCCTTTGGATGGCACTGCAGTTGACATGTTTAATCCGGTCTACACAGCCGAACCGAGGCATTGCTTCTTATTTTCTCTATGCTTGGTTGAGGTCATTCGTGGAATGCATTACGGGGGACACGTGGGGTTGGAGCTCTCTGGAGCTCCATGCGCTGTGATGACACCATCCGCTTGGCTTTGGAGCAGGCAACTCCGACAGGGGAGTGGGGCACAGGTCAACCTGTCGACTGTCGCGCTATCGGCAAAACACGCGCCGACGCTTTTTCCTCCACCGCCATAAAACAATTCCACGATAATCCCCAATAGCCACAACACCGCCATGTCCGGCCCGTCCAAGCCCGCGCCCGCGGGCGGCGGCGCCGCAATGTCGCTCTACGCAAATCTCCTCGACCCCAAAGCCGCCGACCCGGCATCGGCCCCGCGCCCGGCCGGTGAGAAAGGCGCGGGCGGCGGCGCTGCCGTCAAAAAGCCCATGCTGGATCCAGGTGCGCCTCGAGAAGGGCGACAGTCAGAAGCCAGGACTTCTTTGGGGATTCAGCCATATTAATTTCTCCCCAAACCAGCCACCCTCCGCCTCCAGCCCATGCGAAGGCCACAGCCCGCGCAAAAGCTGAAGCCAAAAACCTCGGTCGTGTTCCCCAAGGCCGCCCCGCCCGTCGCTGCCGCTCCCGCCGCCGCCACCTCCTCCTCCTCCTCGACCACGACCGCTGCCCCCGGAGCACCGCCAACCGCAGCTCCGCCAGCAGCACCAGACGCGAACGCGCCGGCGGCAGCCGCAGAGCCGCCGGCGCGGAGCAGCCTGGCCGACTGGGCGGCGACGGAGGAAGACGAGTACATGTACGGCACGGGCGACAAGCGCCAGCGCGGCGGCCGCAAGGCCAAGAAGAACAAGAACCGCGACGGCGGCAGTGGCCTTGAGACGAACTGGGACGACCTGTACGACCCGTCGCGCCCCACCAACATCGAGGAGTACCTGCGCAGCGACGAGCGCATCGCCGAGATACGCGAGTGGAAGGCCGTGCTGAACGCGCACCGGGTGCGCAGGCAGAGGAGGGGCCGGAGCAGCCCCGCTAGCAGCGACGCCGACGAGGAGACGAGCCGTGGCAACGCCGCGGCCCAGCAGTCGAGTGCGTCATGTGTCCCTGCCCCCTTCCCCCTTCCCCCTTCCCCGCTGGGCAAAACATGCCCCTCCCAAACCACAGCAAAAACTGACAAACACACCAAAAACTCACTAGGCCAGTTCGCCCCACCTCCATCTTACTCCTTCGCTCCGCCTCCACCGTCGCCTCCTCGGCGCAACGTCTCGCAGGAGGCAGAGCATGATACGATACGGCCCTCAGCCTCGTCGGCCCCTCCGCCACCTGACGACGCGACAGGCGATGATGCCTACGCCCGCCGCATGGCACTCTCTACCGGCGGCGCCCAAGCCCCTCGCTCCGCCAGTCCGGCGCTCGCGGCGGCTTCTGCGCCGAGCAACCCCGCCGCCGCAACCATATCCCGCGCCCCCGTGCGCTACGACACAGCAGCAGCGCCGGACGACGAGATGGATGTGGATCAAGGCGGCGGTCACGACGGCGGCGATGATGACGACGGCGACCAGCCCACGGCCGGCCTGGGCGCCGGAGACCAGCAGCAGCGATCCAGCCGGCCGGGCAAGTCCGGGTTCGCGGCGCGCATGATGGAGAAAATGGGCTGGGAGAAGGGCCGCGGGCTGGGCGCCGAGGGCAACGAGGGCATCACCAAGGGCCTGTCGGTCAAGCTCGAGAAGCGCCGGCGCCTGCCCGACGCCGAGGGCGGCGGCTTCGCCCAGCCGGGCGGCGTGGCCCGCATCGTCGGCGGGAAGCCCGCCCCCGGCGGATCCGGCGCCGGCCAGGAGGGCAGGTTCGGCCGCATGAGCGAGGTCGTCGTCCTGCGCGGCATGCTCGAGGGCATGCACGACGTCGCGGCCGAGGTCGAAAAGGGCCTGTCGCAGGAGATTGGGGAGGAGTGCGGAGAAAAGGTTGGTTGGCGCACCCGTCCTGGCTCGCCGGCGACCCTCGCGCTTCTTTTGTGCCCCGAGGTGGGGGGTTGGGGGTGAAGGAATAAATGCTAACGCATTGTCGAAACACAGTATGGCCGTCTCGAGAGAGTATACATCCACGTCGAGACGAAGCAAGTGTTTATCAAGTTTACGGATCAGGTTTCGGCTCTTCGGGTTAGTGGCTATTTCTCTCATCCTCCCCTTCTTTCCTCACATGCTTTTATGAGGTCCACCGTTTGGCTTTGGCTTGTGGTGAGGAAAAGGAGACTAACAATGCCGCAAAACCAGGCCGTAAACGCCCTCCAAGGTCGCGTCTTCAACGGTAACGCCATCGTACCCGCGTTTTACGACGCCGAGAAATTTGAGGCGGGAGTTTATCAGTAAACACGCCGTGCTGGGTGCTCGTGACAGAGATGGGGCAAGAATTAGGATACAAAAAAAATCACAACTGACTGCCACTACAACTCTCAAAACATCTTGGCTCTTCATCGGATAGCTAAGCGTAAACGTACCCGTGCCTACCAAGAGGCGCCGAATATCTCGTCAGCACTCAAATCTCACGAGCACATCAGTTGACATGACCGGTGTGTCGTTTGACAAGTTTGCATGATGCACGGCAGTGAGCGGCGCCGTATCGTAATCTACAGACATTCCAAGATTTAGGTAATGAGGCTCAAGACTGTATGTCTACAATCGGGCAAAGAAATCACCACCAACTACTCTCGTCCCGAGCCAAGGTGCGAGCTATCTAGCTATCTAGCACACATCACCAACTACCTGAATATTTCCCGTGAGGATTCAACAGACGGGGGGATTGGTCCACGGACAGCCACGATAAAGGCGCACTCCTCTCCACTTTCCACAAGAGCCGCTCCCTCGCCCTTATGCGCCTTTTTCCTGACGAAAGAGTGCTTCTCCCCCGGGGGGCGCCGCCTTTGCTGCGGTTCAACTCTCGAGCGGGCGGTTTGACTTGGTCATGCTTGTGATGCCCGACCTCGACGCACGCTTGTGTCTACTCTAAGCCTATAAATGTGTCAGGAAGATAGATATAACGAAACCCTCTTTCGAGCCTCCCAGCAGCGCAAACATAAAGGGGGCTGTGATGGTTGGCACGCTGGCGTCGTACGTTGCCCCCTTTTTTTTTTTGTCCATTCCCTGGTGTGACAGGCCGGCGGTTTGTTTTGCAGTGCCTTGTTGGAAATTAACATTGATTGGGAATTATCAAAAGCAGTAGCTACTCGCATGCCAAAAACGAAAACAGAAAAAAAAAAAAAAAAAAAAAGACTCTTCGGAGTAAGTCGACTTGACCCGAGAGTAGCGACACTGCCTCATATCCCTCTTTTTCTATGCCGCCGGCTTGCGTCGCCAGCCACTCCTCGTGCCTCGTCTTCTGCTTCCCCCCACCCTTTGACCAGCTTCTTGCGCGCCCAGATGGGCATCCTCGTACACGGCCGGCCCGCAGGCGTACCACGTCACCACCTTCCCGGCCGGATCGACTGGGACAAAGTCATCCTTGTTCCTCGTCAGGCTGTTGTCGGCCTTCAGGTCGGGGGGGGGGGGGG